GTGCAGCAGGATCTGCTCACCCTTCTGAAGCACCTAAAATAACTTCCGCTTTTCGGTGGGATTCGTGTTGCTCAGTCTTTAGTTTCCTATGTTGTGTTTTGTATACCCAGTCTGTTGTTTATCGTTTGGTCTTTTTCTTTATTTTTGCCATAGCGTTGTCAGTTTATTTGCGACTTATGAGTTTGAATGTCCCTTTGGTATCTTTCGCCTCTCTTTTACAATGTGTACACACTGATCAATTTAAAAATCTTTGTAATATTCCCTTGAGGTCTTTACAAAGTTTTCTATTTCATAGTTCATGGGGTATACACCAAGTGTCCTCATCTAAGTCATAACGTTATTTTGTTTTCTATGTCATACTAGTAGTCCATATTGTACTCTTGAGTTCTTAAAAAGTTTCCTGAGGTAGTCTTGTTGTCTTTACTTTGTTTCAATGACAAAGCCCTATAGTAAAATGATAACCCTTCAAACACCCCATACATCACAAGGAACTGTCGATAGGAGGAAAAAGCATACGTTGACACACCAAGTGTAATATATCCATGATAATCTGTGACACAGATATTCCATAATGATCAAGCAAATCAAAGGCATGTGTCAAATTTTCGAAACGATGACTTCAACTTTACGATATTAAACCATTAGCAATCCCTGGAATATCTGTACTCCATTAACAGGCGCTGCTAGAATGTGTTTCTACAAAGAAATGGAAAGTTCATAATTGGAAAATTGAAATAATCTCTTTTGCTGTTATGTTAAGTTTGCAACCGAACCTCATGGTCAATTTCTAGATGTTAGTCAAGATACTATGACGACGCAGACTTACAGCAAATGGACTTGAGTGTGTAGGTAAAGGTAATATCTTTGGTTAGCTTGCTTGCTAGCTGAACCATGAAATCATTATTAGTTAACGTACTACCTTCCTTTGGGCGGAGTTAATAGTTAAGAAGAGAACCAATCAAAAGTAAGGACAGTATATATAAGCGTGAAACCTATGGTTTCAATCCTAATTTGAATGCAAGTGTCAATTATAAGCTAGTTCAAATGTTGTAGGTGTGTTTGATTTGTCAATTTCAAACACTCCTACAACATGCTTGTGAATTAGCTTATAACTGACACTAGATTTTAAATTTAGATTGAAAACGTATTTTTAAACTGACTTGAAAAACTGGTTTCATACTGTTTATATACTGTTCCTACTTTTGATTGGTTCTCTGCTTAACTATTAAATCCGCCCAAAGGAAGGTAGGACCTTGGCTAATATTGAATTCATGGTTCAGCTAGCAATCAAGCTAACCAAAGATACTACCTTTACCTGCACACTCAAGTCCATGTGCTGTAACTGTATTTGTTTTAACCTTTATACAAGGTAAAATGGGATAGATGTTAATCACCAAATGCCACTTCTTGAAGCATATAATCCCGTTGGGCACGTCATAAGAATTACATGTGTTAACCAAAGAACTGAAATCCCAACATCAAAATACTCATTCATTCAGTCGAGGATTATGGCAAACAATGGACAAAATGTGATAAAGAAGACGTAGATACTCTTTCCTATGGGGCTATATCAGAATAAAACACTAAATTGGTATATGAACAGTCATGCTATATACAGTATATTAAAAGACCCAAATGATGCTATTTAAGCACGTTAATACCTCCATGACAAATGTGTTATTGTCCCCGCATTTAAAGGGCAGAACAATATATTTTTTGTATGTTAATTAAATTATATTATTTTCTTGATAAGATAATTAAGTATTAACAATCATCTGAAAACCCGACATATACTCACATAACACTTACTCAAGAGGATATCCAGAACAATCATGGGTCTGTGTTATGTATCCTTTGAATTTCAACCAAAGATAAAGAGCTGGATCTTCCTGCACTCTATTTGGGCATCCAAGTAACCTTTTTTTTATATTGTAGGTTTATAATTGCGTCTTTTTCCCCGATTGTGACATTTTTACCTAAAGGTTTGTTCTCAACCGACCCTCATTGTCAATTTCTAGTAAGTAAAGATATGATGCAAACGTAACTGTATCTGTTGTAACCTTTATTTCCAGTTTGATTGAATAGATGCGTTCAACATAGTCACCAAACTCTGAATTATTCAATTAGAAGACATCATCTCTATAGCAGAATGTGTAGGATATTGCTAGATTCTTTTCACTCTTCCTTAAAAGCTCATGAATGAAGTCTGTCTCATATGAATAAAGGAACACATCCGCAAGAAGAGGAGCACAATTTGTTTTCATGGAAATGCCGATTGTTTGTTAACAAACACGTCCTCTTAACGTTACAAATATGTTGTAAATCATAAATCAAGCATCTTGATGTCAGTTTCAGAGAATTTTTCGTTTTTTATGAAGTACGATTAATCCCTCCCTAAACATGATATATTTGTATCTACGTAAGCCATTCATTTTTATGAAACACAAGATGACCAATTCATTCAATTAGTCTTTAGTTTGGTATGGGGAATACTTGTGTAAAGGGTAGAAAAGTCAAAAGTTCAAAAGACCAAATAAAGTACGAAATTGAAGAGCATTGAAGACCAAAAATTCCGACAGGTTTTGCCAAGTATAGGTAAGGTAATCTTGTTTCATTTTCCCGACATTTTGACTGAAAGAGAGGCGGAAGTAACCAAAGGATAGCCAATCCCATAAGTCAAAAACGAACTGACAAATACCATGAAAAAAAGAAAGAAAAAACAACTAAAAGACAAACAACTATCTACAAAACTAGACGGAACAACACGAACGCCACTAAAAACCAGCGGTGATCTCAGGTGGTCCGGAAAGAGACAGATTGTATTTACTCTAACAGATTTTTGGATTTTTCTATTATCTACATCTGATTCACACCTAGAGTAAGTAGTTTCACAATAGATCTGAAGTCCGGCTTTGATTGCTGATTACAATTAATATTAATGATTTAGAAAGAGGTCTCGTGGTGCACTCGGAAGACCCAGCAATTATAACGTTGTTTGTAGGGACACTAATGTAATTTAGGTATCCAATACATCTTTGGTTGCAATTGCAAAAAAAAAAAAAAAAAAAAAATACAGAACAGACCTGTGATTAACCAGGTAAGTGTCGTGGAGTAATATGTTTAGTTTCCAAGTGGACACTCTTTCCGAACGGGTTAAAGCTGTCGGCGCTGGTCGTTGATTTAAATTAGATTAAAAAATCCTTATGGGTCTATAAATACACATCCCACATCGATCTTTAAAGACCCAAATGTTGCTAAGCACCAGTCCTACCTCATGTCAATTATGTTGTTGTCCCCGCAGACAAAGTCCCAGACAACATCTTTTTGTGTGTAAATCACATTACGTTTTGTGTATAAATCACATTAAATAAACTGCTTGATAAAGGAATGAAGTATTGACAATTTACTTGGAAACTCGACATATACCCAAACGACACTTACCATGGAGGAAATCCTGCATATTCATTGGTCTGTTCTATGATCGTTTGCAATTTCAACCAAAAATAAAGAACTCTTCTTGTCGACTGCCTCCTTTATTCATATGAGGCAGACTACACACATGAGCTTCTTCGGAAGAATGAAAAAAGCTAACATTATCCTTTTAACTTCACGTTCTAGTAAATAGATGATGTCCTCTCACTTAATAATTCAAAGTTTAGTGACTATGTTGAACGCATCTATCCCATCGACCTTGAAATAAGGGATACAACAGATGGCATCACCAGCCCAGTAGCCATCTAGAAGTAAATTTTGTAAAAAAAAATCAATTTTTTCCGTATTTTACTTATAAATGGACTTAGTTTTTCTTCCAGTTAACATTACATACAGTCTGCAGTTTAAGTTTTTAAAACATTTATTAGATTCATAAACTATCCTGGATTTTTACCAAACTTGGACAGAAGCTACTTACAATCAAAAGATAGTATAGAGAGGAATATTTTTATTATTTTTTTTCCTCATTTTTGTTGAGCCTGCGATTAACAGCAAAAGTAGGCGAGACACTGGGTTCCGCGGAACCCTTACGAATTTTTGGTTTATAGCTCTTAATCTTTTTAATAAGCTTTGGATTTTCAACTATTTTGGCCTCGAGCATCACTGAAGAGACATTGATTGCATCTGGTGCAGAAAAATTGGTACCGTTTATGTTGTTAATACAGATATGCTAGCCCCATTTCTTTACTTGAATCTAGAAATTGACAATGATGGTCGGTTAAGAACAAAACTACACGACAAAAGAGGTGATTTCAGCTCCTAAATGTGAACTTTTCATTTCTATGTAGCAACATTCAAGCAGCGCCTGCATATGGAGTATATATCTCCAGTTGATACGATATTCCAAAGCTTGAATTTCCTATCATGATTTCCTTAATAGAGGATGGCTGCTTACAATAAAGCTATTAAACCAAGAGTTCCAAGTGGCTGAGTTGAAATCATCCCTTCGAAAATATTACAAACACAGTCTTGAGTTGGTTGACCATTTTGGAATATCTGGTTCACAGATCACGATGGATATATTTCAATTCTTGTAATCCACAATCCTGTCCTCTTTTCCTGGAATATGACCTACCGAATTAAAACTAATCACTGGTTTTGTTTTTACATGAATCATGAGGGATGCCACATGTGGAGCAGGATCTGCTTGCCCTTCCAGAGCACATGAGACCACCCCTTGTTTTTAGTTGGGTTCGTGTTGCTCAGTCTTTAGTTTTCTATGTTGTGTTTTGTGTACTGTCGTTTATCTTTTGCCGTTTTTCGTTTTTTTGTCATGGTATTGTCAGTTTATTTTTCAAGTCATCTTCCGGTTTGCTGGTGAAACAAAGAAAACACTAGTTTCTATCATGCAAAATACGCAAATACCACCCGATAATTCGATTATCTGGTTGTCTGTATATTGATATTGTAAAATATCAATATGCAGACAATCTGATAATCGGTACTCGTGAAACAGTCTGTCATACTTCATATATCTGAATACTTTTTATGAAACAAGAATATCAGTCTATTTTTTCAAATTACTCTTTTATTGCTTGTAAACAGAAATACTGAATCATGACACATAAAAGCAAAATTAAATATCACATCATGGAATTGAGCAAATTGTGAATAAATTATGATAGACACACATAAAATAAACTTATACAAATGGATAAGCTGTACAGTATAAACTGTCTTAACTGAAACAAAAGGATAAGCTTTACAGTATAAACTGTCTTAACTGAAACAAAAGGATAAGCTTTACAGTATAAACTGTCTTAACTGAAACAAATGGATAAGCTTTACAGTATAAACTGTCTTAACTGAAACAAATGGATAAGCTTTACAGTATAAACTGTCTTAACTGAAACAAATGGATAAGCTTTACAGTATAAACTGTCTTAACTGAAACAAAAGGATAAGCTTTACAGTATAAACTGTCTTAACTGAAACAAATGGATAAGCTTTACAGTATAAACTGTCTTAACTGAAACAAATGGATAAGCTTTACAGTATAAACTGTCTTAACTGAAACAAATGGATAAGCTTTACAGTATAAACTGTCTTAACTGAAACAAAAGGATAAGCTTTACAGCATAAACTGTCTTAACTGAAACAAATGGATAAGCTTTACAGTATAAACTGTCTTAACTGAAACAAATGGATAAGCTTTACAGTATAAACTGTCTTAACTGAAACAAATGGATAAGCTTTACAGTATAAACTGTCTTAACTGAAACAAATGGATAAGCTTTACAGCATAAACTGTCTTAACTGAAACAAATATATAAGCTTTACAGCATAAACTGTCTTAACTGAAACAAATGGATAAGCTTTACAGTATAAACTGTCTTAACTGAAACAAATGGATAAGCTTTACAGCATAAACTGTCTTAACTGAAACAAATGGATAAGCTTTACAGTATAAACTGTCTTAACTGAAACAAATGTCTTCTTTAGACAGGTCAAATTCGTAAAGTGTATGTGAAAGTTAAAGTTAACAAAACAGATTGGATACGGCTGGTTCTGGTGTCATATTACAGAATTTATTTTCTGATTTTCTATATCTTGATTCTTAATTAACTAATATAGAACACATTGATACAACATAGAAATGGTCCACAATGTAGTGAGTTTTATTTACAACACTTTAATAATTTCACAGTTATTTAACAGTGTCATTTCTTTGAACTCTGATATTTTTGACAGTTATTATAACGACTGTTACAGAAAAATACAAAAGAGTCTTTGACAGCACTTTTTTTCAGAAGCACAACCACCCATAGAATTTATTACAATATGATTAACGCTAAAATATGTTCTAGATCCAACCATCCATAGAACATAATATGCAAGCATCTTAAAAAAACTATTTATTTTTTTCAAGAACAAACCTTAGATATAGAAAAATATTCATAATGCTGAATACTTTGTCATACATATTTTTCATGTACAAATCATTTTACATAGTTTACAAATTTCACTCCTTAATTATATTACTGATACAAATCAACAAGTTGGAAATTAATATTTTCCAAGTTAAAATACCAGATTTATTTCAAAAACAAACATTCTTTAAATATCAAGGATTAATTCAAATCTTTTTAGCACTGAAAAGTGGTTTAACAATGTTAAGAAATGGGCTTATTGTTTTCAAAGTGGATGCTTACTGCAAGACAACTGGTTCTCATTTAGTAAGGATCATAATATTCTATAAATGGAATGTTTTCATTGCTGTATACTTTACTATTTACAATCAACATAACATTTAAAAACTATCTGTGAACAAGCAGATGCAGATACGGAAAGCTTACTCCAAAGAGATGTCATGCTCACAATGGAAATCTCAATATATGACATAAGTTGCATACAACTAATCCTAAGAATCAGGTTTAAAACAAAACTATATTTGCAAAATATGCCACTTAATCAAAGGAATATAGAATCTCACAAATAAGCATATTATTTTGATGTACATGATATATGATTAATTTTGTAATGGCACTACAGTTAACAATACTGTCACAATACTTAGTATTAGCACCTCTTTACAATGGAATGATAAAATGTAAATGCACCTCAGAGGGATACAAAACATACTATGGTTTGGTCATCACAATACATGTACAAGAATTCTTAAGTAGTACATTAATGCCCAACTTTATAGTTTTTCTTAATTTTCATGTCTAAAAACCTTTCTTTTATAAAAGTTTTTCTATAGTTTAAAGATTTCTTGCAATTACAATTTAGTTATTAGACAAAAAAATATCTTTGTATTGTGTTTATGATAAAATAGGGAAGCATACAGACAGGTACACAAAAAATTGTAAATGAAGATATAAATTTAATGTCCTTTCTTCATTTTTAACTTGTATTCCATATTACATGTACTGCTGTGTTAATTGTGACACTGATTTTCTCAGAGGACATTAAATTTCTGATGCCAAAAATCAACAGATTCAGAACTTTTTTTTATATATCATGAATTAAGTACAAATAAAGAATTAATTTATAATGTAGAAAAAGTGTTGTATGAATCTACAGAACATCAGATTAACAATGAATAGTATAAGTCACAGATGATTGACAACTAATCTGAAAGTTATTCTTAAACAGAAACAGTACAAGATATATAGATAATTTATTGAACACAACTTATTTTTTGAGACAGGTTATATTAGCTTATATCTAGTATCCAGGCTTGTAATAGTATTTTTTGTTTTCATGAGAGGGGGTATTGAAAACAGTTATATGAACGTCTACAGATGTGGTTCATGAAAAAAGAGAAGATACTTTGCATTTAATTATATTTTGTTTTCCTTAAATAATTGCCAGATTATTGATAACTGAAAGCTTGCATTATCTGATTACAACACTAATTTAACATGCATCTTTTTAAGTTACACAGGGGGGAGGAGAGGGTAGGGTTTCTATCATACTTTTATACACTTATTGATATGAATAAATGGAGATGTTGTGTATATGTCAATAAGACAGGAACCCATCAACGCAGTATAAATAATTATCACAAAGAAGAACTTTACAGAATCACAATACATTATTTCAACTTTTATTTAGTCTATTTAAACATATTTGAGATCAGGTTCTTTTTAATCTATGATTCAAATTAATATGCTTTTAATGATTTCAAATCTCTCTACAAGTAATCAACTTGTCCCCAAAAGGCTTTCCAATTAAAAAAAATCAATTAAAAAAATAAATAACTAAAGTCCACAAAATGACCTATTTATACAGATAATTCAACCTATTTTTTTCCTTACAATTGATGATCACATAAAAATAGATTTAATGACAATAAAGATAATATAAATAAATAGTAAATTAATGAATATTACAGAATAAATAATAAAAGTGTCGTTGTTCAACAATATCATTTTAAGAATTAAAATATGTATCTCCTATAACAAATGGACGGATTGAATTGTGTAAAATACAACACTGTGCCCCAAAAACAATAACTTTGTAAAGTGTCAATGTTGCTTCATTTGTGTATTGTACATTTTCATTTCAAAAGGAAACTTTTTGTATCAAAATGAATTGCAATCATAACAAAGATAAATTATTCAAGCATTACTGCATGTGATATTGGATCTACTGACTAGCATACACATGAACTTCAGTGTCCAAGGAGATGATCTGGTTTAATGTGATGTGTAGAATCAAGGTTACCAGTCAATTCAAATGTCATATTGACAGGTCTTCTTCGTACAGGGGCAGATGCGATCGTCGTACTGTTCTTGAAATCCGCAAAATCTTCGGCATTTCTGTAATAAATTAAGAATATTTTTATAGCTAATATTAAGACTTCACTAATCTAAAGTTATATACAGCTAGGACACTTAATTTGTGGCCGCTGTTCCTTGATATTTAGTATTTATAGAGCTTTAAATAAAACATGCTATATATAAATACATATATTACTGCAGATACATAAAGCCTTGTAGAATGGTAAAGTGTATCATATATGACAACTCAAGAGGAATTTCAAATCTTTATTGTCTTTCAATTTGAAAAAAAAACCATGTAATATAATAACTAAAACACTTTGAAGAATTTCAGGTCCATAGGCATGCGACTAAAAAGTTACAGCAAAAGGTTGGGTAAATTGAAGCTTGTCACTGAAAGGCATTTTCTTTCTCTTAAAACAATGCTTGCTATGTACATGCCTATGTATATAGGACTCTATTCAGCAATAAAACAACTTTTCTATCAAAAGAAAGCAAAATAAAATTATTTTAGGAAATTTTGTTGGTATGAATTACATACCACTATTACTGAGTCTCAAATATATTTTTTACTAAAAAGTTACAAATTTTGACAGTATAAATTGCTAAAGATCTATAAATCCTTTCTCATAGATAAATTTTTAATAATACAAAAATGTGCAGAAATTTATCTTACTTTCTCATACCTGCCAACGTTTTGAAATTTCCATGGGGGATTTTAAGCGCAAGAGGACCTAATGCTCCTCTTATATTGTCATCAGTGTTTTTAATTTACTACTATATTGTTTGAATGAGTATGTTTGTGCATAAATACACTTTTAACTCATTTGAATGCCTGTTTTGAGGTATTTAGTTAATTTGATAAAGAATTTCTAAATACAGATCAACACCTCTCATGGAGGAAATCCCCCATAAAGCATGCAAGTTAGCAGGTCTGAACTTTCTCTAGACCTGATTCAACAGGAAATGTTTCAAAGGGAGACAACTCAGTAATTTTAAATAAAATTGCTTTATAAATATTTGAATCAAAAGGAACAAAATGTTATTTAACACATTAATTTTTCAAAACCACCTCTGTTAAAAATAAGGAAAATTATATTTAAAAAATAAAATCCAATTCAAAAGTTTGAATTTATTTAATGTTTGCATGCAGGATTGTCATTATAAGTTAGGAGGGAAGTAATTTTTGTTATTTCATTCAACACAATTCTTACGAGGAGATACTGATGAACTCAGTTCTGGGGTCTGCACTGATAAAAATGGAGATTTGAAAATATCAGGTAGTCTGAAAACAAATGTATAACAAGTTTCTGGTTATATTCTTAAAATAATGGAGCTGCCTGAAAACAAATTTGTATACTTGTTTCATTGTTATCCTTGGGTGCTTAAAATAAAGGATCTGTTAAAAATTAAAGTCAAATAAATCAAATAAGGGCAATTCCAGCGATAAAAGCACTTGAGATTAGCAGGCATATTTTAAAGATCCTGCCTCTCAACAATAAAAAGTCTCTCTGTGCCTTGCTGGTCCGTTTCTTGAATAGCCATACATAACAAGCAAAAGACAAATTTTATGGAATCAACTGATGGAAAAACTAATGGAAATTGTGCAGCAATGTACAGGACAAGATTTTTAAACTTCATATCCATCTACAAAAATAAACATAATATTACTCATAACTTCCTCTAAACTCTACCTCAAATCAAAGGTAATCCTAACACAATCATCACAAGGACACTATAAAGCATGATAGATGAGAAAATGATTTTCTGTTAAAGGGAGGTAATTGGAAAATGTGAAAAATGAAATTTTTAAACATGTAAATGGGAATTCTAATGCAATTATGTTGTATCAATGGTTCTGATTGGATGACAATAAGCGTAAAATTCTCTATCTCCCTGTCTGTAACTGAGGAAGACGACATTTTGAATTCCGGAATGTATTGACACGAAATTTCTCCAATAATAAATTAAGCCAAAAAACTCACATTTTTCACCTAGAAATCTTCTTTTTATCAAATTTTATTACATTCTGAAGCCGACAAGAGGCCAGAAAACGCCCAGTGTTTACGTTTGATGCCGGAAGCATACCTATGACGTCACCTAGTTAAGGCGCCAAAGAAGATAACATCATTTCGCGGAATTTTCGTTTAATGAAAATTTACACTAAAATAATGACTACAATTAATTGATTTGTTTATTTTGCATTAGAATAGAGATAACTGTATTGTATTTGAAGCTTTGCGAAAGTCCATTGGTAGTTTTACTGTCACAAATATCCGTTTACCTGTCTCCGCTACACGTCGCCAGGTAAACTCAATTTGCAACAGTAAAACTACCGATGGACGTATGCCATGCTTCAAATACAATACAGTTATCTCTAAATTGAAAACTGATGTTAATGTATGAATTAAATATACTGTATCATTTGGGTTATTCATTAATGGTTAATAATGTAAAAGTTGTAAAACAAAAGTTAAGTTATAATGAAAAAGATCTATTAGTATTTCATCATTGCCATGTTACTTTTAAGATCAAACAATAAAATAAAGACATACAATTCATTATGAATGATACTGAAAATGGAAATAAACTGATCATGAACAATGTTGCAGTTAAACTTATTCTAATCCAAAATATGGCCATGTTCATGCAAAGTATTAATTCCACTATGAAATAATCCAAAGCTCTTAAATTCATGCAATCTTTCACTGCATTAGTGGAGCAGACAAAGTTGTATCTCAATATTCATGATAACTAACACTAGATTCCAAAACACACCATTAGTAATTTAACTTGACAGCTGTATGATTCGGGATAACAAGAAACATGAATTTTCAAATTAATAAATCTCTGGTCTTAGTAGGCTTGCTGAATTTAACAAGTTATTCGAATGCTACAGGCCAACATAATGACTTTTGTTTAGTTCCATCGAGATCGACACTAAAAAGTTATTGGAAATGGATGACATAATGCTGATTACAGAATTTACATGCTGACCTCATATGGATGTAATAACAAAAAATTTCCTAGTAACTGAGATACCCAGTCAATCAAAAGGCAACAAAACATGTGACAATAATGAAACTAAAATTCCAACTCTCCTTTAACAAAACAGACTGTTAAAAATAATCAATGTGCTTGTATTAATTGATGAAATATGAAATGGTGGTGATTGTGGACACAATAATGTGGTGCATGTGATAGGACGCACTAGCGGGACAACCACTCTACAGCAATACTATACCTCTTAATTAACTGATTATTAATGTTCTGTAAACAAAGTAGCAGTCATAATAAACATAGGTCACTCATTTTGAGTAAAATTTTCTATTACACATGCTACTCAATGTTTCATGCATATTATTTTGATCTTTGAAATTCTGGCCTGTCTAAACAAAACCTTGTACTGGTTATTGTATGGTTTTAAATCATACCTTCTGTTCACACATTTTGTTGTCAGATTATCTTGTAGTTAATTGCTATGATGCTAAATATCTTCAATTTTAGTTAAAAATGGTATCCTTGATCCTGATGCCTAGCCATATAATTCATATGTATGTGAAACTTTGGTTCAGTGTATGAATTTTGATCTTAATAGTCATTGTTGACTTACATTATAACAAGAGTGCTTACCAGGTACTTGTAAAGCCTTTTTGAGCATTTAATTGATATTATTTTTCCTAATTATCTCAAAACTGTTAATAAGCTATTGATACACTGTATATAAGACAGAAATCTATGAATAGATTACAAATGACACAAGCATTAGTTTAAATGCTAATGGATGAAAATTCCATTGCCTTACCAAAATCCTCATTAGTTTTTAATATTAAACCTGTACCCAATTCCATTCCTTAATAAAATATACCTTATGGACAGAACTTTGCTGGAAAATTAGGAAACAATTTTTTATAGATTTAATTCAAACATTTATCGATGACATAGTTAAATTCCGCTTCAGCAAATATGAGCTTATCATGATGAGCTTAGAACAAATTTGGTCCAAATAGCATAATTGAAAGTATGGCAAAAGTCCTATGAAACATACAAAATCTTTGTTCAGAACAGTATTACTATTCACATATAGTAAAAATGTGTTTAAAATGGTATTTTACAGAAGGAATTAAATCATCAAAAACTTTAATCTCTCAGAGCATCATTTTTTTTGGTGTTTCTTTCCTCCATATATTTCTAATAGGTTTAATTTCTTATAATGTGCTAATAATAAAGGCTATGAAAGCAACAATAGTACCTGTTATAAAGCTGGGATGTCTTTGCTGAGAAGTATATGTAATACATTCTCATGTGATTATACATAAATCTATTCTCTAGAAGTAAATATGTGCAATGTTAATCTTGATTTACAGCATGTGCTATGAGCAAAATATTTGAGCCTTCATACAAATATAATGTACTCCGAAACGACTAGAATAGATCAAAGTGAAAAATAAGCTGAATATCTACCTCAAAAAGCATTATATACAATTCTCAATATCAAGGTTATACATACTTAGATCTCAGAATACCACTCCTAGCCTTTACTGGAGTGGTGTGGTCTGGCTCTGGCTTCTCAGACATGTTTGTGGTCGTTCGCGCAAGTAATTCATCAAACTGCTTTCTAGGTAATCCTGTAATTATGTTAGAAAATGTCATTGTAATGCACATGAGAAATATCAAGAATACTTTATATTTGTGTGCAAATATTACAAGATGTGACTGGCTGTTTGTGTAAATCAGGATGTGACAGCTTGGCTTAGATTTAAAAAAAAATAATCATAAAATAATTTTATATTTAAAAAAAAACCTCATGAAATGATGAGAAAATGTCCATTCTTCTGTCATCAAATGTTTTCACAATGTTACAATAATTAATAATAATTGAATGATATGTTAATACACTGAAATATACTGCATTACTTTTGGTAATATACCATGCTGGATATAAAGTGCGTAATGGAATGATGAATTTTGTAATCTGGTTATGGTTTCAATTTAATATTCTAGTAAACAGTTTATGTTATTAAATCATTTTACATAAGTATTTTAGGTAAATCTGGATGATGTTGTTTCCAGGAAAACTGTTGCTGTTAATCATTTTGTTTGGTATTGTTTGAAATGAACATCAAATCCTTTATTTTAAAGTTTAAAGCTAGATAAACTATTTCCTATGTTTTTCCTGGATTAAAATTCATAACATATTTGTTCTTTGCCTAATACTATAAATTGTGCCTTCATGTACTGTTTGTGAAGAAGCTTTATGAAATCTACTCTTAAGTACACCAATATAACAGTGTATGATAAGTACTTTGCACTTGCTAACAGTAACTACAAGCATTGTATGATGCAGAATTGTTTGGTATTGTTTGTTTGTACTTGTGTTTTTGTTACCTGTGATAATATTATTAAAAGGGTTAAGTTCTTTCTAAATAAGGTACTGATTTTTATTACATGTTCTCTTATGAACTTTTCCTTAGGCCACTGAATGAGATTAAAAGAGAAGGATTGGGAACTTGGGATATCTAAAAAACTCTGCTTTATGTTCAGATGCCTGTCAAAATTCATGCATTTGTAATATCTTTAGATGTTGTTTGTCATTTAGTATTCACAGTATATTTCTAGATGCTTGGCAATTGAGAGCTTGATATATCAAAACGGCTGTCTATTGTTCAAGACAATTTGTTGGTCTTTAAATGTCCTTTTGTTTCTTTATGTTGTTGGGTTCCTGTCTCATTGACATCTCACATCATTTTTTATTTATACACATTTTGGTATTACAAATATTTCAGACACTCATCACAAGAAGGTCAGAAGGTTAACAAACAACTAAATACATTTTGCATTTTTGTAAGTCACTCAAAGTTTTACTTTTTTATTCTATTAGATCACAGTAAGAACCTCCAGACTAAGATTTTATAAATCAATCATGCGTAACCTGGAATGTGTGCTGTGTTATGGTCAAGTTGCATTGATTTGATTGAGGGTGTTCTACAATTTTGCTCTCTTGTCATCATGATAGATCTAGTAGAGAAACATCAAGATTTGCCCCAAATTTTGGGTTTACATGCTGGTTTTTGCCAAGAAGGACTTGAAGTATGATTATTACACCTTCATAAAGGATACCTAGAGAAATCCAATTCTCTACAGATACCATTCCAATAAACATTTGAAAAAAGAGTATATATAATTGTCCTAAAGTTTTATGGGAACTAATATGTTATGGTCATGTTTCTAAGCTTTCAGATAATATAAAAATACATTTGTGTGTACTTTGACTAGATTTTTTACTAATAATTCTGGTATTTTATGTTTCAGATAAAAAATGGGTAAATTTTCAATGCAGATTTCTTAATATCAGATACATTATACAATGGAGCAAAGAAACAATTAATAACAGTATATTACTATAAATTTTCCGCAGGTAAAATCATGAATAGGAATCTATTTCTTAATAAAAAATAGACTATGCAATAACATATGATAACTTGATAACATTTCATTGAAGTTTGTTAATCCAGTGATAACAGGGTTTCACTACGGTTTGTGTAAGTGCAAGTGTTTGAATACCATGCAACAAGAGGAACAAGTCATTTAACATTCTGTGGTTGGTCATCAGCAATATGTTTTAAGGTAGGAATTTGACAACAAATATATAAAGTTTCAATTTCGATAGCAATGATTATCAATGACCAATTTCGCATATAAAACACAAATATATATATTAAGCATTTATATATTCTTAATGATTTAAATGTTAGCATTATTTAAGTATAAGGTTTTTAATAAAGCAATTACAAATATAAAAAATATATATAAATCTTGCCATTTTAGTTAACAAAACAACATTAACAAACAAACAAGTTGTGATGGTAACACACATCATCCAGATAAAACTTGGCCTTTCACCTATTATGTGGTCATAAGAAAGCCCCTGTAATTTTTTTGGTATGAGTCTTTTAAAGAAATTTATCCTATACAACATACTTATATGGTGAAAAATAAAACCTAAAACTCTGCTTGGACTATATAATGCTTAGAGAAAGGCATTTCATAAGTAAACAATGCCCTTATTTTTCATTCAGTATGTTTTTATGTATCCTTTCTTGTCGACTGAAAATATTAATGATATATGGCAGCTGTTAATCCATAAAAAAAATTTGAAAGTGATGTTATATTGTATATAGCTGTATAGCTTTGTGAATGTTTTTGCAGCATAAAAAAATACAACATATATAGCAGCTTAATATGCAGTAAGTTTGGTCAGGTGTATTTTTTTTATTGTAGAGAAAACATAAGAACCTAGCACTGGTACAAATAATGATTTTCTTTACCAATTTCACCACTCAGTACAGGCTACTGTCACTGAGAACACATTTCTCCAAAATAACTAAACACTCTTTACACTATAAAATAACATTCCTTTCTCTATGGTAAGTATAGGTATATATAATCTAGGATAAGACATTGATTGACAAGATTTACAGAGTAACTAAACAGACTACTCTAATATCTATATATAAGGGATTGTCAATACTATCACTACATTTTCATTGTAATTTCTGTTTAATAATCTTAACTCAAAAGAGAATAGAAAAATCGAAGTCAATAATGATGACAAATGACCACTGTAGACATAGATGTTGTGAACTATCAAGGAACAGATGTCATGGCATGCTGTAAAATATCACATGACAACAGAAATCACCAGCAATGTTCATAAAAATACACATCATTTTGAAGAGTTTTTGGTAATAATTAAGTGATCACATAGGTCACATCTTTATCCAATCTTTACTTTGGTTATTTTAAGGGAAATTCATTAACTCCTAGATATATATATATGACTCAGGAAAATAAAATTTAAAATTTTCAGAAAACTTATATGTTAAAGATTTTAAAGAAACTAACAATGGAGATATTAAGATATCAATACCACCAAACCATCAACTGTTTCAAGTCCCTTGGTCTGAACATGGTGGAAACATCAGGACTGGGTTGCATAAATGTCAATTAAAGTTAAATGTTGTTAAAATTGTAAGTGTTTATTAAATCATTAAAGTCCAGGAATGATAACACAAACATAACCATCACATGATAAAATACATCCAATGCCTGTTAATAACCATCACATGACAACAGACGTCACATGATACAATACATCCAATGTCTGTTAAAAACCATCACATGACAACAGACGTCACATGATAAAATACATCCAATGCCTGTTAAAAACCATCACTTGACAACAGACGTCACATGCTCTGTTAGAAACCATCACTTGACAACAGACGTCACATGCTCTGTTATAAACCATCAAATAACATCATACATTATATGTGATGTTGTAAACAATAAAACCATCCTGGCCTGCATTTCATAAAAAAACTTATGACTAAAATTGATCGCAAGTAAAATGATTTTCTCATGACTTCCAAGTAAACTTTTGGCATAAAAATGTTTGTGAAACAAAAGCCTGTTAAGCATTTTTTTCAATTGATATCATGTACTTGATGAGACCCAATAAAACCCATGAGGAGAAACCAAATATTTACCAAAACAACTTATTTTTGCCATATTTTTTCTTCTACAGATCAGAGAAACACATACAACAGATATTTGTTGGAAATTTCAAAGACCCTGAATATCAAATGACTTTGGAATGAAAGAGTTTTTTTTGTCTGGGTTAATTTCACATCTAACAACTAAATCTACATATGTTATCTAGCTTAATTATGACCACATCTGAAACACTGAAAACTCACCTTTCATCATGTAGCCTAAATAAACCAATAATATTCACTAAGCATTGTATCTAAGTGCTAATAGATTCCTAAGTTTAGCTGTTACCGATATTCTATACAAAGAATTTTATAATATGGATCTATCAAAGAGCTAGAAACAGTTCAAGTGTTTCAAGGAATTATTTCTAAACATATCAAAGACTCATATGGTTACAAAGTGTATTTCTTAACAGGAGATGATCAGTATTCTATTGTAGATATAAAAATATGCACATAAAACAAATAAATATAAATGTAGCAATAATTTACAAAATAGGTACTTTCTGAAAATATTGCTGAAAAACAAAGAGTATACAACGATAAAAGAGTCAAAGTCTCCAATGTTACATAGCTGTACATCATCAAAAGTAATTTAAATGACTCGGGCATAAATGTTCATATGTTGGCAAACAATGTTTGAGGCATCAAATGTTTGAGTTGACAAAGATAGGATTTAGGAGTTGATAACTATGCTCTCTTGAAAATTTTGGTGAAAAATGAATGAGTTCCAGAAACTGTTTTATTTAAAGATGCAAAACTACAAGTTTCAATTTCTTTCCTAAATGAATTTTATAAAATTTGTGTTAAAAACTGTAAGAGACTATAATAATGCAAAGTGGTTTCCTCCTTCTGCTACTCGCTAGCTTTTTCTTTGATATTCACCATAATATAAGCATGATTTGCAACCCACCCAAAGAGCAGATTCATCATGTTTTCAAATGAACCATTGTATCTCAGCCTAAATTGTTCTTTTTTCCCCCCAACAAAATCAAAAGGGAAAAAACAATTCTAAAAAATGCATTAACTACCCATCCTTCTTCTATTCAATAAACAAGCAATTAAATGCTCATTTTCCACCATTGAAAATTCTATTACAAATAAGTTATTTTCTTTCTAAATTTTATAATTCATAAACTCTTACCAAGTTTGTTAACAATATAAACATTAGCCTATTTCTAAAAAAAAAACATTCTGTATGAAACACCAATTTTACTATTTAGTCCAATTTTTTTGCTATGTTCTTATTAAATAGTATCATGAAAATTTATTGAAAAATTGTTTTAATCTTATCAATGAGGAAATAATTTTCTTAACTCTAGGTTTCTATCTTGGAATTAGAATAGTAAAATTGTGTATTCACTTGTACATAAGTTTTATAGCTTAGTAATCCACTTGGACTATAATTCTCTGGTGTGTACACTTAAAATTCAGATAAATATCATTTTTTCTACTATTGACATCTGTTTTGTAGTTATCTGCATCATTAGATATCAGATTTATTTCATACCAAATATTGTTCATCAGTTTGAAAACTTGATGAAAACGAATAACTTGATTAACGATACACACCAGAGAATCTGACCTTTCATGCTTCAAAGAAGAATTATAGTAAGTATATATATATACTTTCATGCCTAAAGTGATACCTTTAAGAAAATTGGGTCTGAAAATATAGGTTTTGTTATAATAAATTAGACATGTAAATGTAAACCAGGAAATGGTTAACTCTTATATGTGTGTATATGACTTTACATGCAGTACACAAATATCTTAACTTAGAAGAAACAAAAGGAAAACAGACTTGAGTCTCTTATATCTTTTATATACATGTATTATTTTCATAAAAAATTCATGATCTGACATTGTAGATTTTCATATTAAGAAATTGATCAAGTTTATTGGCACACCATGAAATCTGCCTGATCTTTTTTTATCCTTGTCAAATACTCATCACATTACAATTTGTTTTTAAATGTGAATTCATAGCAACTTATTTGCAATACATGCCTGATTCAATTCAAAATAATCAATGTCTATTCACATATGTGTTTTCAAACAATAACTGATTCTGGCATTGTACTTAGTTAAGTACAAATAATTATTGTATTTTAGTTTAGTTCTATGTATAGGGTAAAGTTATCAACCAGGTCAATAGTGATCTTTCTGTTGCAAGAATTATAAACTGATCAGGACACAACACAATGTAATGAAAAAAATGTCTTGGGCAAAATTACCCTTAAAGTTAAATTCTGTCAAAATTATTTAACCATATCGTTGATACACCTGTAGATACTACACTTACCTGGCATCATGTAACCTGGAACTTTAGGGTTACGTGGGTCTTTAACTGGAGGTAATTCTTTGTTTCCTATCAAATACCAGTATTAAAGATATATAGATTTAAATACACTTTTAAAATTAAAATGAATTTGTTACCATTCCTGAATTAATCTCGCCATAAACATTGAATTCTGAATTTCCAATTCTCCTGACCCAATTCCCAAACTTAAAAGTTTTAAATTGTTTCAATTTTATTACAGAATAGCCTTAACCTTTCTTGGTCTTTCAAAACTCTTTCATAGGATAAAATGCCTCCCCTAGCAGATCTATTATGTTAACAGGAGTTATTAATTAGAACAACAGAAAGATTTTTCATTTATAATTTTCAGAAGTTTAAATTGCAAAACTGTTTATGTTTAAAGTTTACAGTTACACTGAGTGTATGTAGGAATGGTTTTGTTTTGTTTTGTATTTTATATAGTAAGTCATACCATCGAGAAAATCTCCAACAGTTCCTTTGCGATACATTTCTTCTCTTTTCTTCTTTTGTACTTCTTTTGATGCATGCCAATTCCTTAAAAACTGACGAGAAGTTTCTGATATTTCTTTACCATCTAGAATTTCTGGAAGAAGAATAAACAGCACTTTTGAAAGGAAAGTTTGCTGAAAGACAGGACAATCTCCAAATGAACCAAAAGGTTAACATGTTTTTTGTTGTAATTCAAACAAATGAAATTTCTGTATTTTAAGTGACCACACAATACTATTCTATTCATTTATCAATGAATATATACATAATTTTAAAACAGCTGGATTATTTAGCTTTTTTGCTATTTTAGGTGTCAATTTGGACTATTAGATATCTCTCCCAAATGCAACCTTTTTAATTGTACATGTTTTTAAAACTTAAAAAAAAAAAATTGGATTATTACACTTGGAAAGAGTGAGCCACCTATTTTTTTTTTAGATTGCCTTAGAGATGGCTCTTTCAGTACAATAAGAAAATTAAATGATTTTGAATGGAATCTTTAAACAAATGCTACTATTCTGCAAATTCATTGCTGATATCTATGACAGAACTTCAAGTATACAAATTTGGCAAATTACTCAAGAAAACTAGCAGATAAATTAAATGTAATAGACCACAATGTGAATACTAGTAGATAATCTGTATAAAATGAGCTACATTGATGATGAATTTGTTACAATTCTTAATGCATGAAATATTTGAATTTTACCAACCTAAATGATTTGCCATGACGATTACCCTATCTCTGTATTTAGCTTTATGACACAGGGGATTTCCCATTAAATCCAATCTCCACAATCTATGCCACTGTCCAAATATATGAGCAAGTTCCTTCATATCCATTAACTGATTGTCTGTAGCATGAAATTGTTGTATCATTATTAAACATTCTAAGTCACTAATACTGTTCAAATTGTTCCCTGACACATTAATCACTTGTAAAGATCTCTGCAAGGAAAGAAAATTTGTTTCAATCAGTACAAATAGTATATGAATTGAAATACATGTACTCTGTAGTAATCTTCATGCCAGATTATCTACAAAATAAGCCTTTAGATCTCTATTTCTTATAAAGGTGTAATATACATTGAATCTGAAGGACGTTATTTACTTTCCACAGTTTTGTTTTATAAAAAATGTACAATTTATTTTACAATTCTACAAAAATATCTTTAATTCAAATCTCATTGAACACATTACTAAGGCTTTGTAACTGAAAACATCAAATAGTAACTCCAATACAATGTTTATGTACTATCATGACATTTTTATCTGAAATAATCCTTACCGACAGAGATCTTATTGTCCGAGGATCAAACAAAAGTTTTTCTCCAGGAGGTAACCTTTGATTTTCCAAGTGAAGTTCCTGTAAGTTTTCTAACTTATCAAGTCCCTCTAATACTGTGATACAGTTACCACCTAAGTACCTGAAAAAGATAAACATATCCTATGAGTTACGGTGTAAGACAATAAGTCATCATTATGTGACATTTTTTCTTCCGAAACGCTGAGTGATTCTCAAAACATGTTGCTTTAAATTACTACAGTTTGAACTTCAATGCAATTTCCCATAGGAACTCCTTTTACTGCTAAAACTGTGCCACTTTTACTATGAAGTTTCATGAACAATCATATCCTGGAATTGAAAGTTCATAAGCACTACTATTTTTTGCAAAGGTCAAAAGATAATATGTTTTTTACATAAGCAAAGCAAGGTTATTGCTTTCTGTACAAGAGATTTATAATAATAAAATCACAGCCTATAAAGGTTCAATTATCTGTTTTATGACCCAGGGGTTAGGACTTTTCTCAATGTTCTGCCCATGGGGCCTTAAATTTGCTAAATAGCTCTGATATTTCTGTTAAATTACTTTAACATGTATTTTTAGAACACATTATGGTAAGTTTTATAGAGGCATTTATGTATCTCTAGCTTGAGTCAATTGATGCTACAGTCACAATCAAGCGTTATGGCTTACTTATAGGAATTTGACAGGTCTGGACAAAACACCTGAACAACAATTTTTATCTTGAACATCAATGAGTTTCAATGACTGTGAAGAGTAAATATAAGCACTTCTTAACAATTTTTAGTACAAATATACATAATTCATGAAATTACTTTGCATACAGGGCTTTAGGTAAACTATGCATACTGTTAACTGTGAATGTATGCTGAATCATCATATTTAAGGCCCAGAATTTTCTCAATCTTAATAAAGTATTTGTAAAACTTTATATATGGGTTAATTTCATTAAATGTCTGAAGATATACAACTAGATTTCATAAAATTCCCTTTTTTTCACCCAATATAGGTTGCACATCTGTAAATTTAGACAATGCAAATTTCAGTTAATCAGTCTGAATGAATTCAGTTGTCTTACAGTTAGTCAGTCTCTGAAATTCTGAATGGAATCTGTTGACTTACAGTAAGTAAATCTAGACAAATTCTGTTGACTTACATTAAGTCAGTCTGGACAAAATCTATTCAGTCTGGAGGAATTCTGTTGACTTACAGTTAGTCAGTCTGGGCGAAATCTATTCAGTCTGAATGAATTATGTTAACTTACAATTTGTCAGTCTGGACAGATTCTGTTGACTTACAGTTTAGTCAATCTGAATAGATTTTGGTAACTTACAGTTAGTCAGTCTAGAGTGATTCTGTTAACTTACAGCTAGTCAGGCTGAATTGATTTTGACCTACAGTAGTCAGTATGGAGGGATTCTGTTGACTTATAGTTCAATCAGTCGAATTGGATTCTTCTGACTTACAGTTAAGATAGTTGAATGATTTGAGTCAGGTTCTGTTAACTTACAGTTTAGTCAATCTGAATAGATTTTGGTAACTTACAGTTAGTCGGTCTAGAGTGAGTCTGTTAACTAACAGTTAGTCGGTCTAGAGTGATTCTGTTAACTTACAGTTAGTCAGATTGAAGGGATTCTGTTGACTTATAGTTCAATCAGTCAGATTGGATTCTTCTGACTTACAGTTAAGATAGTTGAATGATTTGAGTCAGGTTCTGTTGACTTACAGTTTAGACAGATAGACCATTGAGGCTTTTAGTTAGTATTGCTGGGTTATCAGTTTATTGTCTCATTGAAATATATCACACATCTTTTTACTTACAGTTTAGACAGTCTGACAAGTGAAGCCTTATTTTAGTTAGTTTTGTTGTGTTGTCAGTTTGTTGTCTCATTGACATATACCCTATATCTCCTTTTAATCTTGTGACTTACAGTTTAGACAGTCTGACAAGAAGTGACTTACAATTAAGACAGTCTGACAAGAAGTGACTTACAATTTAGACAGTCTGACAAGAAGTGACTTATAATTTAGACAGTCTAACAAGAAGTGACTTACAATTTAGACAGTCTGACAAGAAGTGACTTACAATTTAGACAGTCTGACAAGAAGTGACTTACAATTTAGACAGTCTGACAAGAAGTGACTTACAATTTAGACAGTCTGACAAGAAGTGACTTACAATTTAGACAGTCTAACAAGAAGTGACTTACAATTTAGAGAGTCTAACAAGAAGTGACTTACAATTTAGACAGTCTGACAAGAGGTGTCAGGTTCTCTATTTTACAGATATCATTATTCTGTAAATACAGCATATTAATGTTCTGGTTCTGGTGAAGCATAGGAATTCTATTCAGCTGATTGTCATACAGGTACAACACAGACAGATTTTTACACATTGATAATTCATCACTCTGAAAAAGGATAAAAAAAACTTAAAAAACATTACACAAATAAACATTTCACAATCAAATAAAGAAATAGAGCCTGAATTTAAAATCAGACAAAAATATGCAATAAAACATTCCCTCTTTTTGTTGTTAATCCATACAATTACATGGACAGGAAAGTTTATACTTGAGATCCATTAGGTCATCTCTTGATCTTTTTTGACAAATTGTCATTGCCTTATAGATAGTAAATCATTGCTGGAGACCAAATTTATAGAGCAGAGGTTCATTATTGGTATCTGTCCCATAAGCATAATTACTTTATATGCCTTCTTGTTAACATACTAAGGATATTTTTCCCACTTGATTAACCCTACAGAGTCAATTTTCTCAAACTTCGTAAAAACTACCTTCAAGGAGATTCACATACAAGAATATACATCTGTGAGTGTGACTGTCTAAATGGTTTAACTTCTGAACATTTTATTTTATTATAGTCCCTAAAAAATATGAATTCAAAACACTCAGGTTTGTCTACCTCAAGGCAGAGATGGCTTTAGTCATATGTGGTACAAATTTTTGGAATTTATGTTTTTCAATTTCTTCCACTTCATATTTGAATTGGCCTACAAGCTGTATAGATTTGAATGCCACTGATGGTTCTTATACAGATGACATGTGTATATGACATACAAAATTATAAGCCTGTTATCTGTGATGAGTTTTTACTATTAATATTTACCCATGATAGCAATTTTAGTGTCCATGTCATAAAAACATTGAGTTATTTTTATTTATTTGTATTTGAAAGGGATCATCAGTTACATCATTCAATTACATGAAAAGTTATAAAATAAAAGCATAATTGTCATACCACTTCGTCAATATTTCTGTCTTCCAAGTAAAGATGAGTTAATCTGCGTAAATACTGTGACATAGATTCATCTCGTTTCTTCTTGGTGTAACCAGAGGTACCCCTAGCAATCAGGTCAATAGTTAACTTGACCATTTTAATATTATATTCTAAACCATAAAATCATGTAGCTTCTATACCTTCCATCCCTGAAATAAAAAAAAAATAATAAGATAAGAGGTCTTTATTAAATGTCAAAGTAAGTTAGGATAACTAAAAAATTTAACAATATAATAACTAGATACAATGAGATAAGGTATTTCCAATACAACTAGAGAAAATATGGCATAAAGTGTTTCCAATTTACTTTAAGACTATATTAGATCATGGTGCTCCCATATACTGGTAACTATAGACTATATCAGTGTCTAAGCTAGCCAAAAATAGAGGGTTGCCACACCCCGCCCCTTCAGGTTGCACCCCTCACACTTAAAAAAATATTCACTTTGTTTCCCTTTCCAATGTCCAATGTCCACATATTTTTTTTACCAACCATGTCCACATTTTTTATAATCCTTTTGTTTATTCTAGACTTATTAGGCTTGAAACAAGAGGCTCTCAAGAGCCTGAATCGCTCACCTGTATTTCAGAGGAGAAGATTTTTAAATGTTAGCAAACTTGATGAACAAATTGTGTAAAATTATCTTTAAAGGGCAATAACTCCTTAAGGGGTCAATTGACAATTATGGTCATATTACCTTTTTTGTAGATCTTACTTTGCTGAACATTATTGCCGCTTACAGTTTATATATATCTATAATAATATTCAAAATAATAACAAAAAACTGCAAAATTTTGTTAAAAACTACCAATTTGGTGGCAGCAACCCAACAATGGATTGTTCGATTCGTCTGAAAATTTCAGGGCCTATAGATCTTGACCAATTAAACAATTTTACCCCGTCACATTTGCTCTAAAAGATTTAGTTTTTGAGATATAAGCCAAAAACTGCATTTGACCCCTATGTTCTATTTTTAGCCATGGCGGCCATGTTTGTCAATGGATCAAAACTTCGGATACAATTTATAAACTAGATACCCTAAGTAACATTTATTTAAAGTTTGAAGGTATTTGGCCCAGTAGTTTCAGAGGAGAAGATTTTTGAAATAGTTTACGATGACAGACGACAACGACGACGACAGACGCCAAGTGATGGCATAAGCTCACATGGGGCCCTTTGGGCCCCGGTGAGCTAAAAAGGCAAGAGAGTGAAAAGAATATTTTGGGATAAGGCAAAGGAAACCTAACATATCTCTGTAAGAAGGATGTTAAGCTTGGGTAAAAAATATAATAAAGGCACTATTGATCTATGCTAATTCAAAAGATAAATCTGTTGTAAAAATGAACACCACACATAAGTGCCCTTCTATGAGACTGCATTTCTGCTCTCAGTTTATAGCTAGTACACTGTATGATATTAAGCCTTCCCAATTTAACAAAATGCTACATGTAAGGCAACTCCAAGTTAACAAGATTGACTGAAGTTTAAATATGGACATCTTGTATACTGTAAATTCAGAAATTATTGCGAGGTTTTTATTATTGCGAAAAATGCGACAGGGTTATAATCGCAATAATTTAAACTCGCATTTGGAAATTTTTTATATGAATTTAAGAGGATTTTTCTCAATATCAAAAAAAATAAAATCGCATTTTAGTCTAAAATTCAAAAAATCGCAATAATAAATGCACGCAATAATTTCTGAATTTACAGTATATAGACATTAATTTGTCTGAGTAAATGACCATATGGTGACCTTATATGTTTTGCTTTTGGTTTTTTTAAGCCAGTTGGTCTCACTGACATATACCCAAAGTTTTCTTTTATTTATGTGAGACATGGTCACTCCTATTTAAAAATTCGTAAGGGTTCCGCGGAACCCAGTGTCTCGCCTACTTTTGCTGTTAATCGCAGACTCAACAAAAATGAGGAAAAAAATTAATAAAAATATTCCTCTCTATACTATCTTTTGATTATAAGTAGCTTCTGTCCAAGTTTGGTAAAAATTCAGGATAGTTTATGAATCTAATAAATATTTTAAAAACTTAAACTGCAGACTGTATGTAATGTTAACTGGAAGAAAAACTAAGTCCATTTATAAGTAAAATACGGAAAAAATGGAATTAAATTTTAACAAAATTTCCTTCTAGATACTAGCTTTTAATCATAAACAAGCTTCTGTCCAAGTTTGGTACAAATCCAGGATAGTTAAAGAAAGGTGTTAAAATTTTAAAAACTTTAACCAGAGTGAATGTAATGTTAACTGGCAGAAAAACTAAGTCCATTTATAAGTAAAATACGGAAAAAATGGAATTTTTTTTGTGCAAAATTTACTTCTGGATACTATCTTATGATCATAAACAAGCTTCTTTCCAAGTTTGGTAGAAATCCAGGATAGTTTAAGAAAGTTATTAAAATTTCAAAAACTTTAACCACAGAGTGAATATTTGTGGACGCCGCGGACGACAACGACGCCGACGGAATGTAGGATCGCTATGTCTCGCTTTTTCCACAAAAGTCGAAGGCTCGACAATAATACTACCTCTGATTTAATTGTTGTTCTTTTTAATTTACCTGCAATACTATAATATGTCATATTAATTCACAACCTGGAAAAAATAAATTATAACTATTTAGTCAGGAGTGTATACCATGCCATGCCCACTACTTCCCACAATCTCAAAATCATATTAGAAGGACTGCATTGTTATGTTTATGTATTTGTGTATAGATATTTCCTACAAAGAAGTTCTGTAGCTTACATGACTAAAACATAACCTTGGGCATCTTTATACATGGAACTTCAAATTCAATGGTGGCGGGAGCATAATGAGGTTAGGCATTAAAATCATTCCATAAATGAAATACTCCAATATCAATCAATAAAATGTTCTGCGGGGTGCAGCTTGATACAACCAAAGAGGTCGAACCTGAAGAGTTGGAGTGAATATGGATACTACATTCAAGCTTGATACAGCTCTGAATTTGTATTGTGATTAAATATTTGATACAGCAGAGGTTTCTGACACAGTATGAATGTGGTCAAAGAACTGAAATATTTGAAATTGGACTTATATACATATTATGGTCTAGTATCCAAAATCTAAATACACCATTAGATTCTGCATATCCAAGAACACCAAGAATTCAATTTATTTATTTATAAGTGGACAATATTTTGGACTAAAATTAATATATCTGAATCAGCAAAATTCTTAATAACATTAAAATATAAAACGACAGCTTCTCATTTGCATATCACCTCAAAGATAAGACATAAATTATAAGCTAAAACATTGTAAGGGAGGTAACTCTTATGTAAAAAAAAAACCAAAGGAAATTAATCAAATATAAGCAATTCAGCATAGCAAAAAACCCTCCCTTTCAGATTTTGTTAAAATCATACAAAGGTTAATTTTGGACCCTTTGGACCCTGATGGCGACCGAAAAATGGACCCAAAATTCAAAATCTAAATACACTACTGAGACTTGACTGTATGTGTTGCTTTCCACCTATTGCAGTTTATTCAAAATTCTGACCAAATTGCAATTTATTTTATCAAACCAAACTCTTTTAATATTTCTTTAATTGTCATTTGTAACAGTTCAGTTGTCCTGTTAACGTCAAAGTTTTTTTCCTGTCAGAAGGTTCCCCAGAGTCGTCTTCTCACCATATTTAAATAACTTTGTCAGGACTTAAAAATGGGGATTGTTTTTCCCACTGTTAAACACCCTGTTGTAGTAGTGTCAAAATTATTATACAATTCAGAAGTCACAAACCGGGATCTATGATTTGCAGCATCAACAACAAGGAGTTCGTACCTGTTTTTGTAAAATGATGAATAGAGATTTGTGGAGGGCAAAAGTTTAAAATTGAAATGGTTTTAACGACTTAAAATTGCAAATTCCACAGTAATAGACTATGCAACATGCATCTTTCAAAACTGAATGTAAACTGGATGTATTAATTTGATTGTAAACTATGAAATGAATTTGGAATAAAGATACAAAATTTCTTCAGGTTATCAAGTTGCAGTAAATATTTAAGTATTTAGTTTTAAAACTACTAAAGTGAGTGATTATGATCGATAATTGTTGTTATTTTGCATGAAATTATGCTCTGTTTTACGATTAAGACTAAGAGTATAACCTTGTACTTGTTTAATAAGGGGGATGCTAATTGCTTAAATCAATAAAAGCATGTGTTCCACTTTTTATACTTTTTTCTTAGTACATGTAGTAATTGAATTTAAATATTATTTTTGAATCTAAATTTTCAGCGGCATTTGCTGAAAAGAAATTTAATATAAATGAAATTAATCATCTCTCTTGATCAAGTGTTCTCCTGTCAGGTGTCTCTAACTACATGTACAAGTGATCAGCGATCGTTATCCAGATATCCCTCTAAATCTTGCTTTAAAACAGCAATCAGGAGGACTCTTTGGATTATATAATAATAGGGGTTATGCATGCGCAATTACATACCAATAATTATAATTGCTAACAGAAATGGCGGCTGCTAGCGAAACTAAAACAAATTTTGACTACACATTGAAATCATAGTGCAACTATTTAACAATGACAGGGATCAGTTGATGATGGCAAAAGACAATTTAACGATGGTGGTAATCATTTGATGATGGCAGAAGATAATTTTACGATGGCTGTGCACCATCATAAAACAGGTCATGGAGATCCCTGCTTGTCCATGGGCAACCCAGACAAAAAAATTACTTGTCCAGTTGTTCAAATGTAAAAGTCGGGTGAGTCGGGGATAGCATTTCCACACCAGCCTGTTCCACACCCCTGGGTTTTTTTTTCATTTTGTTATGCTGTTATATTACATGCTATGAAATGTAGTGTAATGACAATAAAGATTTGAATTGAATTGAATTATATAAAACATATATAAATTTTACAAATTCAAGCAACTAAATCAATAAATTGAAACAATACATTTGCATTGATATATACATTTAACTAAGGGGATCCAACCAAATGTCTGTTAATGTGTGTGGAATGCATATTTTTCACTTTTGTGATCATTGTTCTTCTGTCAGCTGTGTCATTCATGCGTCTGTAGTTATTATCATTATAATACGGAATTGGTTCATCGTTAGTTTGTGTAATTTTCACTAGCATTCAGCAAAATACTGTGATTGTCTTACAACATCCTAAACAATGGGAATTCAACCATTGACATGACGTAATTTTAATTTTTGTGTACGAAAAATGAAATAACCATGTGATAACCCACTATCCTTTAGATTCTGATCAAGATGCTGCAAAGGAGGCCTCATCACTAAATGAACAATATAATGTCATAACTATGTCGGATGTCAGAAGTGCAGTCAAGATGTCTACAAAACTGAAATGGCAAAGCAGATGGACAATTGGTGAAACAGGAAGACACCTATATGATCTGGTACCTATTGTTGGAAAAATAGTTCAACTAGACCTCCCTAACACTCAAATTGGAAGAATACTATCGGAATTAAGAACAGGCTAATTGTTGTGTGGCTGAAACATCTGAAAAGCAAACCTGACACCCCTGTATTCCAATGTACGGTGCCTCTCTTGTTGTAATACCTATTCTGTTCAACCAATTTAAGTCTGATTAATCAGACCATTCATAACAAACCTAGGTAAAAAAGGGGAGTTAAATGGCCAGTAACCGACAAGTACCTGGGTTCGACTAGAATCAGTATTAATTTTATTCACATTAATTGATTATATTCTATTCAGGCCAAATTTAACTTCACTCATTAGTCATTAAAGGACTATACCACACTAGAAAACAAGCAATATTAAGACTATACTTTTAAAGCATAATCACGTGACTAGTCGTTAGGCTTCTGTTGCTATGAACTTCACGAAGCAATTTGACCCACTTAAGTTTCCAATATGTTATATTCAAATACCTGTATATCAAACAGTCTGTTGCCACTTTTTCATGTGGCTCTTTGTCTGCAAAGTGATACCAAACCGAAGAAATATTTCAAAACAAGGTCAGGTTTGATACAAGCGCCTTATTGACGGAAGAATTCAATAAAACGTAATAAAGATATTACTCGCCGTATTCAAATCAGCAGTGAATGTGCTCCTTTCAGATTATTTCAGAAGAGAACTTTGTTTAACTAATACTAAAAACCAAAATCTATTTGAAAAATATACGACCAAGTATCAGTTGGAAATCTGGTGTCAAACAAGTTTTAGCTTTCTTAAAAGCTTTGGAGTGATTCGCTGTATCACACTTTTAAGCAAGATGTGACTTATGTGGTTGTTTAAATATGAGAAAGGTGTTAGTTATCTCCTTTGTGTATATATTCATACTGTAGTTCATCCATGAATATTTCCTATAAAAACTCAAATTTGCCAATTCTCACAAAGCTTAAAAGGAACATTCGGATTGATAGAATATAAAAATAAGGAGATTTGGTTTGATTGCCAATAAGACAACTATCCATCAGAGTTCAAATGAAGTGGATGTAAGCAATTATAGGCAACCGTACGGCCTTCAACAATGAATAACCCACACTGTATAGTCCGACGGGCTATAAAAGGCCCCGACATGAAACATTTGAAACAATTCAATTCAATGTAGAGAAAACGAACGGCCTAATTTATAACAAAACAATTTACGAAAAACAAATATGACAGACATGAACCAAAGACAACCACTAAACTACAGACTCCTGACTTGGGACAGGCACATAGAGAATGCGGCGGGGTTATACATGTTTGAAGGCGCCAACCCTCCCAGTACCTGGGACAGTAGTGTAACAGTATAACATAAGAACAAACTATAAAATCAGTTGAAAAGGGCTTAACTCATCAGATCGATACAAAGCAGAATAACAAAAACATAGACCGGACGTGACAGGGAATTTATACATCCGTCACAACAAAAAAGACGCAAAGTATATGTATAGATCTGAGAGTACTAGCAGTTACTGACAGCTAGTTCAAGGCCAATAACAACAAATAAAAGAATCATGTATCTAAGTCTAAAATATCAATCAGTACTGTGACATCCAACATCCAATGGATTAAGTTAAAGACGTCATTAACAGTTAGAGCAGAAACATGACCTTGTGTGATGCCAAAATATAGGTATCGACAGATTGTAGAACCGTGAATGTGCATATGTGTATATCAATGATATTTAGTATGGTTTTAATTTACTGATAACAAAATCAATATTTATACCAATTAAAACAATATTCAAAGCTCTAATTACAATGTTGAATTGGTAACCTTTTAGAATAAGTTTATTTAAAGGTTTGATAACTTTACCCGGATCGTATCTAAATTTCCGGGCTCGGTAAACAACATCACCGTAAAAATTAGAAGAAAGCTTCATTTTGATTTTCAAATTCTTTGGTTGCATCATTCCTGAGATATGCTTTGATTTTGATATTATTTGATTTGTCATTCCACAGTTATGGGACTTTGACGGTCAGGTTAATAATAGGTATTGTTCTACATGTAATGCACTAGATCTAGTATGCGTTGATCAATTTACTACACACTTTACTATGTTGTTGGTATAGGAGAATATAGATTTGCTTTATATTTTGACAATTTATATTTTATCGTGCCAGAGTTATTGGACATTTAACAGTCATTTCTGACGCAATATTTATTTGATTATGGATACTGATCATCATGCATGTTTTTCTACAAAGCAATTTTACTAACTTGTTATTACATGCTCCTAAATATTCCACATCATTATCACAACAATTATAATGCACAATTCGGGGTTATACAATGTATCATGTGCTCTTGGCGGAGCTGGACTTTTTCTATATCATTTGGTTTTATACCATGGATCACAGGTATTCTGTCAACATTCTTGAAAATCATTGGCAGTAATAGATAATTTTTAAGTGTTGGTGTATATTCATATATAGTAAGATGATCACTCAGAAACTTGTTCATTTTTGTCCCTCATCTTATTTATCAATATGAATTTGACGCAACATATAGCAAGGTAAACCATTAAAGGCAATTGGGTATCAGATCGGATCTTAAATACCCATACTGAATTTTGTCCGTAATTAATATCTTCCCCTGTTCGGGACATGTTTCCAATTCTATATCTCATTCTAGCCAATAGAATCTTTCCCACATCATAAGGCAACCAAAGAGGACCGATATGGGTTACGTAATAATTTCGGGATGGCGTGAAAATCGTATGAAACTAATAGCTTCGCAATGTGATGCGAAGAAAATATTATCTCCCCTGTAAACACTCAAAACTTTATCTTTTCAACGTTTGTTCCGCTTTAGCAAGGACGTTATTAATTGTAAGAAAACGTTCTGGTAAATAGTAACAATAAAATTGAATTGAAATAAAATAAAAACAAAATCTCCATGTTATATTATCATTTCCCTCCTAAAGTAGCAATCGACAAGTACAGCAGGCTATATGAGCTTTGTGTAAAATTGGTTTAAAATGTTGCTATGCGAATATATTCCTGGACTACCAACTTCAATTTATTTTTCTCCTGCTGTATACGTCTATGGAACATATGCCAATTATCCGTTTATGCATGCAGCTAGATCCGATAAGCCCTGGGGAAAATCCACAGGAATCGATTGATATACAGCAAAGAATGAACACTTCTTTTGAAATTAGTTACTAAACAAATTATCCCAAGGAGAACATTGAATGTGAATAGATCGAATAGGCAGCAAATACATGTACAGAAATCGAGACAACCTTTTCAAAATATATACTACAAATCTTTTAACGGATAACCTACTTTGTAAAAATATTTTTCTTTAATAATTGATCCTGCACAGACACAACTTTTAGATTGATATATTCACGAAAAGACTATATATTTCTATATTGAAAGTTCACGTGATGAGAGCAAACCGGTGCAAAACTCAGATGTTAAAAAGATGCATAATTTCCGGAATTTTGACATGCCAAGGATGATGTGGAACACTCCGAAAAGTGGTGACCTGAAAGTTTTTTTGTTTACATTTTCTTCTTCATGAATTAGTATTTCTACCAAGGGAGTTCCATACAGGATTCAAAGGGGGGGGGGGGGGGGGGGGGGCTATTGTTCGTAATGGTCAACAAAATATCATCTAGCCTAAGAAAAAGTTCACGTTTGTGTTGATGAAGAATGTAGTCATGTTTTTACGGTTTTTTTTTCTTTCTTCTGTCTTACTGTAAAGACTGTGACTAAATCAGACTGCAGAAAGTCACATTCATTTTTAGTTCTGATGTTTTTGTAGACGATACAAGCATCTGCAACCAGTCTTAGTTTACTAGATAGCAAATAATCTGGAAGCTCATTGGTATAAACTGAATACAAGACTAGATCAACTATTGTGTCTTAAGTTACTTGAGTTGCACCTGATGTGAATGAGTCCATATCAGATGACTCTCCATCCAGAACAACAGTTCGTGTACGATCGGTAAGGAAAAGTTGACTCAGTTCAATGTTCCGTTTTGTATACCATAGTAGTGAAGTTTGTATGGTATCGACAATGAAAGACTTTGTTTATAGCTTTGAAAAGTCCATTATCATAAGATATGTATGAGCAAAATGAGTTTGGTTTACCTTTATAATGATCAAAACTGACGAAAGCCATACTAGAAATGATATAGTATGATGGTTTTTTTTTGGCTCGTTTAAAATGTGTTAAGTAGCGAAATGCTCCATTCATTAACAGGAGAGTCGGATCTTCGGTGGCCGAGTGGTCTATAAGTAGTTCATCTACTGTATCAATAGCCTGTCAAAACTGAGGTTATGAATTCGTACTCCGCACGTGGCAGCTGTGTTCGACTCTAATCTTACTTGACTAGGATTGTCAGTTTACCTGACGAAGATCTGTGGTTCTCTCTGGGCACTTCGCCTTCTTCCACCAATAAAAACTGACCGCCACAATATAGCCATCAGTGCCGAGTTGGCGTTAAACACAAACAATCAATCAATCAATTTTCAGGAGATCCATGTCAGTGATATAAGTCGATAATTTTGTGGCTTTTACTTTCCGTTTTTTAAATACGGTTGCTAGATTTGCGTATTTCCAATCTGTGGGTGTCCTACCAGTGTAAAGTGATGTTTTACATATGAGAGTGGGTATTTGAACCGTCTTTTCCTTAAGGGCATACGATACAGTTACAGGGGAAGATAAAGACATCGCTAACGTAAAATGTTATTTTTCGCGACGTCAAACTGTGACATATTGAGAAAAGATGTATTTTTCGATTGATTTTAATCATTAGCTTGAAAACGAGTACATAGACCATCCTTTATTATGTGTAAAGATTATTTTTACCAACTTTTATGAAAAAGTTACAGAAAAATCACAGATGATTTTTTTTTTAATCAGATAAATATACAGATATACAGCAAAAAAAATCGTTTTTTTTTCTAAAATCACGAACATTTAATAAAATGAATTATTTCCAAAGAATTCTTACACAAATTTATATTAAGGAGTAGCATAGACATTTCATTTAACTTCCAAAGTAGGTAATGATATTTATTGACGGAATATTACAGGGTGTGAGCATAGACCTTTATATGGAATGTTGTTGTCTGACCTTGTGTAAATACTGATTTGAACTGTGATCTACGAATATATTTGTTTTTTTTTTGTGTCTGCTATAAGTGTTCTTTTCTCAGTGATGCGATATCCGTATTGTCTGTTTTTTGTTATTTAATAAATGTGAATTGGTTCTTTGTTTTATTGTGCTATGGTAATTTGTTTGTATTCTTGTCTTTCATTTGGCGTATGTGCTTTGTCTATAGAGTGTCTATATGCCGTTTTGTTTTTCTTTGTTGACATAGTTGTTTGTTTTTGTAGTGATTAAGATTATAACACCATGTTGACTGCTTTGACCAAGTCTGGAATATGACAGTAGTTTTCCATTAGTCTGATGTGTTTGAGCTTTTGATTGTGCCATTTGATAAAGGACTTTCCGTTTTGAAAAACAACTGTCATATTCCTGACTTGGTACAGGCATTTCCTTATATAGAAAATTGTGTTAAAATCTTAATCATTATAAAACAAATAATTATTTCAACAAAGAAAAACAAAATGGCATATAGACACTTTATAGACGAAGTACATAAGCAAAAATGAAAGTCAAGAATACAAAAATAATCATAGCACAGTAACACAATGGCGGAATGTATAAATACCGAGCCACGCCAAAAGTGTATTACCAAAATGGACTAAAGAGTAAAGGTTATAAATATACAAAGACAAATAAAAAGAACACTATGACACGTAAGTAAGATGATAAACAGCGTCAGTACCTAGAATCTATACTTCAAGACCATCATGTATTATTTGTGAAGTTGATGTGGAATATTTATCAACAAGGTCTTGGTATCTTCCGATGAACTTTTTTTTTTAGAAATCTGAAGACGAGACGTTCTTTCACATAACCCTGGTTCATCAACTTCCTGCTCAGACACTGGTGACGTTTTATAAAGTCTGAGTAGCAGCTACAGGCTCTTGGATACCAAACGAGTTGGGAAATGTATATCCCATATGCAGGTGAAGTTAGTATATTGCTGCTAAGGGGGGAGAGGGATTTATAATTTCAAAATTAAAATTGTCTCCTTTGTCATAGATTCTGGTACTGAGATGACCGCTTATGTCAAATTCGAGGTATAAGTCTAAAAATTAGGCCGAGGAAGCCGTGTCTGTTGTTACTTTAATTTCTTGTTCTGTATGATATATTAATGGAACCTAATCAGAAAAGTTTTGATTGTTAATGCTGAGGCTATTATACTAATCCCAGGTTAAGTTGTTTTATGTAATGTATCCGTTTTTATTCTGTAGTTAGTCCCCACTTCGGTTTTATCATGTATATCTATTATATAGTCGTTTTATAAAATTTACTGTTTGCAAAAGTATATATTATTCTAAATAATAAGGATGTTCTTGTCCCAGGCAGAAAACCCTGGCCGTGTTAGGCGCAACTTTTTGGAAGTTTTGGTCCTCGGTGCTCTTCAGCTTTGTACTTGTTTTGGCTTTCAAACTTTTTTCATCTGAGCGTTGCTGGTTGGTCTTGTGTGGACGAGACGCGCGTCTGGCGTATTAAATTCTAAACCTAGTACCTTTTGTTAGCTATTATTCGTGTGTTTCTTTGTCCTATATGTTCTCCCATTTATTTGTATTGTAGTCATGTCATGTAATGTTGTCATTTTAATGTTATATTTAACATTGCCATAAAAGCGGGAGGTTTGGCATGCCAGAAAACCAGGTTCAACCCACCATTTTTTTTCTTAAAATGTCCTGTACCAAGTCAGGAAAATGGCCATTGTTATATTATAGTTCGTTTCTGTGTGTGTTACATTTTAATGTTGTGTTTTCGTTGTGTCGTTGTTCTCCTCTTATATTTGATGCGTTTCCCTCAGTTTTAGTTTGTAACCCGGATTTGTTTTTATCTCTATCGATTTATGAGTTTCGAACAGCGGTATACTACTGTTGCCTTTATTTAATGGAAAGAACATCATCAATATATCTGAATGTGAAATTAAATGATCTGGCTTTGGACGTTGATGTTAATAGTTGTATTTTGGAATTAAAAGATATATTATGTTTACACTGTTTTTGATTCATTGACTTCAGTAGAGGATTCCTTTCGCGTAATTAATACATATTGCATCCATCGTCAATCAGTCAATAAGCTAAAAGTCCATATTAAGTTATCCATAGTCTATTCTAAAATATGCAACCAATTTGTAGTTGACTATGTCAAATTTGACCAATACTGTAGTTTTTGACATGACGGGGATTTTTATTGTTGTCCGTTGTGCTATTCTCTTGTTTTTAAAAGTTATTATTTGGATCATAAGTGATTCTAGGAGGGAATAATCTGTAAAGACCTTTATACGTATCTGTCATTTTAAATAAAACGATCATGCTAACACATTTTAAGCATTGAAATGTATCACTTTATATGTTTGACACAATAAAAGATATTGAATCAATATTTATACAGATTTAAGGAAATATTAGGCACGGAGTAAATCATATAATTGTAAACATGGCTGCCACCGGGAAAGGTGGCTTGTTGGCACGTTCAGATTTTCCGCTGTACACGGTGAATGCGTTGGATGAAAGGCATTTTATAGTTGCAGGCGGTGGAGGTGCTGCAAAAACTGGAGTAGTAAATGCAATTGTACGTTGATTTCCATTTTGAATTCGTTAAACGGCTTTGAATATGTCTTATTCATTAGGCCTATTCTTTTCATATCTCTTAAATAATTTCCTATCAGTATTAACCAAAGGTTACACTACCTATTATTAGCCTGATATCCCTGGGGAATTAAAACAGTAACTTACAGAATCCCCTTATTATCATAGTGGATATGATATTACATGAAGCGTCAGGGCTTTGAAATTTGTGCTAATTGGCATTTCCAAAAAAAAAAAACTCTACAGATGTTTTGGTCACAAAACCAGGTCGGCTGCAGGTCATTTCAGCCATATTACCAATTTGGCCAAAGTAAATTTTCAACCACACTTTCATAATTCCAAAATTAAAATATAGCATTGTACTGTAGTAAGTTAGGTAACTCTTACGGTATGACATGACCAGGACGTACATAGAGAGAACCAGGGACGAGAATAGACTAGAAGTGTGTGTGTGCGGATGGATCTTCCTCGTGTGATCGACAAGTAGCAGACAAGTGTCAAGAGAGAATTAGAGTGCAATAATAAGATTAGTTAGTGTTTCCACTTAAACCTGAACCTCGAGCCTGACTATCACAGCAATATTAGTAAGTACGCTTAAATATACATCATTGGCGATGCGAGCAATTACTACTTGTACAAACAAGTGTATATAGGTGCCTGGCAGTTTGATATGGTCATGTGTGGATGACCGTGACATATCTAGATGGAACTGTCAAGAGGATTTCCGAGTATATGTCTCGGGGTTGTACAGTAGTGGAACTGCGAGTTGCTCGGATGGATGGTACGCAGCCTGAAAAAAGAAAAGGAGGAAGAGTGTTGTAGACCTGGAGGTATAAAGGTAGTCTAACTAGTTGAGTAAGGGAAGATCTTCTTTGGCTCAATTGGTTAGAGCGCTGCCTTTAGATCCCGAGATTGAGGGTTCGAATCCCGCTAGTACCATCCATGGATTTTCACATCAGTACTTTGAAATGTAATAAATATATATAAATATCTATTCATGATTCTCTATTAAATATGTACATGTATGCATTGACCTAGTTATATAACCACATAGAGTGTTTTTTTTTTTAATTATGCATTTATTTTTTAAGAAAAACATTGACAAATGTCGACAAAAAGCTCCACAGAACTTATATGTTTGCAATGTTTCATGTAAACCCGACTTAAAATAAAATGTTCTATTCTATTTCTTTTCTATTCTATTATCTTATAAAATATATGGTTTACCTGCACAATTTATTTATATGGTCAGTTGATTGATTGTAACAAGCATTTTGATTTTCAATTAATTATGCTGCAATATCCGAACACCTAAGCACTACTTTGCTTGTATTGTTACGACAATTTATAATCTGATACATTTTTATAGATCTGCTTGAACTCAGCTTGGGTTCTGATGTTCTACAGAGATTTCACCTTTGGTATTTTTAACTAGGCACTGGCTACGGTTACATTTAAATGTAACAATAATAAAAAAGTTATTGTTACATTGGAGACTTAATTGCCAGAATGCAGGGTTGGGTAAGGAACCGATTAATTACGAATGTAATAATAATATTTGTGTCTACGGTTACGTTGTGTTATTGTTACATTAATGCACTTCAATGTATGCTGGGACTAGTAATACATGTATGTATTAAATAAAAATTTAAAACTTTTATTTGAATTTTACAATATTGCATACAATTTTTTTAATTTTTATTTGTTCATGTCTGTTTTTAGAAACAAATTTACTGTATTTTTCACAGAATTAAAATGTTTATAACAAACAAGGCTGAAACAACTACCAAGTATGGCCCAAACAACTTTGGCCCAAGTGGTGGTGTGGCCAAAACATCTTGCATCAGAATAAGCTTGACTTGCCTCAAAATAAAATCTTAAATTTGCTCCAATAAAACAGATAAATAGTATAAATTATAGCAATATATTTTTACTATTCAGTTTATATTGTTACTTGTAATAAAAGGCAAGTGTAACTTGTGAAAGAGGATGAAGTCCCTATTATTTTTGTGATACTTTTTAGTAATCAGATATATGTACAAATTGGCTGGTATCATATGCATTACAACATGGCAGCCTCTATCAAAGGCTTGAATGCTTAATTGCAACTGTTATAAAAAAAGTAAACGACGCTAAATTCACTTATCTATTGATTAAGCAAAAAAAAAAAATTTTTAAATATGTGTGTTTCGGGTTGCTCTACCTACCCTAATTTATAGGCTTCCACCCTAACTTTTTTTCCCAATATTATATTTTTATGATAATCTGTAATTTTTTCGTTGTGATCAGAAAAAAAGCTCTTCCTTTTGCATGTCTCAAAATCGTCTGTGTATAATTAGCACTTTTCTATAATCTTTTTTGCTACTGTGAATGAAAACAAACAAATGGTCTGGTATAACTAGTGTGATCACAATTCGGTTGATGAAATGCAGCCATTAACTTGATACTCAAATGTTCATGACAGTTTCATACTAAAAAAACATTCAAACAATGGTTCAAAAAACTTCATGAGATTGATGGAAAAAAAAAAAGTAATAAAAAAAATCCAAACCTACTGACCCTATTACATGTATTTTGGGCATGCAACAGAAAACATCTTTTTTTTTGTTTTTTTTTGCCTTAATTTTATACTATTTTGAGTACTTCACCCTTTATTAATCTCTTCAGTTCTTTATCATAATATGATACCCCTCGTTACCATGGGAAGGTGGAAGCAAGGTATTGACAGGATAAGTTCCTAAACAATTTAATAAAAGGTTAAACCACAATATCTTCAGGTTTTGTTTGCATCATAAAACTAGTTGTGTCCCCATCTATTGTCGTAGTGATTTTTCTTTGCATCTACATGTATATAAAACCTGTCAATATTCCTCAATACACTGTAGGGGCCTTGGTGGCTGAGTGGTCTAAGTAGTTTACTTACTACATCACTTGCCTGTCATTACTGAGGCTGTGAGTTTGAACCCCGCACATTGCATGTGCTTTCGACTGTAGACTTTGTTGATTGGATTGTCATATTCCTGCCAAAGCTCATTGGTTTGCTCCAGGAACAGTGTGTGTGGAAAATAAATTTAAAGTCCAAATGATAAAAAGGAAATTTGAAATGACAAATATAAACACACAAGAGACAGACTATGAACCACTGATTAATTAAATTTATTTGTTGTAGGAGGTTTATGAAGTAAAAGAGACAGAAAATAAGTTGATAGCTAGTAGTATAGGTAGACACGATACAGGAACTAAAGCTGTTATGAATGGATGTTGTCATTATGATGGTAGAAAACACATATTAGCAGCAGGATTAGATGAAAAGTGTCACATATATTCATTAAAATATAAAGTTGTTTCTCCCAAGAAAAACTCAAGTGAGTAAAAGTCTTCATCAGTCATCTTTGATAATACATGTATTCACAAAAACAAGTGAAAATATAATATATTAACACGATTTTCAACAAATATGGCTATACTAATTTTTTTGATGTTAATATTGTTTTGATGTTTTTAAACGACCGCAAAAATTTTTTTGGGATCGCATAATGGTATGATGTCGTCGTCGTTGTCCGAAGACACATTGGTTTCCGGACAATAACTTTAGTTTTAGTGAATGGATCTTTATGAAATTTTTTAAGAAGGTTTAATACCACAAAAGGAAGGTTGGGATTGATTTTGGGGATGATGGTCCTAACCCTTTAGGAATTAGGGGCCCAAAACAAGCATTTTTCTAGTTTCAGGATAATAACTTGTGTATAAGTATTTCGATTGGTCTGAAATTGTACCACAATGTTTAATACTACAAGTAGAAGGTTGGGATTCATTTTAGGGGTTATGGGGCCAACAGTTTAGGAATAAAGGGCCAAAAAGGGGCCAAAAACAAGCATTTTTCTAGTTTCCAGACAATAACTTGTGTGTAAGTGTATGGATCTCTCTGACATTGTACCACAAGGTTCCACATAACAAAGGGAAGGCTGGGATTGAGTTTGGGGTTAATTGCCCCAAACATGTAGGAATTAGGGGTAAAAAAAGGGCCAAAAACAAGCATTTTTCTAGTTTCCAGACAATAACTTGTGTGTAAGTGTATGGATCTCTCTGAAATTGTACTACAAGGTTCCATACTACAAAGGAAAGGCTGGGATTGAGTTTTGGGGTTATTGCTCCAAGGGGGGTTTCAAAAAATTGGAGGGGGGATTTTTTTCCCAATTTTTTTTAAGGGATTCATATTTTTTTTTCAAAATTTTTAAAATTTCGAATTTATGAAAAGTTTCAAGAAGAAATCTTCAACTGTACAGTATTGCGCAATGGATTTATAAGATCTTTGACCACATTTATTTTGTGACAGAAACCTATATTATGTCAAAAATTTGATTACAATCCAAATTCAGACAGTATCAAGCTTGAATATTGTGTCCAAATTTGTTCAGGGTTCGACCTCTGCGGTCGTATTAGGCTGCGCTCAGCGAAGCATTTTATTATTACTTAAAGTAGTTAAAACATGCTTAAAATCAAGGAACAATTTTTCAATTGTGTTTGTTTTATCTTTTGTGTACTGTAGCTCACTTATATTACAGTTACATCTAATTAGTACAGAACAATGCACCATTTATTAACACTATACATGCTATAGAATGAATTTGATTTCCAGACTGCAGAAATTGGTTAATACATCTTTCAGGTTACCATGATCTTTAAAAACAGACAATAATTCTCTTTTAGAGGAAAGTAGTAAAAGATAGAGACAATTGGAAACTTTTAATTTATATTATTTAAATAAAAACTTGAAACTAAAATAAATTAGAACGAAAAAGTGTTGTTTGGAGAATACTAAGCTTCTCTCCTAGACATGAAGAGATATGCTTTGCCAAGAAGTTAGAATAATTCTGAATAAGCAATAGTAAATGAACATGAATTAGGTACGATCTGTATGTTAACCTTTATTTGAAGTCTTTTACTTATTTGAACTGTCAAATTGCTGTGTTATTGTCGTATATATGTAAGCCTCAAATCTATGTCTGGCCTGTGTCCCATCCTATATTGCATTATAGCTGTCACAAATCTAGTTTCTATTTTTTCTCAAATCTGTGTTCATTTTTACAAGTCATGCCCTGTCTTATATGTTGACATCATACTAGGAAAGAATTTTGTTGCCAAAGACATCAGAACGACTTTTATATTCAAATTATAATGAAATCAGTTAAGGCCATTGAAAAGTTAATGCATGTTGAACTATGTACATTGTACACAGATCATCACAATAAAAAAGTTGTAAAAAAACTTATCCTACAGTTTAATCTTTTGGTTAAATTTAACCTTATTTTCCCGTTTTTATTTTTTTTTATAATTTTTTAGATAAAAAAAGTTTTAATAGTGAAAGCAGTTGTAATGTAAAAACTTGTTTTTCTCTCTCGAAATAGACAAATTTATGTCAAATTAGGCTTAATCGCTTTTTGGGGATTTCTCAAATAAGTAGCAAAGCCTACAATGCCAAATGGTAAAATAGATTTAAGTGCTGTTAGATCTGTACATTTTTTGGAGTTAAATTTTTGTGCTTTGTGTCCTTTCCAACTGATTTTTATAAGCCTGTTAATGGGACGTATTATGGTACATGTATACCGTTGTCAGTTGTCAACATGTCGTACAATAACTCAAAAATGCTTTAACCAATTTTCATGAAACTTTGGTGAATTGTTTATATTTATTGACGTAAGCTCCCTTTCGATTTTTATAGATTTTACATTTCCGAGTTATGGGATTTTATTCATAAAAAATGGGGGATTTTCCAGTTTTCTGACTATAACTCAAAATGCTTTGAACAATTTTCATGAAACTTTGGTGAATTATTTATATATATTGACATAAGTTCCCTTTTGATTTTTTAAAATTACTAATTTTACATTTTGGAGTATTGGAACTTTATTCATAAAAAAGGGGGAATTTTCCAGTTTTCGGACAATAACTGAAAAATGCTTTGGGTAGTTTTCATGAAACTTTGGTGACTGGTTAATATCTATTTAAATAAGCTCCCTTTAGTCTTTTATAAATTTCTGACATGACATTGAGGAGTTGTGGAACTTTATTTGTTGAAAAAGCGACAGGCGTATCATGAGCACATGGCGCAGCTCTTTATTAAAGTTTGTTCATATGTTGTGTTGTAACATTGGGGAAAGGTTAAGTGCTTCAACCCAGTCACATTATATTTTTTAACGTCCCATTACCTAAAATCTACCTTATAAAAAGAACACAGGTTTAAAAAAAAAATATTTGAGTTTCATGACATCACAGGACACTGATTTGAGGCTGGACAAAGGGCCACAGATTTGTGTGTCAAAATGTCACAGGACACAGATTTGATGCTGCACATAAATTTTAGTCTTACATTAATACAAAAAAATCTACCACAGATATTTCATTAATATCATAAACTTACATAATATTTCATCAGTCTTTTGTTAGAAAAAGAAATTTAAATAATTCTGTGATTGATGATTTCATTATTAAAGGTAAAACAGATGACACAGTTCGGAAAAGAAAATCTAATAATGGTGCTGAAGAAAATGAAACCAAGCAAATTAACTTTGACATTGAAGAAATAGACAGTTTTGACACTGACTTTAATAAAGATGGAAGTTTTCAGAAAACTGTACAATTTAGTATGGATCAGAAATTTTTAGCAACAGGTGGTGCTGATGGTTTTCTTCGTGTTTGGAAGGTATGGAATGTTTTGAAAATGTTGAAGGTTGGAATAAAATAAAATATGTGCGTAGTGTAAACTGATATACCTGTAACATAACTGGCCTTCAATCAATTTTTCCTCATACTCCAAATATCATATAGGACATCTAACAAAGAATTTCATGCAAATCATTGCCAGGGGCATTCTTCAACTTAAAGTCAGGCATGAGCTTTTGCTCTGTATTGAAGCATTGCTGTGATATTGCCTTTGGTTTTGTTAAGTTCATGTATGGACATTATCATGATTAACACATCATGTCCCCCTTCTTTTTATGCCCCGCCGCATTGGAGGGGCATTAAGTGTTACTCTTGTCCATCTGTACGTCCATCCGTACGTACCAAAATTAATTTCTGTTCTCTAACTTTAGTTTGCCTCAACCAATGTTAAGAAACTTATTACCATAAAACACAGATCAAGTTGAGATTTGGATGGCATCATATAGTTCTCTAGTTATGTCCTTTTATAATGTTATATGCAAATGGGGGCATCATCTGTGTCCCATGGACACATTCTCCATTTATTTGTTAATTAAAAATAATGTAAGATTTGATATATAAATTTCTTAAGGTCTGAATGTTTGTATCCATGTAACAATTCTACCATAGGATATTTAATAAACACTGATAGATCTAAAATTATATTATTATTACAGTATCCTGAATTGAGTAAGATATTTGAAGTCCATGCACACAAAGGAGATATTGATGATGTAGCCGTAAGTCCTGCAAGTGATAAAGTAAGTGATGTGTAATTTTTTTTATTATACCTTGACAAAGGGAGACATTATATTTATGTTAAAATTTTTCTTTGGTTCTTATTCTCATAGAACCTTGTCTGGGCCATTTTTAAAGCAATTGCTTTTACGGAATGGCCAATTTGCCATTTGTGTGACGAAGATTCATGTGATGGGATACCAAACTGGTCGGAGTACAAAATTTAGATTCTTCTTTTGCTATGATAAATTTCCTATGTTTTTATGATTAATTGATGTAGAACAAGTTCAGTTAAAGACAATGGTGGACTGGTGAAGTTTCAAACCATTAATCTGTAGATGTATTGTGCATTTGTCATGTTTTCCGATTAATTTAGATGAATAAAGTAGAAATCCAAGTAAAAAGTACATTTTTACCAGTTCCATTTTCCTTCTTTAGGACACTACATGTTAAAGTGCCAGTTGTGTGAAATAAAATTAAGAACTAAGCACATTGAATTTGTAGACCCATCGTATGATATTTCAGAGGAACAACTGATTACACTAACGAGTTGAAGTATTTTTATTTTCGCCTCTGGCACTCGTAACTCAAGCGTACCATCAAAAGATTCTGATTTTAGTTTTTAGTAAAACTTGATCATAATGGACTTAAATTAACGTTTGATCCATCTATTGCATGATAAACATAATATTCCTTTCCAAATCGCTCATTAAAGATTGTTTATTTTTGTTAATTTTCCTTCGTCCACAATTGAAAAATGCTTTTAATGGATACAACAAATTCTGTAATATTGTATAAGCCAATCAAATTTTTATGAAAATATATGTTCAATATGGGGTTAATAGCTACTTGTTTTTGATAGATAGTAACAGTTTCTAGAGACCACTGTGCCTGTGTGTGGAATGCAAAAGAGGGGAGTAAAGACTGTGAACTTAAATGGCCGTTAAGTGATCAGTATCGGCATAGAGCGTGCAAGTAAGTTTGAAAAAAAAGTGATAGCTTGTACCTGATTGTTTAGCAAAAGAATTTTGTTATAAATAAGTGTAGGAAAAAATATCTTGATATTTGAAGTTTGTTTATTGATGTCCAGTTGCTAAAGAAAAAAACAAACTTATGTGGTATATTTGTCCTTATTTTGATACAATAAAAAAAATAACTTAAAAGAATAAAATATATTGACATATTCACTAGTAGTTACAAGTCTTATTTTGGGTTTGCAAGGGGAGAGATTTACAAATTTAAAAATTACTTTTATCATCAAAATTACCTGTAATTATGAGTTTTGTATTTAATTAAAACCATAATATATGCTACAGAGCGAAATACTGTTTTTTACTTAGACTGGTAATGCATAGAAATACAGAATTAAAAGCCCCCAAACCAATGATTTTTCAATAATATTGGAATCTATTAAGTGCTTTCACAGAATTGTATTTTATTCAACATTACTGAAAGATCTTCATCTTAAATAGTTTCAAACAGAACATTGAATTTACAAACAATTTTTTCAGATATGGTTTAATAGAGGGACTCAAAGACAATTTTAACTTGTACACAATTAGTATACCTGTAAAAAGATCACAGAATCCAGCACCATGTTACCTCGCTATGTGGGATAGTAGTAAATTTACAGTAAAACGAATGGTCAGTACTGGAGTAGAGGTGCTCTCAGCATTGGCTCTCAGGTAAATTATTGACAAACTTGGTAAGGTGCTGTCAGCATTGGCTCACAGGTAAATTATTGACAAACTTGGTGAGGTGCTGTCAGCATTGGCTCACAGGTAAATTATTGACAAACTTGGTGAGGTGCTGTCAGCATTGGCTCACAGGTAAATTATTGACAAACTTGATGAAGTGCTGTCAGCATTGGCTCACAGGTAAATTATTGACAAACTTGGTGATGTGCTGTCAGCATTGACTCGCAGGTAAATTATTGACTAACTAGGTGAGGTGCTGTCAGCATTGGCTCACCGGTAAATTATTGACAAACTTGGTGAAGTGCTGTCAGCATTGGCTCACAGGTAAATTATTGATTATATATACTCTTTATTCTCATAAACCAATGCATGACATTAGTACAGAGATAACAATAACTATTTACAATATATACAAAACATGGGGGGGAGAGGTTACAAAAGTCACTAGCCAGGAGGACAAACACAAGTATTAATATTTTTTATAAACTTGGTGAGGTTCTGTCAGCATTGGCTCTCATGTAAATTGTTAACGTGCTTTCTAGCCAATTAAACCACGAAATGTTAATACTGCAATGTATAAATTTCGAATTGATTTAGAATTGCAGTCTTCACGCTTAACCACAAGTCCTACGGCATTGGCTTGTAAAATTGCTTTCTGACTTGTAAAATTCTTCTCTACAAGCCAATAGAATCCAACTAAAATTTTGAAAAAATTGAGCTTTGGGCTTGTGGACTTAAAAGTTAACCGTGAAGGCTGGAATTGTGTCATGTTTTAAGACTAGGATTGAATAACATGAAAACAAATGATTTGCACATTCACAATAATCTGACATGTCTGTATACTTGGGAAATTGCATATATCATGATAGAAAGTATTTAGATGATGCTGTTCATATTTACAGAGTTGAAACTGACTTTAGAGAAAAACTGTATTCAACTAAACAAGATAAAAAATATGTATAAAGTAAATAAGTTTTGTATGGTTGCTTCTATTGTAGTGATGATGGAACCTATGCCGCTGTCGGTACTATCTCAGGAAGTGTTGCAGTCTTTATCTCTTTTAGTTTACAGGTAAACAAAAATGCTTATTTAGTTTATGAGTAAAACTTGTTCTCATCTATTTTACAGGAAATCTTTTTCCCATTTAGTTGACCACAATAAAATTTTCAACTTTTAAGTAAACCCATGATATAACAAATGTTTACATAAAAAATATTTTAAATTAAGCTCCGTCTGGTGAACCAACGCCTGTGAAATCCTTTTGGTAGAGTCCCTGAAGTGGATACAATGTAATGCCTGGTTGTCAAATCATGCAAACTAATGCAACACTTGAATAATAATCAAAATTGACAACAACACTTCAAATGGTCTGCAATTTTATTTGCTATGGTCTACATGTTTGGCCTGCAAGGCAGGCGTTATCAGGACAATTTATATAAGAATTAATGTGTATGAAGTATGCAAAGTGGTACATCTAAAGTGACGTAACAGTTAATAATGGTAGGTATTTGTAAGGAAGTAAGTTCTTTGAATTGTCAAGTGGCCAATGTTATACAAAACTAAATTTAAATATAAATTTAATAAACAAAACTAAAGTAAAGTAAATTCAACATAAATGTAGTAATGAAACGAATAAACACAAATGTAACAAAATAAACACACACGAAACAGAACTAAATATAATGTTATGAAATAAAATGAAATTAAACGATTTCAGTCTGCACACCACCATCAACTCTGCACACTTCCCGGTAATGTTGAACATTGCACGTACTGTTAGTATAAATTTTGGGTTGTTCCCCTTAGATTTCTTTTAATATTAAACGGACGGAAAATAACTATCACCATTATCACCGACCAGTCGACAGTATTTAATACGTGCTCTACACACACCAAAACCGAGCCTAAAAACCCCTGCAAAATAAATATTGTACCCAAAAATTACTAACTTTATATCTATACATTTGCATAATATAGCAATTATTCGGACATTCTGGACCGCGAGCAAGAAATATCATCTCGACAGCAAAATAGACCTCAATGTACGATATAAATAAGTATAAATGTCTTACCTGAGTGTTGTAATAATAAGCCTTAGGATATCCATGTCCTGAATTGACAATTCTAATACCCAACTGCAAATTTTACTAACTCTATAAACTCAGCACAAGCATGTGCTTTACTCAATAGACTTAACAAAGGAAGAAAGTATCATTGACTTAACATTAATTACATAGAACTCTGTAATAATCTATTTATAACTATAAAACTTTCGTTTTCAATTCTATTTTTAACCATTCTATGTTTACATGCATACGTTACTAATACCTACCATTTTTAACTGTTGCGTCACTTTAGATGTACCACTTTGACTACTTCATACACATTAATTCTTATATAAATTGTCCTGATGACGCCTGTCTTGCGTGCCAAACAGGTAGACCATAGCAAATAAAATTGCAGACCATTTGAAGTGTTATTGTCAATTTTGATTATAAAAGATATTTGTTCAAAATACAGATTTTTGACACAAAAATTCAATGTAATTATTTACTTGCTTTATTTAGTGTTTGAAATTTTGGTTGAAATCTAGTAGCTTATAGAGGTTTTTGTTTTTTCCAAAAGGCCTTAAGAAAAGAGGTAACTTTGGTCCTCACTACCAACCTCAAATTTCAAACATTTACATGGACTATGCAAACGTATTTATTTTTTTTATTATTTTGAACGCTGTCAAGCTTTGTTTTGTGAAATAAAATTTCATATTCATACCCCAGCAAACCCTAGGAATCACCCTGTCCATCTACCTTTTAAGCACAAATTCTAAACAGCTTGAAAATATTGATGAAACTAAATACATAGATGTAGAACACTTGCTGAGGTTGTGCGTAAAAGAATTCAATCCCAGTCCAACATGTTAAAGGGGAGATAATTTACTTACTTGAATATATGTATTGTATTGTGTGGCCGGGGGTATCATTTTGTGAGTTCACTCAATTTTCTAGTTAAATCTAGATAAATGAAAGATGTTACAATTTATTTGAATTGTGTCTTTTTTTACATTATTTGTTCAACTTGAGTTATATTGTCTTCTCACAAGGTCTTATTTAATTTCAGAAATTATATAGTGTCAGTGAAGCTCACAATATATTTGTGACAGGTTTAGATTTTTTGCCGAGTTCTAAAGCCACAGAGGAAGTGACGGGAGATAAAGATTTCACATTACTCAGTATATCAGCTGACAATACCATTCGTGTTCATCAAGTTGCCAAACGAGGTATGTATTATAGCAGTTAACATATTCCTTCCACAGTTTATTAAAATGCCTTTAAAACGTATAATTCTTTATTGTCCCCTGCGTAATGTGTTGCGAGAGACATGGAAATACCAGGCGTCCGTCCATCCTTGTGTCCGCCTGTGTGTCCGTCCGTCCGGTCTTGTTAGCGCTCTCACTGCTACAATTCTTGCCAGATTTTTATATAACTTATACTATTGGTTAATATCAGCAATATCTCGGACAAGTTCTATAATGGTGCACGATCAACTTTTTTACAGAGTTATGCCCCTTGGAAATATTAAATTTATGGAAAATGGCCTCGTTAGCGCTCTCACAGGTACAATTCTTGCCAGATTTTTATAAAACTTATACTATTGGTTAATATCATCAATATCTCTGACAAGTTCTATAATGGTGGCCGATCGACTTTTTTTTAAAGAGTTATAAAATTTGTGCAACGCGGGGGACATTATACCTCTGTTCTTTTATTTATATACTTTCAACTGTTGATCGTAAATAATGTTTTTAGAAGTTTGCAGAGTTCTTGAAACCTTTTTTTTTTCTGGTGGTCCTTGAATAAAATTTGCTGGTCCTTACTATTATTAGTCCCCTACTGACGAAGTCGAGGGGGACTTTAGGTTTGCACTCCGTCTGTCTGTCCGTCTGTCTGTCTGTCCATCTGTCCGTCTGTCCATCCGTCAGTCCGGCAAATCAGCTTTCCACACTTTTTTTCGTGGTTCTTGAAGATATTGATTTGATATTTGGTATATAGTTTTATCATGACAAGTTATAGATAAAGTTCGAATTTTGTTCCGGTCTGATGATTTAGTCCAGAGTTATGGACCATAACTCTGGACCATATCTAATGTTAGAGTACTATGTTAAACCATATTTCTGTACAAAGGGAGATAACTCATTTTTTAAAAGACATTCTTTGTTAAATTATTTGAAGAATTTTTTGACAGGTTTGTTTGTTATTTAGTATAAACTAATTTTCTGAATGCTATATATATAAAAAAAAATTATGAAGAGAAATCCTTTAATTATTAAAGTATATGTTTCAATACATTACATTGTGTAGATAAAAGTTGTTGACATTTTATAGATAAGTTACCAATCTAAATTAGTTTGTGCCAAATGAAAGAAAAAATATTTGGAACTATTAATTATATTTCATTATAATTTGAAAATAGATATACACTGTATTACATCATATCTAATTTTAGAGAACTATTAATCATATTTAATGTTTTTTTCCATCATGCTTATAAGAAATTGATTGATAATTGGTATATAGTTTTATCATGACAAGTTACAGATCAAGTTCAAATTTTTGTTTCTGTCTAATAATTTTGTGCAGAGTTATGGTCCTTGGACTTGAAAAAATTCACTCATATAATCAGTTTTCCACACTGTTGTTAGTCATGCTTGAAGATATTGACATGATATTTACTTTTTGTTTACACAATGACAAGTTATAGAACAATTTAAGTTAGCATTTTGTTCCAGTATAATAAATTTTTATCCGGTAGGGGACTATGTACATTGTATTGCTATGCAATACTCTCAGAATGCTTGTTTCTATTGCAAAATACCAAAATTGTGTCTGTCCTTTCCAAATTTTGGTAGTCAAAACCTTTGGATTGTCAGTTTTCGAGAACTCTGGTTTTGTATTTGTAAACAATTTAAGCAGTCATGTTGTTGTACAGCATATATCCATTGTGTAGATGGTCACTCTAATATTAAACTGGCTTCTAAAATTATTTAAATTATTTTAGTGGTACCTTTCTATGTTGTTGAGTATATGTTAAATTGATAACTAGCTTTGATAAAAGGAGATGTGAGATAAACATCAATGAGACAGCAACCCAATTACACAAAATAATTAAAACACATTTATAAAAGCATCCAGACCATACCTGCCAACCCTCCTGTTTTGAGCAGGAGACTCCCGCTCAAAGGTCGAAATTCGGGAAATCTCCCGCTTGCGGGTACCCTCGGCGCAGGAGTATAGAATCTCCTGCTTTTGGATATTTCAACCTTGAATGACAAGTCAACATTAATTACGTTTTTGTGTCACTGATGAGGGTTGTTTTTACTTGTAAATCACAGACCATGTGAAATTAAATGGTTTCACTTGACAGCTTGGGTTTCAAACATAGTACTAATTAAAAATCTGTGACGGGATTGCTTCCCTTAGAAATTTAGTAGATACTTAGTCAGCCGTAAGCGGTTGAGCTAAGGAAGTACTTCTTTAGCTCAGTCAGTTAACGCGCTGCCTTGTAACACAGAGGTCCCGGGTTCGAGTCCTGGTGGAGACATGCGATTTTGCAAGTAGAATTACAAATCATTAACGACTTTTGCTTCAAGCTTTGTGTTATTTTAAAAAAAATTTCAAAGAAATTTCGGGATGACTTCCCCTGTTTAATCCTGTTTTAAATTACCCTTCTTAAAACAATGTGAATTGATAAAACAATATAAACTAAATACAAATTAAACAAAGAATCATAAAAGGATGGCAATTAAAAGACTTTGTATGCCTTAAGACAAAAATAAATAAAATGCTCCGCTGGGGCGCAGCTTGATACGACCGCAGAGGTCGAACCCTGAACAGTTGGGGCAAGTATGGACACAACATTCAAGCTTGATACAGCACTGAATTTGGATTGTAATTAAATATTTGACACAGCATAGGTTTCTGACACAGAATGAAAGTGGTCTAAGAACTTAAAAATTTTCAATTTACCTATTCATACATGTGATGGACTGTGAAACTCAGATCAGGAGATTGGGAAATTTTGGTCAGGAGATTAGGACTCAGATCAGGAGGTTTTTAATCGACATTAATTTTGTTGTAAATGTAACCGTGTGCTGTAAAAATGGTCTTTTAAAGTGTGTTTTCTTCAACTTTCCAACCAATTTATTATGTTTATAGTACCCTTGTACTTATAAAGTTTCTCCATCTTTATATTCTACATGTTCAATCTAACATTGTTTTTTTCCAGTATGTTCTTTAAATTTTTTACTTCATATTCTATAAAACAATCATTGCAACCAGAACATTTGTTTAGCTGTCTGCAAATAGTTTTTATTTTTTTTTTTTTTCTCTTGCAAATAGTTTTTATTTGCAAACTCAGAAATTCTTTCTATCTGTAAAGTTAGGGTCATAGTTATTATATAAATTTCAATTTAAGCCTTAAAAGGAAGTATAGAATCCTCAAATAATTTTCAAATTATTATTTTTTTATTTGTCCTAAGACATTTAAAATCATTTAATAACCATCCTTTTATGATTATTTGTTCAATTTATATTTTATTTATATTCTTTTAAAAATTTTCATTATTAAAAGGAAAGTAACTTAAAACAGGATAAATCAAGGGAAGTAACCCAATAAATACACAGTTTTTGTTACACAACGGCAGTTAGCCTGAGGTAAAAATCGTTGCTTACCAGTATGTTTGACACCCAAGCTGACAAGTGAAGCCATATAATTATGCATGTTAATTGATTTACAGGTAAAATATAACTTCAGGTAATGTCAGTTACACCAGATGCCTGAGATGTTATGTTGGGCAGAAATTTTTCATTCATGAAAAATTTCATACACGGGATTTTTTCAACGGGAGGGGGGAGGAGACCCCTGAAAACGGGATTATTGTACTCCCGTCGGGAGGTTCACATGTATGCCTATTCAAACCATATCATTATTATTTGCTTTTATATATAAATCAGAAATAACCAATTTAAAATGGAAAATGTTAAAGAAAAAAAAGGAAAAAAAAAATCCCCCCCCCCAATTTTTTGAACCCCCCTTATGATTCATCGCCCCCAAACTCAATCCCAGCTTTCCCTTTGTGGTATGGTACCTTGCAGTACAATTTCAGAGAGATTCATACACTTGAACACAAGTTATTGTCTGGAAACTAGAAAAATGCTTGTTTTTTGGCCCCTTTTTGGCCCCAAATTCCTAAACGTTTAGGGCAATTACCCCCAAACTCAATTCCAGCTTTCCCTTTGTGATATGGAACCTTGCAGTACAATTTCATAAAGATCCATACACTTACACACAAGTTATTGTCCTGAAACTAGAAAAATGCATGTTTTTTTTGCCCTTTTATGGCCCCTAATTACTAAAATTTTGAGGGAATTACCCCAAAAAACAATTACAGCCTTCCCTTTGTGATATGGAACCTTGTAGTACAATTTCATAAAGATCCACACACTTACAAACAAGTTATTGTCATGAAACTAGAAAAATGCTTGTTTTTTGCCCCTTTTTGGCCCCTAATTCCTAATATTTGGAGGAAATTACCCCAAAAATCAATCCCAGTATTCCCTTTGTGATATGGAACCTTGTAGTACAATTTCATAAAGATCCATACACTTACAAACAAGTTATTGTCATGAAACTAGAAAAATGCTTGTTTTTTGCCCCTTTTTGGCCCCTAATTCCTAAAATTTGGAGACAATTACCCCCAAAATCAATCCCAGCATTCCCTTTGTGATATGGAACCTTGTGGTACAATGTCAGAGAGATCCATACACTTACACACAAGTTATGTCTGGAAGTTACAATAATGCTTATTTTTGGCCCCTTTTGGCCCCTAATTCCTTAACTGTTAGTACCATAACCCCCAAAATCAATCCCCACCTTCCTTTTGTGGTATTGAACCTTATGGTCAAATTTCAATGAGATCCATTCACTTAAACTAAAGTTAGAGTGCGAAAACTAATGTGTATTCGGACGACGACGCCGGACGACGACGACGCCAACGTCATACCAATATACGACCACAAAATTTTTTTTGCGGTCGTATAAAAAAATAATTATATTTGAAAAATCACTTAAAAGATCTATACCTCTATTCAATGTTTATATTGAAATTTATAAGGTATGTATTGAACCATATACAGAGAACGCAGTTACGTCTCAGTCATTACAACTGGACGGACGTGCTGGGTCAGCTCTCCTTTACTCGCTATCTGCGATGAGGGTTTACTGTTAGATGGATCAACGACTACTACTTTCGATGACAGAAACCAATCCAACGCTGTACAGACTACGTTAGGCTATAATCCGCGTAGGGCAAATTCCCGCGTCAACATACACTCCAAAACCCATTATGGATGGGGGAGTGGTATGCCGAGTGACGTCCCAGGGCTGTATCCTAGGTGTTAGATGATGGACCACCATTTCACTGTCTCACGACTTTGGTCCTGATAATGCTTCCTGTCATAGTTATTACTATGTCCGAGACTCATCGACCAGTACTCCATCATCGTGGTTAGCGGGCTGCAAAGCTGACCAACCTGGCCCTGAAAGCAGCCGTTGTGAAGTAAACAACAAAATAGTCAACAAACAAAACCAAAACAACTCACCAAATCCAAGATGACGGCCTACCAAAATGGCGATTTCTAACTGTTCCTGTCCGACTGCAAAAATATTTAAACGCTCACCAAAACGCCTTCGGGCACCGAGCCAACCGTGCGAGGGCTGAACAGCTAGTCAAGGTCGTTAAACACTTCCAGTAGTAGTACAGAGAACATTATAAGAGCACACACATAATGCACAATCAACATGATTGCTCTCTTTTAACAGAGGTCTGTGGGGTGAAATGTTGTCCTGATGGAATTCAAATGTCAAAGAAATAGGAAAGAAACATACAACACACCTTCTGTAGGATATAACCATATTAAAAGAAAAAAAGTATATCTATTAACTCTTATATGTGTTTCGTAGATGAATAAATAAACACGTCATATATTTCACTTGAAAATGTCGTTCGTGCAAAATCTCCCCCTCAGCTGTCAAAGCTGAGAGGGAGATCTCCCTCTTTGAAGGTTTCAGAGGTTGGCAGGTATGATCCAGACATTTCCTCCATTTCATTTTGTTCAGAATCTAAAGAATTCTTAGCAACAAATGTTAAGATAATACTAATATAGTGAATTGCTTAAAAACTAACTTTATTCTCTTGCAAGCCAATAAATTTCTTTATTTCATATTTAATTTGTTAAACTTTTGTTTTGTTACAGGATCATACAGTATTGTGTGTTTACTTATTGGACTGGTAGTTATAGTTGTGTTGTTATTCATCTTCATGTCAGAAATGGGTTTATGACAAGAGTTATCCCCCATTCTTAGATGGCAGCCATTAACATTCCATCAAAACTAGTGGATCTGATTGGTAGATCATGATTGGATTAATTGAACTTCAAAGTGAATTAAAATTACAATGCTGTGATAGACAATTAACTTTTTATAATGATCTTATTAAAAGGGCTGAGGTATACAATATTTTATATGCTTTACAATGTATTAAATATAACTTGCAATCATGATATCAGCTGGCTGGTTATTTATTATAATTCTCAGAACTCTGATATTATAAAAAAAGATATGGTCGACCACTGAAAAAATTATTAGATTTTCTAGTTGTTACAAAATTTTGAGTGTATGGGACTGTATTCGTTTTATAAAAAGATATTAACTGTAAATTCTCAACCTGAAAAGGGAGCAAAGATCTTACCAGGTTGATTGTGGAAAAATAACAATCTGTTTGTTCCATTGTTCAACAATACAGAAAAGTCAGATAATATCCTCTGTCTCTTGTTGAAATGGATGAATTCACTGCAATAGAGCATTGAAAATTATATTGATAACGGATAAAGAGAAACCATGTTAGTCACTTCTCAATATCAGATTAGCTTTTGAAAAAAAATTGTCACAAATTTTACCCTTGTAATGAATGGGGAAAATTGCAATATAAAACACATGCATTTATCATTATTTGTTAATTGTTGAATGTCTTCTGCTTATATTTTATGTACTTTATTTGACTTGCAGAAGGGTCTATTTCTGAAATAATTTGATATAAGCCAAGACGAGTTTGGTATAAACAAGGGCTAATTACACTGGTTCACAACCAAATGTCGACATGAAATGTTTAGCTGTCAATTGATTTTTAAAAGAAAACTCACACTTTCACACAACTAGATTATCATGTCCCCCGACATTTTATATGAGGAGACATTCATGTTGTGTTTTTGTCTCCCCTGTCACAACAAAATCTTTAAAACAAATTCGTAATTTTACACCGGAATGGAACAAAACTTGATAGGATTTCTTGATTTGAAGTTGTACATCCCCTATATTATTTGGTTTCCCCCAGAGCCTACCATGGAGTTTATATTGCTACATATTACAGGGGTTTGTCAACAAAATCTATTGTTCTTCATATTGTATATTGTTCTCCTTCCATTTTGTTATTTTAATCAGGTTGATTTTTAGGGTTTCCAACCTCCAAATCTGGTGGGGACTTTCCCATTACTATATATTGTTTCTCAATGGAAAACTTCTTAGTTTAAGTAGAAATAAAATGAAATAAATTTAACGAATTGCATTAACACGTGCAATTGTGAATTTCAAATTTTTTTTAATTTTTTTTTTTCAGTTATTTATATAGAGTTACAGCTTCTGTATCATTGATAGGACACTTATGTTTTTGTGTATAAAACTAACTTTATCTTGTCAAATTTTAGGACAAGCATTTCTCTAATTTTGGAATATGTTTTAGGTACTCTTGTTTAAATGTTGTAATTTTATTTTGTTCCTGTAGAAGGTTATTTTATCTGTTAAAGGTTATATATTTATTTTATTTATTAAATGATTTATGAAATCACTATGTATGAAAAATATCAAGTAAATAAATAAAAATTGAAACTTACATTAGTTGTGTTTGTATGAGAATTTATTCCTACCATGCTATTAAAAAGCAGTGAGTATTGATTTGAGGTGGCTCAAATGGTTTAACACTTTCAAAAATTAGAGTGGTAACCGTAAAAAATAAGTAGTGAATTTGATTTGTGAAAAATATTTTATGCCCCCCGCAAACCAATGTTTTTTGGGGGGATTTGTCTGTCCATATGCCTTAGTGAGCACAACTTCTCTTAAATGGCTAGACTGATATTAATGAAATTTTTGGGTAAAGATGACATTCATGCTATCAAAACCCCTATAGGACTGGCTTTATAGTTTCCAGACCTTATCACTACTTTTTTTTTAGATTAAATTAACATATTGCATTGTGCACAACATTCTATAATCCTTTTCATGCCCATTTCACAAAATTTATCAATGAATTATATACTCAGATATTCAAGTTACAAAATGAAGAGCATGTAAATTACCGTTAACTATTGAAAATTACTTCATGAATCTATCCATTCAAAAAATATCAATAATGTCATTGTAAAACATATATTTAAAATTGTGGTTCAACTAAAATTATGAAAAAAGGAAGAGTCCAATTCATAATATTGCCTTTCAATGCTTAATACAATGCAATGTTTAATTTTTAATTCCTACTGCAAAATAATGACAATCTATATGGGTAAATTCAGTAAAAAAATGTCCCACTGACTTCAATGCAAACCTCTTTCTTGAATTAAATTTATACCTGTTTTACCTCTAGAAATCAGAAGCTTTCATATATATCATTCATCAAAGTACAAATATAGCTCCATCTTTTGCAACAATAAAAACATAGTGTCATGCAGCATTTTTTGGCCATTCACATGGCCTTGTTTACAAACACTGTAGATTCACACTAAATTCATATTTTTATTTTTTTTAACCCTAATTTGGATCTATATATATCAAAAAAATATTTATTACAAACATTATCTACCAATAAGTGGAGCACTACAGTGTTATACAGAAAGCTCACCCCAAATGGGTCCTTAATGAAGTTTATTTTACTGAATTTATCCCTTTACCCATGTGCATGAATGGAGATAATCCTGTTCCTACATGTAAAAGGAGATATAATCCATTTTACCTCAATGTTGCCATTTGTGGTAAATATCTCTCCCAAGAAAAAAATTCCTTCTAAAAAACTAGATGGAAATCGATGAAACTTTATGCAGCTGTAGAACACTACTAGAAGACCAGCATAAAGGAATATAACCCTGGTACAACTTGTTAACTATGAGATAATCAATTTTGCACGGCAGAAGGTATCCTTTTATGAGTTCACTACAGTTTGTTTCATTTTCATTCACTCTTAGTATCCCAAAATCTACCTTAACGATATGATTTTAATGAAACTTTCCCAGAATCTTAGGTATCTAATGACATTGTGAACTTCATATTATATTTATTGATCCAACTGATTCTGAGATTTTAATACTAAAACACGGATTCTACAAAAGGTATAGACATTTTAACAACAACCACAGAAAGAATAAATTTGAAATGCATCCTTAATCTTGTTAGCATGGTTTTCCTCAGTTCAGGGGTTTGAAGGTATGATCACTTGCAGGGTAAAACTTAAAACTAAGAAATGGTATTTGCTGCTTCTCTGCTGAGCACATGGCATTTAGGAGTAAGAGCAAAGACATGTTGGCTTAGTGTCAGAACAATGTGTCCAGTATGGTGACATGTCTTCCTGTGGACTGTTACCTTGTGAACTAGTATGTTGAAAATCCAGCACTGTATAAAGTGGGTTCATATTTATTATGACATATTACATTAACATGTTCTTATCCTGATATGCATGTAATATTTAGGAAACCACTAATGGTAAGTCAATAATATTTGCTAGGCAGTTATATTACCATTGGCAGACCTCATTTCCACAAATATTATTTAACCCAACCCCTCAGTCATTTTCCACTGACTTCGATACTTGCATAGTTTTAATGTTGCACAGGGAAGACACTCTGTGTCAACAGTTTATTTAATGGCAATTTTTATTTATTCATTCCAATTCCTTAAATCTAAATATTTTGCTAAATGTGTGTTCCTGTTTCACATTAGGAAATATAGTTATATATGGGGTTAGAATACTGGTAAAGAAATTTAGAGTAGTTATTTGAAATGACTGTGGGAAAAAAATCTGAAAATTTTGGATATGATTAATTTGACATCACCTATTCCTGTTGTAGGTTACTATGAATTCATTATTATTCAATGTGTACTAGTTTTATGTAAAGAATATAATAATTCAACAAAATACAAATCTTTTCCATAGGCCTGTATATAGAATTTTCAAATTATCCATATGACTGCTATTTTTGCCATAAATTTAGTAAACTGCCTCAATGGTCTCGTGGTAGCCTGCTTGTCTATTGTGGGGGTTGTCATTGGTTTAGATCCATGGCCAGGCCAAAGCAAAGACTTAAATTTTGGTTTATGATGCTTTTCTACTTAGCATGTGGCCTCAAGGAGTAAGAGCAAAGACTAGTCTGCTTGGAGTCAGAATAATGTGTCTGTGTATGACGACATGTCTTCCTCTGGATTGTTACCGTGTGAACTAGCATGTTCAAGACTAAGCTCAGCATGTTGATAAAGTACAAAGCAGTTTTCATATTCATATCACATTAACATATTCTGGTCCTGATATGCGTGTACTATTTGTAACTGGAAGTTAAACTCTAACTCATCATCAACATCATCGTATCAGTTTTCTAGGTTCTAGGTCAACAAATCCATTAAAAATTACTCAACTAGAATGAAACGCAAACTCAATTTGCAATTTCTTATGAAACAAATATACCAAATATCTAATCAATTGATTCAGGCATTACAGAAAAAAGTGCTAAAAACTGATAAGCAATTTCAATGTGCAAGTTCCACAATTTCAGTAACTAATGCTCAAACTGAGTTACCTCTGTAAATATGGGGAGAGGTAGAAAGAGGACAACTGGCATATTGTTAGTGTGTGGTAGCCTTTACCCAATTATTAAGTTCTAAAAACTAGCAATAATTGACCTACATATATTTAACTTATTATACAGTGGCATCAGATATTTCTTTCTGCCATGAATAGGAATTGTATGGGGATGAACATTAACACCTATATAACATTGTTCAACCTCCAAAAAAAATAAAATCAACACTGTACGGCAAGACAAAAAGGCCTGCAAGAAAAAATGTCTTGTAAGACAAGTTTTTCAAACTATTTGACCATAATCTCAAACATTTCCAAATTATATAATAGTAGAAAGTTGTGGATAAACATCTGGATTATCTCATAGTAATAAACAATAACAAGGCTTAAGGCAGAAAAAAAGCTTTCAAAAATCAAACAGATTCCAATATTTTTATTTCTATAAAAATATGTCATTGCACTGTTAATTGTTAACAGTGACTTACAAATAACAAATATGGACGAATTATTACACCAGCCACAGTTCTGACAAACAATATTAGAACATCACAAATTATTAATCAAACCAAAAATCTTCATAAGTATTGCTGTTATTTAATCACCTGACTGGGTGTGGCAAACTAATTTTCTGAAGTCAGTAATGTTGGTAAACATATTAAAAATCCAATATTAACATGTTAAATACAATAAAAAAATTAATTAAAAACTATCACAAAAATTAGATTTATAAAGATTTTTTTATAGAAGAATGAAATGTCATTACTGATGTGTTAAAATGAGATGAAGACAAAAACATGTGGCTTGGTTATCACAGATAATTTGACTAAACCTGAGATTTGACATCTCACAACAATAATATATATATAGATAAAACACCTAATTCTTCAGTTCAGATATTTAAAATTCTGACTGGCAGTGAATCATGTATGCCTTTAAAACATACTCCTAATTCTTCACTATGTCTACGGACATCATAAAAATCTTGCATCATTAATGATTTTTTTAATGAGTACAAAGTAATATACTTATGGTTAAAACTGGACTAATTTTTTTTTTATTCCTATGCCTCTCATTGACAGGCTCCATATGCTTTTATTTTTGCTGCCTTCTTTCATACTAATTGTTTCCCTCTAGAATTCATTTAATGAAATTATAATTAGCACTAAAATATACTTATTACCTAGAGAACATTGTATTGTTACCCAATGTACCAGGTTTTTTACATTAAGTATAAATATTTATCATAGGAATGTAATATTTTCATTGATATTATTGCCATAACAATGACTTTCATGATATTTTCATACAAACCCATGTGTTATTCTTTCAATTTCAAATTATATACAAATAAATATGCATTCATTTACAAGGCTTATATATATTTTATAACATCATTTAACAATGTCATGTTAAGCATTCTTAAGATGCAGATTTTTGTCATTAAAATGCTTTACTTCCTGGGCGTAACCATGAATCATCTTGGAGTGTCTGGCCGGATGGAGGTCTACAAAAGAAATACAGTTTTGTATTCATAATTGTATATGATATTTAATATATCTGACAAATGTATGCCAAGTATAAACTGGTTCCAATTGTTATTATGGAAAAATAGTTCTGTTATTGTTATGGAAAAATTGTGAAATAATTTGCCTTGTATTTTTACGATAGCTGAACATGTAAAACTGTTTTCCTTGCATTTCAGTTTTAAAATGTGCAAAATTAACAGCATCATCCATTAATGACTTTTTTCAACCCATTATGTTGTTGTACAGCGAAGCAGGTAAAACTGATCACAGGTTGTTGAGAGTTGACTTAACCTTAACATATATCAAAAGTAGCTAAATATCAAAATTAAACCTGTAATAAACACTCAAATAAACATTGATCACTTCAAAATTCAAAGACCGGTACTTCTGATCTTAACTCTTCAAAATTCAATTGTCAAAATGCAAACATGAAACAAAATAAAATTATACACTCAAATGCACCTCAGCTATTCCAAAGCAAAATCTCCAAAGTTTTTTTTTTTTTTGCATTTGGGAGTCTACAATTATGGCTATTTCTTTTAGTAGTTTTGCACATGACTGTAGCCATGTCTAAACATTAATACAAATATGACGTTGTTGTGATTGCATAATATATGTTCAAAACCAAATTGATTTCTTTGAAAAAGCTAAGTGTAATTATTTACTCTTTCTATACAAAAAATTGCAGCATTAAAAGAAAATATTTTTAAAATATAAATTGGTAACGAAAAAATAAAATAAAATAAAAAGTAGATTACAGAAGACACAAAGACAAAAGACATACAAAATCTGTACCAATGAAGAGTTCATAGGGCAATGTGAACTGATGTACAGTCTCTAATAATTATACATTTTCATACTGAAAGCACAAAAGTAAAAAATAAAACACAGTACAGGAATTTAAGCTTAGTAACTAATAGTAGTAAAAGATTTCATATTTCCTTGTGTATCCTTATATCTAAACTGTAGACTGTAGTTTAATTTTGAAGCTAAGCCTTGTAAAACTTTAAAATGATAATGCCAATGTTGAAATGAAATTTTTAATTAATTCTAAAAAAGCTTTTGAAATAACTGGTTTTCTAGAATTTGAAATATCTTCCAGTTACTGTTAAAACTGTCTCTAATTACATTTAATAATAATGATATTAAATTCTTTATTTAAAGATGGTGACCACAGTTATCGATTTGGATAGGTCAATTATTGTTCAACAGATTGACCAACATTATTTATTATCTTTCAGGAAGTATTTAATAGGCTATAAAGAACATACACAAAAAAAATAATTAAAAACTAGACAAGACAGTCTACATTTACTCACATTCCCGCCTTTTCCAGGAGCAGGACTTATAAAAGACATTTACAATACAGGACAACATAAAATTATATTTTTATTCATCAACTGAGATATGAGAGTTGTATTATGGGGATATAACAAGCAGACATTTCTGATTTTAGGATATAATGCTCACAATGTACAACCTCAATAAGAGCACATGTGGAATTTTAATTTATCATAGTAGATGTGGTGATCCTTCTTTGATTGGAATAAACATACTTCATTAAAAAAAAATGCATTGATGTCTATTTATTTTACTCTTCTGACAAATAGGGATTTTCATGACTACATGATCAGCACCGTATATATCAAAAATATGCATCTATATTATAAGTTCAAGCTCATAAAATGGTCCTATAAATTTGAAACAAAAAAAGTCTACGGTAAATTATAATTACATGTAATTTTGTGCTCATCCCCCATTGTTAATATAAATAATTTATTTAACATTTAATTTATCTAAGTCAGTTGTTGCATAAAAAATAAATCAAAATTTAGACAGCATAATTCTTAACCAGAGGTTGGAATATATAATCTTAGGATGTTATCAATAAAGATCTTTAATGAATTTAACCATAGCTTTTTTTAAATTCTTTAGGAATGATTACTGCACAGAGTTTATTAAAATATAGTTAAGCCAAATGCCTTATCTTGAATAAACTAATCTTTACTACAGTTTGAACGATTAGCTTGTATGTTGCATTATGATGTGTTCCAAATCAAACTTAATATTATAGAAAGAATAAGATGAAAGAAATTGGAGCAAATTTCTAAAAAAAATTAGCTTGTGAAAGAGCTAGTAAATGACCATACATAAATTCTTTATGTGCAACACATAAAAATCTGTTTCTCAATATTTTTTAATCTTTTTTGTGTGACATATCTTTCACATTATTGTGGTAATATCAATGACCTTTACCCTTTTATTTTTATTTTTACCTGTTATATCTTTGTTTTGCCATAAATCTGTCTAAGATATCATCAGGATCAGCTATCGAAACATCATCAGCTGAAAAAAATACATGTTTTTGTAATCAGTAATCATGTATTCAGATATATTCAAACTACAGGAAAAGATGAATAAGAAGAAAGGATTTCATGTAAATAAATTAAGCTGTCAAGCTATGAGGTAAATATACATCTTAATAATTTAAATTAGAGCTCCCCCCACCCCCTTTGAAAAATTACTTAAATCCAAAGTTTTAAAAAAATGGGAAAGAATTCCTCAAACACATTTTATAAAAACAGGTGCACAACTTCAATATGTGTGCAATCTCTCTGTGAAGTTTCAAGGATATGGGTTGAAAAGTGAAGGAGATGATTACATAAAATAGGAACATACTTTCTTCCTCCCCCCTCGTCATCCCAGACATCACTATGAGCGGGTTTGGACTTTGTCTAAAAGTTGTAAATACACCGAACAAACTATTAAAAACCTGCTACCAATGCCAAATTTCTTACAGAACAAAACCATTAAATGTTTAAATGCTTCAGAGTTCATCTTCAGTCATCTTCCATACAGCACTGAAAATAATCCCTTTCCATCAGGTGATCTATAACTTACTCCCATTGCAGAACCATATTTTATAACTTACTGTTCATTTGATGTAATCTCCGTAACCTAGCATCATTTTTCTTCTGTATCCTGTCAACATCTAAACTTGTTGTGGATCCCATAGGATTTAATGATATGCTTTCAGGCTAAAACAGAAATAGGGTCCAGTAAATAACACTCTGAGAAAGGGTACATACTTGTGCAATTCTGTATAAATTTAATTTTATCTGTGCAACTACAAATGTATCTGGACTACAACCCTTTCGTCCCCTTTAACTCATCTGAAATTTTAGTAGTTTCATACAAAATCTTTTATAATGTATACTAAATTTTTCCACTTATGAACTAACAGTTAAAACAATTTGTAAACAGTTTCTGAATTAATCAAGTGACAAGAATATTTTTGTCTATAATTTGATGAATCAAATATTGGCTCCAAAGTTATTCCATCATAAATTTCTATTTAATAATATTGTGTACCCTTGGGCTTAGAGGAAGTCTCTCTCTTCTTCTCATTCTTGCTGAGTCATTACGTTTGGGTAAATCTTCAAAGTCTTCAGGGAAATGGTTGACTGTATCTACATCTGAAATTTATGGTAGTATACATACAGGTTGAGAATAAAAGCTGTTTAAAGAAGTATACAATAATAAAACTTGCATAAACAAAGATACAAATCAGCAGAAAAAATGCTAAAATATACAAACATTCCTTTTAGAAATGAAGTTTCTATTCAACTGCTTAATCAAAACTTTTTGAGTCTTGAAAATTTAAGCCAAATAATGTTACGAGTGTGTTTTATAAAAATTAACAAAGTGATCACAATGTGTACAAACTAATTTCAACATAACGTGGACACATAAGTAATTAAGAAATACTTAAAAATGAAATTTTAAAATGAATAATAAATCATGCTGCACATGCATTTAAAATCCCTAAGTCTTAGTTACTTTTTATTGTGAATTTTAATTTAGCTACCACCCCATTTGATCCCAAGCTATGATATAAGCTAGTTCTATTTCACATGCAGTTTTATCTACAAAAATCTTGTCACTCCAAAAAACATATCTGTTAAGATACCACACCAGTGTATTATCATGTTTAACTAGATCATCCACAGCATAAGGTTTAAGAATTAATCAGATGTCAGCAGAAATCACACCTGTAATTATGTAGTCAAACAACTGGAAAAACTTAGGTTAAGTATGAACACCAAAAAAACTTTCTGATGATTAAAATTAAAAAGGATCAACCTTAAAATAACACAAGACAGACATACATAGAAATAACACAAAGTACATATACAAAAGCTATATACAAAGGACAAGCACAAATGGTAAATAATAAAGCAAGAAATTCTAGTACTGTCTCTCAGGTTCTGTCCAGTTATGAATGTTTTTAAATTTAATATGGCAATAAAAATGTTATCCTTTTGTCACAACCTTAAGGAAATTAAAACAATTCTGTACTAAAATATATTTAATAGTTTCAAAGATAATGCTTTTTTCTATAATTTCTGGTTTGTATTAGAATATTTATTGAAAATTCTCCAGTGTTAATATTCAATCTCAATATACAAGTTGATTTACAAAAAAAACAGGCTGATTAAGTATAACTAGAGAAACAGTACCATGTTAGTGCTGGTGAAATGGTGGACACTAAAACAAACCTATAAATGCACTGTTGGAATTCAGCATGGACTTTGGACTCATAGTCCCCTGTCGTCCAGTACCATAGTCTGTGGGAGAATTGTGCAGTGTTAGTCGCCAATGAGATCATGTGACAACAAATACATTAAGTAGATCTTGTATAGATTCAATTTACTAAAACATTACTTATTGAAATTTACAGAAAAATATGGATTTTCTTGTTAAATCTGTATTTAAAAAAAAAACTTGTCACAAACACTTATTTTTAAATAAAGCACCTGACATCTACTAAAGGTAAATATATTCAGGGGGAACAATGGCAAAAATTGACAATGAACTCTCATAGTTTCAGACCTTTTTGTTAGACTCATTAACATTTTCAAGTTAATAAATGAGTGAAACTTAATCACTGACACCTAAGTATCATGCTTAAGATAGATAGAATTCTGGCTTTTACGTTTTTTGTAAAAATAATTTTTGGATACATTCTTAAAATAAGCAATACAAAAGTTTAAAATTTACAAAATTATTTTTTTTCTTCACTGTTTATTTTATCAATCCATGATCACACTTCTTAACTAACTTTTATGAAGAATATGATCCAAGAAAGTTTATAAATTTAGCAAACAATAACACCTATTATACATTATACAGATCCTTTCTTGGACCAATGAAAGCTGAAAGGAGATGCAGGGATATTTATGACACACACTTCATTCACATATTACATGTAATACTTTGAAATCACAGAAACAAATAGTGATACTGCCATTTTTAAGCATTCATCATAACTAAAATACTAAATAAATAAACACAGCTTCTAAATATTATAAAAAGCCAGGGTGAATAAATGTAGTCTTACTTCATTGAACAATTATATAAATGGAAAAATTATACTCTTTAAAAAGAAGGAAATGCAAAAATAAAACTCTAAATTATTTCTGTAGGAATTCATGTTAAATTGTACTGTAAAAGAATATGTAATTGGAAAAAAAATACTGAACAAATTACAAAACTTCTACATAAATAAAGGGAATCTATATTCATACACTTGTGACAGGTACAGTGACATCTCTTATCAAGAGAGTGGGTCCATTTCGTACAGTGTACACAACCTGGTCATAAAGATCAATATAATAATACCATTCTATACTAAACAGAGTGCAACCAAAGTATACTGGGTGTATTTACAAATCTTAAAAATAAGTTTTGAGTTCAATATGTGTAATTATATCATTGTACATGTGTTTTGCAACCACCTACTTTTACCAAACTCGCAAGCTCTCAACAAACATATCTTATCATTTGAAAGTGCCTCAAACTTATCCATTAAACAAGATTTAACAAATCACCAACCTAATTCTTCCTCTATACTATGTCTCACAGCTGAAGCATATCCTATTACATACCAAAAATATTTTAATGAGTTCTTTTATCACATGCAGGTAAACAGAAAAATGGCTTGTGAAAAATATAGGTGTCTGCAATAGAGGGATGGATGAAAGAAAGTACTATTACATGCCAGTTACCTCCCCTTAGACAGACAGTCAAAACAAATTATCAAGAGAAATACTATTTTTACTTTTCTTAAATGGTCTAAGTTCACTAAGGTTATGTATGTTTAGTACTTACTTCTGTCTTTAAGATTTTTGAGGGTATCTTCTTGATGACGTAACAATGCATCTTGTTGTGATTCTAATGCTGAATTAGAGGTAGGGGCATCAGGAAACATACTTCTAAATGCTCTCCGTGAATCTGTATCAGCTGAAAAAAAGTCACAAGTTAATCACTTTTGGGTAAAAGCAATTATTGCAGTAAATAAATGATTTATTTATATAACATATCTTCCAGACAACAAATATATGTTCAATATATTAGAAATAATAAATCATTCATCATAGGAAAGTTGATCTATGAACTAAGAGTATGATGCAAAATCAATTATTTTTAGTATCTGTTTTCAGCACAGGAAGTAAGCTCTTATTTTTATATAGTATATGTTGAATTAATTTCATATATGATGCGATTTTGTTTAACTCCCCATAGGGTCACTGTGACACATATACTTACTTTTATATTTTAATTCGTTAAATTCCTGTAAGGTTCTAGCATTGGCTGTATCTGACTGTCGCTGTGGTACAGCAGCATGGCCTTGTTTAGCCCTCTCAAAAACATCTATTTCTCTCCTGTTTAATATTATAAGTGACAGGTAAAAAAAGCTATTCTATGATTTTTTTTAGTCGGGATTCCAGCTCATGTTATATTTACCCTTCTATTTACTTTTGTACCTTGAGTATGTATTAAAACTCATGAAAATAAAAACTTCAATTTTTGCTACATTTGCAGTACTTAAAGATGAAAATCTGTACCTCATTCAACTTTGAAAAACTCCAAGTGATTGAAATCGCTCACACTAAAAATTTCTTTTCAGTTTTCCATTTAAAATACGTAAGCCTATTGGATTTGATTAAAGTATAAAAGCTTTTAACATCATTCAATGAACTTAATCTTGTTACTAAACATATCTTAAATGAAAATATGTCTGGTTTCAAAAGAATTATGTAATCATACTATTTTTCATGCCTCATAACATTATGTGTTTTTATCAAAACTTACGGTGGTGGTCTTTGTACCATTCTGGGATCAAACACATCTGGTTCGTTCTGAAAAATATACCAGTATTTTGTACAAAAAGAAAAAAGAACCAAAACTTTGAAATTTAATGCTACTTTCCTTTTTTAAAATACAAACGAACATTACCTAAAAATAACTCTTTTTAATTCTTAATTTAATGATAACATTAGGCATGGAGTTAATTAAAACACAACAAAAAAATAAAGGTCCTTAAAAAGTATGTAATTTGTGAATAGGTGTCTTTAAGGCAAATACAGATGAATTTCAATGGATATTGTTTGGAATTGGATAATAAATTCACAACAAAGAACAATTTCCACTAAACAATAGTGTTTAACATAAATTTTACAGGGATGGTAGACCTCTCTTGGATACAGACATCATGATATTAATAGTTATAATAAAAATGACTTAATCTTTGAAATGATTTCAGGGAAAATACCAGTAAATTGATGTTTCTATAAAACTATTCTACATGAAGCCTGCGATCATGCATTTTGTTTGTCATGTCCGACACCCACATTAAATTTTATATGAAACACTATTCTCCCAAAATCCAAGTCTAAGAACAACCATGATCTATATAAACTGATTGATTGAGCATATGGATTATTTGATAAAAAGTTAATCAATGTAAAATTTGTTTTTCTTAGATTTTGGGTTAACCAATCACACAATTACCAAATCATTCATTTAAAACATTGAACTAATTTGTCAAATAGTTTTTACAGAAAATACTGCTTTTATGCATTTTGGACAAAGTTGTTAAAAAAATTGTCTGCCACAGAAAAAGCCATTGTTGATTTATGAATTGTTTTTAGGTTATCAGGACCAGATGAGATAACAGTATAAGTTCAAGAGAAATATGATGAAAAATCGATGATTCATCAAAATCCTTACTTATTTATAAAAAAAAGAAGCAATTTAAACCCTATATCCACTTCAAATGGGACAACATTTGTGTACATCCAAAAGACAACACAATATACTTATAGTTGTAAAACTATATACAACCAATATATATAGCTCTAATGCAAGATATAAAACAATACAACTAGGAAAGACTAATGCCATGCAAGAAAAGCATTACAACAAAAGTCAACCAAAAAACATACGTAAAAAAGATCTAAAAGGCGGGACTCGTCAATTGCCTTTTCAACCTCATCGCAAAGAAAATTCATTTGCTACAAAGATACACATATGCAAATTTACAGCATATATGTACACTTTCCAAGGTATTTTACATCATGTAATCATCAGGACCACATCCTGAATGAGATTTCAAATCCTTGGTTAAACATACAGCCTCTGTATCTTATTATTTTTTCTTTGAATTCATTTAAGGTAAAATTGTAAAAAGATAACAATGCTACAGATATAAATTATGGTGTAATATAACAAAGCAAACCAATAGTACACTGTCAGCTTTCAAAAAAGTATAAAGTCAGCCACACGTTTCTTAAACCCTATTATAGTAATTGTTGGCAAACATGGTAACCATCTGAACAAAGATTTTGTTACAAAAGGAATGTCATAATTCTAACTGGTTTCTGTTAATTGACCGTTCATCTTTGAAGTCATCTGACTTAAGTCTGTGCTACATCCATCATATTTGTAGACAGGATCAGTGAAAATCAAGCTGGATTTCTATTTAAAAAAATAAGGTCAAGTCCAGAAGATAGATTGGTTGCTGTTTATTTAATGTCCAATGGCAAATGTTTCATGCAAAGTCAAGTCCAGAATACATGACTTTGAAAACACTGGTCCAATGTTAATCATATTGTTTAAAATAAAATGTGTGTTTTTTTTGTTTTTTTTTTTCATTTACAATTTTTTTGTTTAGACAAAAATCATAAAACAAACCTTTTGGTTTTCCAGTGCATTTTCTACTCTCTTTCTTTCACTTTGTAATTGTTTTCTCATTGTAGCTAATTCTTTAAGAACATCAGAACCTGTAATGATAAATATAGGTTTCAGGTCTATATATATGTTCTAATGTTTGTATTGGTGGAAATTATATTCAACAAGATTGAATGTGCTGTCTTACTAAGCATACCCTGACTTGTAATTCAAAGTATCAGTTAACCGTGAGATGGTGTCTGACAGACCTGAAAAGCACTAAAACATTACAATTCATCTCTGCTAAGCTGCTGACTACATATAAAGTAATTCTGTTCAGTAGTAATAGAGAAAAGTGTGTAAAAAATTAGTTCATGTAACATATTTCAAAATCCATAGTATCCACAAACAGGAAGTAGGTGTCTAAGAGATTAGAAAAGTGCACACAATTTTTTGAAAACTCCTTCAACATATTGAAAAATCCAATATTGGCATACAGGAAGAATTTGTCTGACAGATCTGAAAAGGCTCACAAATTACAACTCATCACTACCAAGCTGCTGACCAAATATTATGTCATTCTGTGCGATGGAAATATTTGTTGGACATATGAACAGACAAGGTGGATGTAATATATTGTGGATTCATTTATTTTCGTGGATTGAGGAAAACATGTATTTTTGTGGGTATCAAATTTCGTGGTTATGCCAGAATCTATATATTAGCCAATAGAAAATTTGCACTTCCTTGAACATTTAATTTCCTGGTTATGCCAGAATCTATATATCAGCCTATAGAAGATTTGCACTTTCTTGAACACTTAATTTCGTGGTTATGCCAGAATCTATATATCAGCCTATAGAAGATTTGCACTTTCTTGTACATTTAATTTCGTGGTTATGCCAGAATCTATATACATGTATCAGCTTATAGAAAATTTGCACTTCCTTGAACATTTAACTTTGTGGTTATGCCAGAATCTATATACATGTATCAGCTTATAGAAGATTTGCACTTCCTTGAACATTTAATTTCGTGGTTATGCCAGAATCTATATATCAGCCTATAGAAGATTAGCACTTCCTTGAACATTTAATTTTGTGGTTATGCCAGAATCTATATATCAGCCTATAGAAGATTTGCACTTCCTTGAACATTTAATTTCGTGGTTATGCCAGAATCTATATATCAGCCTATAGAAGATTTGCATTTCCTTGAACATTTAATTTCGTGGATATGCCAGAATCTATATATCAGCCAATAGATAATTTGCACTTCCTTGAACATTTAATTTCGTGGTTATGCCAGACTCTATATATCAGCCTATAGAAGATTTGCATTTCCTTGAACATTTAATTTCGTGGATATGCCAGAATCTATATATCAGCCAATAGATAATTTGCACTTCCTTGAACATTTAATTTCATGGTTATGCCAGACTCTATATATCAGCCTACAGAAAATTTGCACTGCCTTGAACATTTAATTTTGTGGTTAATCTTTACCCAGGAAAACCATGAACATAGGTATCCCATGAATAATAATGAATCCACAGTAACAGAAACAGACATAATCAAGAAAAAACTTAACATTGACCAATGAACTATGAAAATGAGATTAAGGTCAGATGGATCCTGCTAAATTGGCATGTTCACCTTAAAACCATTCTATAGACAAGTATATTTGACCTATTGCTTATAGTACCTGAGAAAGAGACATAATCAAGAAAACTTAATGTTGACCAAAACACCATGAAAATGAGGTCAAGGTCAGATGAACTCTTCAAGACAGATATGTACACCTTACAATCATTAAATAGACCAAATATAGTTGGTTCATTGGTGAATGTTCAGTTTTCAAGATAATGTGTGTTTCTCAGATACTATGAACAATTGGTCAACTATATTTGACTTATGGAATAATTGTAAGGTGTACATATCTGTTTGGCTTAGTTCATCTGACCAGGACTTCATTTTCATTGGATATTTTGTCAAAGTCTAGTTTTCATGGCTAGGTCCTTTTCTTATGTACTATAAGCAATAAGTAAATACACAGATAAATGATATTGTATAAAAACCTTTCTCTAATTCTTCGTCAATTTATCCCTTTCTGCACCCATTGTATAAAAAAAAATTAATCAACGTGTGGTTCGTTTGATCTCAGTTCTTCATTGGTTAAAATCCGATTATGACGTCGAATTTTCTTGCTTTCCTCTGAATTTCCTATTGTGACGGCATGAAAAAAGGTGACCATGCCTGATGACGTCACATAGAAAGAACACATCTTTTTGCAGATCATTCGAAAAGAAGGAATAAATTTGCCTGCGTATTGTTTGAAAATCATTAGAGAAACAGATTCCTCCACCAAATCTCGTGTAATACGATATTTATCCACTCTTGACAGTTAAATTTTAAATATTTAAAACGCTCGGCGAGCCTCGCGTTTTAAATTTGAAAATTTAACTGGCTCGAGTGGATAAATATCGTATCACACTCGATGCAGTGGTAGAATCTATATTTATCTTTCAACATAAATTCAATCATGATCAGTAAAGCAGGTTGAACATTTCAGCATGTGTACTCGTTGTTTCAAAAAAAAAATTGTGTACTTAATGTTGTTGTTGGTTTATGCTGTTGGTCATCAATTCCATCCAAAACTGTCTGTAAAAAATGTTTTTTGTCATTATCAACTTTTTAATAGCAATCAATTAAAACAGGAGTTACATCCCCTTGTTTGACCACCATACTACTTACTGTTAGCTCTGGATAGTTGTAAAGGTGCTGGAGCAACCTGAAAATAAATAAATCTTTCATTAAAAACAGCAAATTTTTCTATGAAATTATCAGGTCTGATGAAATTGTCAACTTTTTTTAGGCCTTTTAAATTACTTTTCAGTGTCATTTATTTCAAAGATTAATCATAAATGGAAATGGTTTGCCTTTAAATCCAAAGGATATATAATGATAGAGCTATTTAACATAATTTAATGCTCTTTTATTTAGACTGAACTCCACATAAATGTTTGGTCAATCTGATAGTTATGAAAGTAGTGACCATTCGTGCTGTAGTTCTATAGATTCAATTGTCTTTAACTTGAGAGAATATCTAACAATTTCAGGGGAGATAACATCAGTCAAGTGTGGAAGGTAATTTTTTTTTTGCTTGACTTCAGGGAAAAATAAACTGCCATAACCACAGATTTCAGTAATAAACATACTTACACTCAATTGCTATATCGGCTTGCTTTTATTCTTTTAAAGAGCCACAGACTGTCATGCACTTTTTTGTCTGTAGCAATAAAAATAAATATACACAATTCTTACCTATAGTTCTGTGTGGCTTCTGCAGGAATAAATAGGCACAAATTGCAATGCCCTACGTATGTCTATAGCAACATAAGGAACTATATGCAAGATGCTAGAGGTTTTACCTTGCTTCTTTTGAAAGGTAATCATATATCTGTGCCAATAAAAAGGAGTATATGAAATACTAACCTGCGGTTCTGGCTTGCTTCTGTGTGAGGGTACGGGCGGAGACCTGCCTCGCCCATCTGACGTCTGTACCAATAAAAAGGAGTTTATACAAGCCATGCTTATTAATGCAACTATATCATAAATAAGAACCTGCTGTTACATTTAGTACAATTGGAACAAATTTTACTTTTGAAATAAATTATAAATGTGTTTCCATTTTCCATTTTCAAAGTTATCTAACTTTTTTTTCTATTGTCTAAATTTTGTGTTCTGGCTCATTGTATCTTTCATGTAACAGCACTAGATTAAAAGGAATGGTTCTTTTCTATTATTCAATAAAAAGTCTAATATCTCATGATTCTAAAATAATTTTGTTGTATAATAAAATGTTTACCATGAAGATTGTTCTATGTTATATGAATTTTCCTGGAAGTAATTCTATGTATGGTAGAATATTACAAGAGCTATTTAAAAGAATGTTAGTTTTTAAAATTAATTGTGCTTAGATGAGACAACTTGGTGGGACTTGTTCTGTTATCAATTTTTATGTAAAATCCTTCAAAATTTTTTTTAACTTGTATTTTATGGTGCACAATCTTGTGAAAAAGTTTCGAAAGATTCGATCATAAAGTTATTCAATTATCATCTGGGAATCTTTAAAGAAAAAAAACACTTTTATAGATAATATAGGATATAGGTCTTAAATGGGAAATTTCAAATCAGCTCAATCAAACTTGATCTGTATTTTCATAAAATTGTAGAAAATCCCAGTTTGTTAAAAAAAAATTGTTCTCAGGCAAATAAAGGGCATAACTACTGAAAAGTTAATGTCAAATCAACTCTGTCAGATCTTTCACTCTTCTCCATTAGATTTGTTTGTCACAACATGCAAGAGCTGAAGACATCCCTTAAAGGACATATTTAGACGACCTTTTATGCTAATTTTGATTAACCTATTATTTCCCGTGACATGCTGGTACTTTGATAACTAATTTCAGAAATATTTTGCAGTTTACCAGCAATTTGTTTTTATAGTAAAAAAATACTGAAACTTTTCTGGAGAAAGATTTGATTGGATGCTTATGGGATATCTTCAGGTCTTACACTTCATGACAAACAAATCTAACTGAGCAGAGTGAAATATCTGATTTTAATCATATTGATATAATCCAAAATATATAAGTGTTTTATACTCATGACATTGAGGAGATCTTATTAAGTGATTCCTTCAACATAGTTTATTGATAAAAAGTTGTTATAACAAACAGACAGACATGGGAATCCCTATACTAATTAAATAGCAATGTTCAAAAATTGATATAACATAGTTTGATCTTCACTCTAAACTAAAACATAACAAATTGAAAAATAATATAATTATTACAAAGGTTTTAACATAATTTCAAATCATGCTGTTAAGATTATTTACACTCAATAAACCATGCAAAAAACCTTCACCTCCCCTTTGTAACACTGCAATCATCAATCATTGCCCCTTGTAACAGTGCAATCACCAATTTCATTTTTCTCTTTAATAGTGCATTAATCACTCCCCCTTGTAATAGTGTAATCATCATCCCCCCTTGTAATAGTGTAATCATCATCCCCCCTTGTAATAGTGCATTAATCACTCCCCCTTGTAATAGTGTAATCATCATCCCCCCTTGTAATAGTGCATTAATCACTCCCCCTTGTAATAGTGTAATCATCATCCCTCCTTGTAATAGTGCATTAATCACTCCCCCTTGTAATAGTGTAATCATCATCCCCCCTTGTAATAGTGTAATCATCATCCCCCCTTGTAATAGTGTAATCATCATCCCCCCTTGTAATAGTGCATTAATCACTCCCCCTTGTAATAGTGTAATCATCATCCCCCCTTGTCACAATTCAATCATCTATTCAATTAAGCTGAAAGTTTATTCAGGCAAAAACAAAATGTTATACTTTATCTGCAAATCTTTACTCAGTTAAAAATTCAAACACTTAATATTTAATATGAAAGACTAAGATACATGTACCTAAGATTTCACAAATTAAAATTCAAGATTTTCATCTAAAATCAAGTCAAATGTTGACCTAAATAAAGACCTTTATTTAAATGTTCATTTGTTTATTCAAGAAATTCATTCACATTTTCAAAATCACTCTAAATCACTCTAATTACTCAATTCATTTCCATAATCCATAATTCTCATAAACAAACATGCTAACATTAACAATTTCAACCCGTTTCCATTTTTAAACATAACTTGGTGAACAATGCTGTGTGGATGAAAAATATAATTTCAACGAACTTTCAACTTTGTGCTGTTCATTCAAAACATGTGACCCTTAGCCCACTTGATTTATACCGAGGTTTTGATTTCTGGGGTAATTCTTGTCTGTGTTGTTGGAGGTTCTAGACTGACTGAACTGGTACGGAAATGATCGTAACCATGTATATTTGGTGCTGAATCTCTTTTTATAATACTAAGTTTAAAATCATCAGGTTTATAATTAGTCTTTTTAGGAGGTAGAGGTTCTTTAGACTTGGGAGGAGGTTTAGTAACAGCTCTTTTCTCTTCCTGTACAATTGATTATAAAACTTAATGTAAATATTTGTGCAAGCATTATTTGTTGCTATTAATATACATAATGTAACATGTACTAACAAGCTAAATTAAATAACAAAAAATAAAATGAGTAGAAAGTAACAAAACTATTACATTGGGTGAGGTTCTACACTATTGAAATGTTGATATATGTAGCTAAAATTTCTCATGCAAAATGATTATTAGTATACCAGTACTCAGTGTACAAATGCAAATGTTTTGTATGGTAAAGACCTTTCTAAAATCTTATCGCCTGACATCTGTTTGATCCTACCTCTAATAAATGGCATACTCAAGGTTTATCACAAAAAATTTCAACACCCATCAAGTTTATTTCTAAATAAAGGCCTTATTACGTGAAAATAATGATTACCGAAGGTTCTCCATTTTCTGTGGCAAGTTTACTCCTGATAGCTGGTATAGGAGGTGAACCACCTCTCTCTTCCTGTAAATAAATATATTTCTTATTTTCTATTCACTTAACCTTCAAATATTATTTCCCCGTCAATTCTTATTATAAATGTTTATCTTGCAACATTGTCCAAATACACCACCTTTATGATGAAGAACAGCTGTAAAATTGCTGTCATTTTGTAAAAGTTTACAAAAACTGAGTATTGTATCTTGAATACAAATATCATTGTGTTTTTTCATTGTTTTCCTTTGTTAAGAATAGTGACAACTAAAATAATTCTAAGTAATGAAAAAAGTCCTTGTGAAGTGAAATATATTTATATAGTGCAAAGTCAAACTGGTCATTGACTTTATATTCGTCTAGGTGCAGACAATTACTTATACAAAATGTCATTAATAAAGAAAAATATAGTTTTGTGAAACTAAAACTACTTAATTTTATCTGAACATGAGCTGAGTGTGGTAGAACTATCTTACCCTTTGTCGTTCTGTTCTCTCTCTATCTTCTTGTTCTTGTTTCTCTCTTGATCTAGCATCAGCATCCTCTCTCCTTTTTCTGCTTTCCTCATTCTTTCTATCTTCTGCTTGTTTTCTAAGTTCTTCGTTTTTTCTTCGAGCCTAATGTTTTAAATATGGCACATTAGAAATTATAGTATTTACTATTTACTTTAATAGTTATATTGAATAATTTGCAAAATTATTTTATACAAAAAGATAGAGCAAAACATTTGGGATTCTTTTTTATTCACAAGAAAACTGTATATTCAGAAATTAATGTGTGCATAAATTATTGAGATTTTTGAAGAATAAACAAAAAATAGCTGTTTAATTATTGTGATTTTAGGAAAAGCTACATACAGATATATGTTTTTAGATTTCTTATTATTGCGACACTCAAGGAGTTGCATTATACCAATTAATAAAAAAAACCTTGGAATTATTTCTGAATTATCTGTTGTCCTGTGGTATCATCCTTAAACTATAAAGTGTTTTAACCATCAACTTGGTAGTAAACAAAAATGCATTTTTTTTTATATAAACAAAAGTATTACATCTTCTTCTTTTTCTCTCTTCTTTCTGACTTCTTCTTCATATTCCTGCTGTATTCTAATCCTTTGTTCCTCAAGACGTCTGTTTTCTTTTTCTTCTTCAATTTTTTCCTTTTCCCTTTCAATTTGATCATATCTTTTTTTTTCTTCAATCTACCAAAATTATAAAGCATCAGTTGCATTACATATGATGGTGCTAGATTGTAAAAGTGACTTAACTGAACATATCTGTTCAGTAGAAAGAAATACCAATTTAAGTTGTAGAAACAGAAGAATCCACTTATTTGACAGAACTAGAAAATTATGATACAAGATTATCTAAAGCGATCACATTTCATAGTTTAACAATACCACTATTTATCTCTACGGTAATGTCCTGGATAGGTTATTTCTATCATTTACTATCAATGATTTCTGTAAAGACCAAATAGTATGCTGTAACTCTGCATTTTAATTTAAGACTTTGTTTATAGGTAGCCTCCTCTACAGAAATTAGCTGCATTTTCCTACAAAAAAACCCTGAAAAAGACTGTAAAGAGAATAAATATATTAACAATCAATAAATTTTAAATTTCTTTTTACATTTGATGTTAGTAAAAGATGATGAAATTGGTTTGTGCTCATCATATTGATACAATGTGAACAATTATATGGTCTTAGGTTCTAGGCAAAGTGAAAAATATATAATAAGTGGATTCGACTGTCCTAAAAAGCATACAGGCAACTGGATGACTAATCTACCTCACAAACCTTTATAACTTGTCCTCCTTCAGACCTGAGTCACTGTACTTACTATAGTGAGATACGTCCTAAAAAATGACCTTAATGAATTTATATACCTGTCGCCGTAAATCATCTTTATATTTATCTGCTGTGTCTTTCTCTGCATCAGTCTGAAATTCAAAAATATAATTACCATAAAATTGTTGATAATGAAATTAATCATATACTCATACATAATGTGAAATGAAAATGTTTGTTTTAATCTACAGCCTGTAATCATATGTAGCAGGGAATTTGATTAGCAAGAATATTCAATGAATTTTAATATTATCTTACAAATATTCATAAATATATGCAATTAAGATAGAAGTCTGGAAGATTAAAAACTGTAAAAATAACACTATGTTGAAGGCTTTGAGCAATGCCTTTACATGTAATTATTTTCTTGCTATTGTAAAATACCCCATGTTTGTGCCATTTTGATGAAAGCTAAAATTTGAACAAAACTATATTCAAATCCTTCTTCACATAATCTGCACACAAACTTGTCTGAACTTACCCTAGGCTGTCCAAATATACCATGACCACCTCTAGCATAAGTATTCTCCCCTTTAGCATTCTGTTGCATTGGTGGAGGTTTAATTAAATCATCTTTAGGAGAAGCAGGAGCTCGGAATCTTGGTGACTCTCTAGGGGGTGGAGACCTTGCTGATGTTCCTCCAACATTTTCATAATGCATAGATCTTAAGTCAGCTAAAAAAAAAACAGATGCAAAATATTGGTAATTTTAGATTTTGAAAGTTTAATAGTTATACTTTATATCACAAGAGTGAAATGTATTGCCTGCTTAATTGATAGCATTTGAAATAAATATTTTACAACATGTTAGAAGAAAGCTTGATTACTCAACCATGCATTAAACTTCTAAATTCTTTTGACCAAATATAGTTGGCTTATAACTTAAAGGGACTAAAACACTAACCTAATATGAAATTTTTATGTTTTTCATTGAACAACGAAAAGCAGTCAAGAACAAGTGTCATACTGACATATACATCTTACAACCAGTCAAGAACAAGTGTCTCCTGTCATACTGACTTGTGCATCTTACAACCAGTCAAAAACAAGTGTCTCCTGTCATACTGATTTGTACATCTTACAACCAGTCAAAAGTGTCTCCTGTCATACTGACATACACATCTTACAACCAGCCAAAAACAAGTGTCTCCATTCATACTGACATTTACATCTAACAACCAGTCAAGAACAAGTGTCTCCTGTCATACCGACTTGTACATCTTACAACCAGTCAAAAACAAGTGTCTCCTGTCATACTGACTTGTACATCTTACAACCAGTCAAAAGCAAGTGTCTCCTGTCATACACATCTTACAACCAGTCAAAAACAAGTGTCTCCATTCATACTGACATTTAAATCTAACAACCAGTCAAGAACAAGTGTCTCCTGTCATACTGACTTGTGCATCTTACAACCAGTCAAGAACAAGTTTCTCCTGTCATACTGACATATACATCTTACAACCAGTCAAAAACAAGTTTCTCCTGTCATACTGACATATACATCTTACAACCAGTCAAAAACAAGTTTCTCCTGTCATACTGACATATACATCGTACAACCAGTCAAAAACAAGTGTCTCCATTCATACTGACATATACATCTTACAACAAGTCAAAAACAAGTGTCTCCTGTCATACTGACTTGTACATCTTACAACCAGTCTATCAACTATATTTGGTCTCAGAAAGAATCTTATTTTTCTACTTGATATTGTGAAAAAAAAATCAAATGATGCATATATTATTTACTATTTTTCAGTTGAGCAAATTAACTGAAATAACTAGAAACAGGAAGTAGATAGTATGTATCGTTCAAACATTTATTTCAATAAGGGAGAAAAGTGTTGTACTTACTGACTGCATTGCCAGCAGTATCTTTGATTGGAGCTCCACCACCACCACGACCAAATGGATTATAATTACGTATTTCTTCATCCAATTTTCTTTCATATCTGAATTAATGAAAATATCATTTTATAACTTGTCATTGATAAATTACATTCTGACAAATAGTAATGATTATGGACTATAAATGAGATTTCAATTGCAGATCATTTCGAATATGAGCTCTCTCAACTTAAAAATGCCCACATTCACATATCACAAATAATCAACCTTACATTTTAAAACTGTACATTATGAAAACCCAACGAAACTATATCATATATGTTTTTCGTTTGTTGTTTTGTACATAAATTAGGCTGTTGGTATTCTCGTTAAATTGTTTTACATTTTGTCATCTCAAGTCCTTTTATAGCTTATGTGGTACGAGTTTTGCTCATGGTTGAAGGCTGTACAGTGACCTATAGTTGTAGTCTCTTGTGGATAGTTATCTTATTGGCAATCATACAATATCTCTTTATTTTATATAGAATTAGGTGAACAAATGACAAGAACTAACCCAGCTTGCAGACAGACACTTTAACAGTAAAATCAAAAACCAAAATTTAAATTGTGACCTCTATTTTATGTTTTAAAACATTGTGTTTAAATCTGTAAAGTTTTATCAAATTCTACTTTCAATATCACCTTGGAACCTTTTTTTTCTTCTTAACTAAGGGGCATACCGGTAACTCTTGAAGAGTAAATGTACAAAACCACTAAAATCAAGCTTCACCTGTATTTAATGGTCAATATCAATGTTTTCCATTTTCAACTGATTTGATAAAGTTGTATTTTCATTATCATCTGGTCAAAGTATAAAAAAGACAACAAGCTTTTTAAAATTGGATTAACTAAGAATAAGTTTAGGCAGATATGCAATCTTTTCACTATTTAAAATGAACAGGATTAGAGTTCAATTTTGTGAAAATATATACCTATCTTTATCTTCTTTCTCTTTTTGTTCTCTGTATTTCTTTTCTTGTATCTAAATGCAAAAAAAGAGATTTAAATTAACATTTGAGAGTAGACAGTAACTACAATTCTTTATAGTTCTCATAAGGTAAAACAGTATGCTAAATTAACAAAAACAAAAGATACAGCACAAATCTGAACAGAAATTTCAATCAAGTTTTGTAACTTATACAATCTGTAATGAATTCATTTAAAGAAGTGATCTGTTAATAGTGCACTTAAACAGACCTGTCGCTGAAGTTCTTCTTGGTAAGCTCTTTGATCTTGTCGTGATTTACTCCTAAAATCATCATCACTGGGGAACTGGTATGGTGAGATCCTCTCTTTACTTCTACTCCTGGCTCTAGTGCTGTAAAAATAGAAAATAATACATGGATTCAGCACTCCTAGCTATTGTACTGTAAATATAGAAAATAATACATTGAGCCATCACTCCCAACTCTAGAAGTTATTACATAAAAATTTACTTGGTACATCCATACATTTTTCTGTATTTTCAGCCAAGTGACCATGCAAAGTAGACAATTTGAAATGAAAAGTTTATTTCAGGTTTATATGTACATATCTTTATTCATACTAAAACTGCTTTTTAATGGATAGAGTTACATAATTGGGTATTTAACATATTACCAAGATATAATCTGATGCAAGTAATGAAGGTTTACTTAATGCTGAAGGCATTATCATCACTTTCACATCAACACAATTTCAGTTTATTTAATGAAATTTGTTCTCTGGTACCTTTCAACTTGTTTATAGACTTACTTATCTTCAAATGTAACTTTAGGTGGAGACATTCGACATAGTCTTACTTATCTTCAAATGTAACTCTAGTAGGAGACATTCGACATAGACTTACTTATCTTCAAATGTTACTCTAGGGGGAGACATTTGACATAGACTTACTTATCTTCAAATGTTACTCTAGGGGGAGACATTCGACATAGACTTACTTATCTTCAAATGTTACTCTAGGGGGAGACATTCGACATAGACTTACTTATCTTCAAATGTTACTCTAGGGAGAGACATTCAACATAGACTTACTTATCTTCAAATGTTACTCTAGGGGGAGACATTCGACGACTGTATGGTTGATCATCTAAACGGTTTAATGGAATATCTGGACCACCACCACCTGAAATAGCAATATATGAACATTTTAAATCATGAAATAAAAATTATATCCCAATTTTGTCATAAAAAGTGCATTTCTATTTTGGGTGAGTAATGAGTGCAAATTCAAATTTATCTGAACATCTTCTCTTTTTTTTAATCTATAAATTCAACACTTGAATTGATCTATTTTTGTTTTTATCAACATTTTTACCAATATTATACAAATAAAAAAAAGAGCTATAAAATTACGTAAATATCAAACATAACTTATCAATGAATAAAAAGTTTGTCTTATTGCATTGTTTAAATAGAAATCCGACCACAGACTGTAGTAAATGCTTCCCCAAACCATGCATCAATTCCATAGACTTATTTAATGTAGGATTAACATGATTAATTATGTTTATAACCTGATGACCTCCAGAAAGCCAAGGTTTAACAAGTGGAGCTGTAAGCTATTGCTCACTAATGTTATCCCTGCTTTTGTTATTGTGTAAACAGGAAGTCAATGAATGATGGAAGTAAACACACATCACTTGGCATAACATGCTAACATGAATACTGATTCAAAATTTCAGAAAATTTGATTTGTAGATAAGTATTGTGTAAACAGGAAGTCAATGAGCAATTAATCTGAAAATGCATCACACAGTAAAGCACTCTCATGAAGTTTTAAACAAAATTTTGACAACCTCTGATTTGACGTCCTTGAGAAAAGTGTGACATTTATTTTATGGGATGGACAGACACATGCACCGACTGACTGACAGAAGGACACACAGATGCCAACCAGTTTCCACCCTCCTTTCTGAGCGGGGATATAATGACTATAGAAATGAGAAACACTCTTCCTAATCCGTACTCTGTATGTGAGAATACCAACCTTTAGAAATCTCCTTGGAATAGAAATGACAAATTCCTCTACTGAACTGATAACTGGATTAACAGAAACTACAACAACCCAACTATGCATACACAATACACATACTAACCTCCAGAAGGCTCTGGGTCTAATGGGTTCTTCATACCATAGAAATGATAGGCTTCATCTATAGAACTGAGAGCTGGGTTGTTAAGACCTCCTCCTCCAGTTATATAAGTACTGAAAAAACAAAACATATTAATTATCTCAAAAATCCATATACTAGATGTACTGTATCAAAGCCAAAAAGGTATGAGCTAACATGAGGAAACCAATATGCAGTATAACACTGTTTTATTGTTTCAGAATATTTTTCATATTTCAACTAATGATGACAAAATAAATCTAACCACAGATGCTGGATAGAGTATATTGTGTATGAATGCACCTGGTTCCAAGGGGAACAAAAACGTTAATATAACCATGTGTTATCTTTTTACTTTTCCTTTCCAGCAACAATTTGATAATCAACAGCAATTCATTAGATAATCAAAACTTTTTTTGTCAAAATTTACATAATTACATACTAAGTATTTGGCATAGATTTGAGTACAAACTTTTTAAACAGACATAGATTTGCAAATGACGTAACGATTTGACACAGATCTGAGAAAAGGACATTGATATGAGGCCGTACACAGATTTGAGTCTTACATAATATATGCGAATAAAATGGCACTTATGCATTTGCATACAGGCAGAAACTGTCTTTTAATAAAATGGCTGGCTGTACGGAACCAAATGTCTTCGGATGACAATGACATCATCTTCATACCATTATACGGTTATATTATTAATGAATAATAACACAAATCATGGCAAGAATATTCTTAAACAATGATGCATGCCTCCTTATATCTTAAATTATAAAACAGGAGCAATTAATTCTTTTCCAATGTACCAATGCAATCCAAAAACATGCAATCATTCTCTCCATAGATGTCATTATTGTCAAAATATCAGCACTTACACAATCATTCCTAATATCTAACAGATAAACAAATGTTTTATCTATTTTTAAATTTCTTATTCAGGATATTCATGTTAATTTGTTTCAAACATGGAAATATTTGAGCCATTTTATACATAGGGAAAAACAACAACAAGACAAACTGACGTGAATGTAACAAGTTCATGCTTTAGTGAAGGGAAAACAAAACTGTTAGAAATAAAACTTGTTTATAAGATTTAATACACCTCCATACAAAACAGCATTAATTATTATGTTAGAGTATTTACACATCAAGAATAAAGGATTTTAATACAAATAATTTAGTGTTTTTTTTGTTTTTTTAAGAAAGATTGGCAAGAGTCTATAAAAGAATAGATATATATGCCAGAAGTCTGCAGAGGCAATATTTCATCTGATGCTTTGCTTGAATATCTTTGAAATTCGGATCTACATAGTTTTACAAATGAAATACCAAAGAAAAGACTTTTAAACCATAGAATAGCATAATTAGTATTGGCTGATGCAGGCATGAAATATAATAGAGTATTTTCCTGTAAAGAATCTAAAAGAATGAATCCAGACCAAAGCCATGCTAGCAATGCCCAAGTCAGCCGGATTAGTGAAGTTACAGGGAAGACAAGACATTAGGGTGATATCAACATAAAGGCTATCATAGCAACTTTTATGGCAATTCATTTTTTTTTAATAATCAATGAATGATAGACTTTCATTAAAAAGCATTCCATTAAACATGAGATTTAGGAAATATTTGGGATTGCCATAAAAGTTTAAAAAGAAGCCCATTGCACTGTGTACCTTGGGATACCAATCCTTCCTGGTTCTGATGGGTCTGCAAAGCTATAATGAACATCATACAATAGGTACAGAGACATGTGTAGTTGTCATTAAGACAACAATTTTAAGTTTTGTGCCATGAGATAAGTCATTTTACCCAATAATTAATATTTTATTATTTTGGCTTTTAAACTAAGTTACATTTATATTCTTTTTCATAGACAAATTTACGACCAAATTTCATTATGTGTTCTATAATAAACATTAACAAACAAGGCAATCTATTATCAGTACTTTTTGAAATATGATAACAGAGTCCGATAAATTTATAAGGATTGAAAATTTAAACATATGTTTACTAATTTATGCAAAAGTGTAATAACACAAGCAATCCATAAATGTGCCTAACGACCAGCAAATTTGTTTTCATTTAGCATAAAAGTAGTAACTTACGATGGTTGATACTGTATTCCTGGTGGAGCATATGCACCCCTGGGTCTGGACTCTAGAAGGCCTTCAAACCCTGTATCTAATAATCCCCCTCCAGAGCCTCCTCCTCCTCCTGCTCCTCTACCTCGTCTCTGTGGACGTCCTCGCTCTCTTGGTGTATAGCCACCTACTCCACCAAGGTCTAGATTTAAATCCTGTCCATTCCTTCCACCACGAGGACTAAAAAGAATATCACAATATATAAGATTATACAGTAAGACATATCCAAAACATTAAGGTAAATTTAAGACATACCAAAAACATGATTAAGAATTATTTAAACTATCAAGACATACCCAAAACATAGTTAATCTAGATTCTACCCATCAAGACGTATAAAAAATATGGTAAAAACTGATTTTAACTCCTTTATTTTTTAAATCTGTATACGACAGATGCAATCTATTGTTGAATATTGCAATAATAAAAAGACCAAGCAGTATTTCTTCTATTATCTGGCCTTCAGGTTCCAAGATAAATCTAATAATTTTAAGGTCTGCTTATTCAAGTTCCTGTGTGGGTACCAGTATGCTGGCTTTGTATTTATCTCCTCTGTATGATGCATAGTCAAAGGTAGGTAAAACGAAGGAGATATTATAGTAAAAAAAAGATTTAGAAAACAGATCATGCTGAGCCATTTTTTGAGATTCTTTTGTCTCAATTATAACTTTCTTAATATGGCAATAGGTCCGAGGACACAGTTATCCTTTGATTTTCGTTGTCTTCAAATATAGTCCCTATTGTGGACAGTGTATAACTAACAAATTTTTCTCAAATACTTTCCAAATTTATTTCTTTATATTTTATGCATGAAATATTAAGTCAGGGGATGAAATTTCATGTTAAAAAAATTTTGGTGCTGAATCTTTATGTTAAGCAGTGATTTGGTCCAGTTAAAAAAGGTCAAAAATTAGTATGTCTGAAGCTGTTGAACTGAATTTTAGACCCCCTTAACACAGAATTGTCCATATTTTGAGTAAGAGCTGGTAGACTTTTCTATAATTTTGATATTATTTGTCCCAATAGTAGTACACTACACTGTAAAAATCTTTTTGAGATAGAGCAGGTGAGATTTTTTTAATTTGAATTTATTGTCTAAAAGAAATGCACTATGAAATAACTGTGTTCTCCGGCCAATAGGTTATAGTTATGTCTTGAATACATGGGGGAAAATAAAAAGTGAAAATAAGATAAATTTAGGGAATTAAAAACTTTGAAACAATTAGCCTTATGTCAGCCCTTGGAAAAATTGATAACATCACCATTTTGAACCCTTCTGAGTTGAACATGCAAACGAAAGTTTGGCCGTTTGCTCAGAAAATCTTCATCATGTACACATTTTCTTAATTACTTCCAAATATTTTTCTTCTGGCTATAAAAATCTTTTTAAAAACTAGATGTGTCGGAATGACAAAAATGGCTCCACTCGCAAAAAAAGCTTGAAGCCATTTTCAGGAGTTGAAATTTGGGAATGAAAGTTAGAATAACTGTTATTGTCCAAAGCCCGTAATTTCGGCAAAAATCAGTCAAGCAGATCCAGACGTAAACTCAATCTGTAACTCATCATAGTAGACTCACATACTTAAAATCAGCTCAATGAGTGAAGGCTTTTAGAAAAAAGTTGATATAACTGTTATTTTCACTAAATGTTCAAAGTCCAAAGCCCGTTGTTTCTGCAATAATCAGCAGAGCGGAACCAAACATATTATAGATCTGTAACGCATCATAGTAGACTCTCATTCTAACAATGAGCTCAATATGTGAAGGCATTTAGAAAAAAGTCTGTGTAACTGTTCGTTGTGGAATGATTTTTTTACCGGGCCATAAAGAAAGGTTTTTAAAGGACTACATTGGAGGGTAATAGACTGGTTCCGTTGTAACTGGAAACTATTATACATATTACTGCACAATCTAAGAAGCTAGCGAATCATAAGCATAGTTGCCAACTGACATGATCTTCGCGTGTAATACACGCTTTTTCAACGGTTTACACGCGAGGATTTTGTCACATGGCGTGTACACGCGTTTCGCCACTTTACACGCAATTACACGCTTTTTCGTTGTTTTGATTTTTTGGTCGTTGGTGATATCGCGATTCTCGGGTTTTTTCATTATTAGACAAAAAATACCGAAAATTTCGAAGTAATTGTATCGTCGCCATTGTTTATTTTCTATATGGACGAACAGCAAAAGCCCTTAAGGTAAGTAGTTTGTGATTAGTTTTTACGATTTTGTGACTTTCTTTCTTTCAAATTCACTTGGGGGAAATGTCGCCAGAAATAGTTCGCTTTCAGGACCAGTACCGTCGTCTAAAGAGACGATTGCTAAGCGAAAACGATGTGTACGTACCAAGATAAATTTCAAGATTTACAAATTATATTTGGAAGTTCAAGTTTAAATTATCGAGAGACGAGTAACGCATTGTGCACCCTATGTTGCAATCATAACAATACATGTGAGAGGAGAACTACAATGTAGCGATTTGATTAAGCATTTTGATTTAACGTGCTTAATGATAATCAAATAATAAAATACTTTTCTTTTTCAGTTTCAAATCTAGCCAAACAGATTCCCACAGGCCAAAGGGGATGGAAATATCACGGAACTTTTGGATCAGTTCTCATAGTACCAACTGTCTTCTGATGAACTACCCAGTTTTGACCAGACAATAGCCTCAGAGACAATAGCAACATATATAGTTCGTTGGGAGCAATGGCAAAGATAATAGATGTACATTTTAGATGGCAAAAAACGTTATAACACTCTTTCAAAGCTTATCAAGCTATTTAAGTTCAGCCAAATATCAATTCTGACTGTGAGAGAACATTTTCAATTATAAAAAAATCTACACTGAATTCTGATCAGAACTCGACAATGATATATTGTGTGCCTTGTTATCAAGTAAATGTAATCAAACTGGCAGTTGTTTTGAATATGTGCCTAAGCCTAGGGTGTTGCTTTAAAAGCAGCAAAACAGACCACTGTTGAATACAATAAAAGTTTACTCTAGAATATTGTTTTTATTATATATTAACAAATTTGTAGAATCATGATAATGTGAAATTATGAACATTGTTCATATAAAAAAGTCCGCATCTTCGTCACGCGTTTTCACACGCTTTTTGACATGTCATGTCATGTCACGACATGGTTTCTCATTGTCAGAGGTTGGCAAGTATGATCATAAAAGACTGTCAGCATACTTGTTTTCACTCCTCCTGAAATTTGTGCAGTTTCTTTTAATTTAATATTAAGTTATTTCTTTCTTGTCATTATGGATTCATTTATATTTTTCCACTGATTTTCAGTGCAGTACTTTTTTGCTAAAATACAATTTTTCTATGAATATAAACCTATTGAAGAAATGATCAGTATTCTGATAATTGCATACTTGTTATATGCTTAGCAAATGTATGAAACAAGTGTTTAAAACTTATTTCAAACGGAATAGCACATCCTATTTTTTTCATTTACCGACCCCAGAAATTAAGATTCAAACTGAATAAACTTATCAAACTAATTCTTAAAGGTTACCATTCACCACTGCAGTTAGAACTTTGAATATTGTTTTTATTGGTATAAATATTAATTTAGTTATCAGTAAATTAAAACCATAATAAATATTATTGTTATACACATATGCACATTCACGGTTCTACAATCCGTCGATACCTATATTTTGGCATTGCACAAGGTCATGTTCATCTGAATTTTAATGACCTCTTAAGACTAAATCCATTGAATGTTGGATGTGTGCTGATTGATATTTTAGTCTTAGATACATGATTTTTTTATTAGCTGTTATTGGCTTTGAACTAGCTGTAATAAACTGTGAGTACTCTCAGATCTGTACTTAGTATCTTCTTTGTTGTAAGGGATGTATAAATTCATGCCACTTCCAGTCTGTGTTTTTGTTGGATGTTTTTCTGCTTTGTATTGATCTGATGAGTTAAGTCCTTTTCAACTGATTTTTATAGTTTTTTGTTATGTTGTGCCATTACACCACTATTCCAGGTTATGGGAGGGTTGGTGCCTTCAAACATGTTTATCCCTGCAACGTTCTTTATGTGCTTGTCCCAAGTCAGGAGCCTGTAGTTCAGTGGTTGTCCTTTGTTCATTTTTGTTTTTCTCAATTGTTTTGTTATAAATTTGGCTGTTTGTTTTCTCAATTGAATTGTTACATATTTTTCTTGTCAGGGCCATTTATGACGACTATACAGTATGGGTTTTTCTCATTGTTGAAGGCCATACGATTGCCTATATATGCTCACATCCACTTCATTTGAATTTTGGTGGATAGGTGTCTCATTGGTTATGATACCACATCTCCTTATACTTATATTTAAGATCTTTTATTAGTAAGAAAAAATATTTCTTAAATTCAATATAAGATACATTGGTCTTCCTTTGATGGTCTCTCTCTTGGTATTGCAAATGAGACCTTACAAAAGGAGAGGCCTGTGTAAATAAGTTGAATAAAACTTTAAGTAGATACAATTATATTAAAATAACAATAGCAAAGTGCTGTAAAAAAGGCAGTAACTATTGCTAAATCTAAATCATTCTTAAAATGTTGAAGAAAAAAAATTATAAAAGAAAGATTCTTAATCTAAATATTTTACATGTGTCCACAAATAATAATTTGAATTCAAAATTGACTAACCTAAGATCAAACTTGGTATGATATGGTTGAACTTCAGGACTTCTCATTTGTCGTCTTGGGCTTATATCAGGATTACCAAGGTTTCCAATTCTCCTTACTGTCTTTTCTGGGTCTAAGAATCCAGAAGCATTAACTCTTAAGTCTTCTACTTTCTCTCTATAACACAGTGTACATATATCAACCATTTAATGTTTAATATTTTAAGCCTCCTCAATCATAACTGATATACTGTGAAAGTTCTTTTATTTGTGGATTAAAATGTATGTGTTTGTGGACACATTGTTGATGATCAAATCAAATCAATGATAAATGAGGATTTTTTTTTTATGGTAAAATTTGTGCTCTGAATGACAAGAAAATTCATGGAAATTGGTGCAATGTATTCCAGGAAATAAAAGTAGTTTCACAGCATCTGATGTGTATCAGAAAATCTCTTTGGACTTAAACTGCAAGGTTCCCGCCTATTCATTAAAACTTATTACATGAAGCTAGTTAACTTGAAAGAAAGGAGTATTGTCATTTTGTTAATGTTCACCAATTTCCTCTCAGCCAATACAGACATTTCTAGTGTGCCATATTCTCTGAAAAGTCTTCTTTTATTTTTTTTGGTGGGAGGGGGGGGGGGGGGTAAATTTATATGTATATTTATATTAACAACAAGCAAAAGCAGACTGTCATACTATATCATTAATTTTCATATAATGATTTTCTAAATATTGATTCAAGAAAATTATTTTATAATGGTTATATTCTCCCACTGATAGATTATTGTTGTATTATTTAGAGAGATTGTGCTAAAAATGGCTAGTTAGAATAATAAAATTGCAGAAAAGGGCTGCAAGACTAATTTTAGATGCTGATCCACTTTCATCATCAGCACCTGTGTTTAAACAGCTTGGGTGGATGACAGTAGAGAACAGAATCTCATATCATAGATTGGTTGTGATGCAGAAATGCCTAAGAATGAAGCCCCTGTATATTTAACTGAAAAATTTAAAAAGAAATGCCAGAAAAAATAAACCAATATTGTTTGAGGAATATGTCTTGCAAAAAGTTCCAAAAGCCAAAACAGAGCAGTATAAGAAATCTTTTATATATTCAGGATCTATTTTATGGAATAACTTACCAATATCCCTGAAAAAATCAACCTCAAGTACAAGCTCATTCAAAAAAGATTTGAAAAATTACTTGTTGGAATATAAAGAAGCTGTGTAATTTTATATGCATAATAATTTTCTCACTTACTTAAACTTTAAATATTGTTAAGGTATAATATGAATGATGCCAATACTATATGAATTCATAATTTTTACCTATTTTGAAAATTGTACATTTCATAACAGTTTCTTATTTGATTTTCTTTTATGTGTGTGTTAGTTTGATTATTTTGTAAATTGTTTGTTTGTTATATTTCATTGCTTTTCATGAGGGCTTCAGGGAAGATTAGTGTTATAGCTAACCGTGTAACCCTCTTTAAATAAAGAATTATTATTATTATTATTATTAAGCAGACAATCCTATCATACTGTATCATTAATTTTACTACTTTCTAGGAACATAACTTATCTGGCTATTATTAATCTTATGTATTAATTTTTATTTAAACATCAATTTCAAAGATAAATGAGTCACATAGTAATCGTTTTAGTAGCTACATCAAAATAACAAGCAAAAGTGGTATAAATGTTAGAAGTACAGGAATTATAATAACCTTAATTCATTAGAAAACAATCATTTTATCTAAATCTATGGTAATAGTTGTTTTATAAATACAGAAAAAGTTTTAATGTCCTAATGTGAGGTAAAATAACTGTATTGACCAATAAATCTCTTGAGCAAAAGAAAACAGTGGGTTAACTTTTGTAAAGAATTATACAAAGACTACCCCAAGGGTCTGGTACTGCTTGATATTTTTTAATCTATTTTTTCACTTATTACAGATAGCTCACTTTATAATTATGGAGATGACAATATGTTATCATCCTCTGAATCTGATATAGAAATTATTGAAACTTTAGATACAAGGCTTCCAAGAGCCTTAATCACTCATCTGGTAAAAACTATGCCATTTTGATATTTATTTTTTTCCTTTATTGCAATCAGTTATATTGGCTTATTTGAAGATCTTATTTAGGGACATTTTTGTAGGTCTTGTATTGATGATCAAATTACTGTATACAGTTTATGCCAATCTATGAAAGATTTTGAGATAAGAAAAATCATTAAGTGGCAATAAATCCTATAACCAGTGTGACAAGTTCGCCATGTAGACTTACTGGTAGATCTTATTTTGCTTGTCTTTTTTTGCTTTTTAAAGTTTCTTTTCTATAGTTTTTGACAAAAATGCAAAAAATGGATAAAAACATCATTCAGGGGTAATAGCTTCAATAAGGAGTCGATTGACAATTTCTGACATGATGACTGATTTGTAGATTTTATTGTGCTGAACATTTTTGCTTTTTTACTGTTTCTCTCTATCTATTGTAATTTGTGCATAAAGTGCAAAAAAAATAATAAACAAAAAGTGTGAAATTTGCAAAGAAAATACTTTTCAGGGGTATTAACTCAGTAGTTTGTCCGATTTTCTTCAAAATTCTGCTGGAAATAGACCTTCACTTGCTGATCGTGTTAACCATGTCAGATTTGCTCAAACTAAAGAAGATTTTTCTATAAAGTTTAAGACAACAGACCGACACACAACTGAAGATGATGACAAATAAAAGCCAATCCTGAAAAATTTCAAGCTTCCTTTTATCAATCTCAAAAACAGTGTGAAGTTTTGATTGATTGTTGATTGCTTAACATCCAGTGGCAAATATTTCATGCATGTTCAGGAAGAGAACAAATTAACAATAAATACAAGAGGTAGGTACTGTAATAGAGGCCTTCTGGAATGAAGGTTAGGGAAATTTGGACTGCCCATGGAAAATGAGGGTATATTGGATAGGGACAGAAATTTTGCTTTGCAACAGGCCAACTACAGACCCCTCAAAGTGTTTTTGCAAGGGTTCTTGACATGCAGAGAGCGTGGCACTCTCTTAACACAAGGTATCAGATTTAATGTCCTCATTCTGACAGGACATGGCTGCATACTTGTACATTCCGCACAGCCAAATGGATGCTAACTTTGGTAAGGATTGTACTGATAGTCGGTAGAATATTAAAGTGACCATGTTTCTATATTACTAAAGTCCTATAACTCTTGAATGACACTAATTAGAAATCATCAAAATTGAAAGGGATCTCCTAATGTTGTGTTAAAAATCAGTTAAACCAAATTTGAGTTATCATACGAAGTGCTGACATATGGGCAGAATTGATGGACAGACGGACAGACTACAGTATACTATAATATGTCCTGTCTAAGATCTGTGTATAAAAAGCAGCCAGACAATTACATATATTGAAGCATATATAGGCAAAACCTACTACTAAATAAGGTAGACTTACAACATACTTTTCATTATGACAATTTTCAATTACCTCCCTACTGTATGGCACTTTTTTGTGGTGAAGTTAATAATAATAAAATAAAGAAAATTCAAGAGCATGCTTCAAGGTTTATATTTACGAATTCCAATCAAGTAACTTCTGCTAAAATCTGGTTAACCAAGCTTTAAAATACTGTAAATTCAGAAATGATTGCGAGGTTTTTATTAATGCAATAATGCAATAATGCAACTGGTTGAGTATCGCAATAATAAAATCTCGCATCCTGATATTTGATACATGTATCGGTTTGCAGATTTTCCTGATGTCGCAATAATTAATCTTGCATTTTTTTCCCTTCTTCAAAAATCGCAATAAATGCACGAAACAATTTCTGAATTTACAGTACGAAGATTGAAATCAATTGCAATAGAAGTAGATACAATTATAAATAATGTTCATTGTACTTACAAATTCTTGTTTCTAAAAATAATTTGTTCTTTCAGAAATGAACAATTTTGATATAACTTGGGCAAGAGCCACTACACATGGTGTATACTCAGTTTGATCTGCAGGAGTCAAACTATTAAATAAGCTGCTCAATGAACTCCATAACGAGATGTTACTGAGTCAGTACAAAAGTTTAAGTAGAATTTGGAACAGTAGCTCTTGCCAATGTGCTTCTTAAATCTTAATACATGTAATATGTAAGTCACAATAGATTGGTTTTCATTTTAAAATTCATTATACAGGTTCTTTGTATTTCTATTCTACTTACTATTACTGTTCTAATAATATCGATGCTATGCTTATATATATAGCATAATTCTATTTAAGGGAGTTCTAACTACCAACATACACTTAGATTTCTTTTAAACTAATCTATGTCTAAATTGTTGCTGTTCTATTATCATGTGCTATCTGCTTTATATGTGTCGATTGATCTCTTTATGATTTTTAATGTAATGCATTTGTCTTGTCTAAGCATTGTATATATATATAGCTGTAGGTTTGTTAAAAGCTCCACAAAGATAATGTTGTGATGTTGTATATGCCAACAACTTTCAATAAAACTTTTATGCTTTATGTTTTGTGTTTTATGCTTAATGCATTATGTTTTATGCTTAATGCCTTATGTTTATGTTTTGTTTTATGATTTTGTTGTAAAGATTTGGCTTGCAGCTTCACAGAAGAAATTTTGATATTGACTTTTCTAAATAAAGAATGGTCTCTGGTGGCCTTGTCTTTGGTTGATTTAGTATTTATCTATCTATCTATCTATCTATCTTCTGTAGATATAAGCACTTACCTCCTTTTAGCAGCCACAGCTTCTTGCATCTGTAGCTGTAATTCTTCCCTGTATTTGCTCTGTTTCCTACGCTTGGCACTATCCCTTTCATTGCCACCTACAATTCAGATAAACTTCTACAATTAAAAAGCTGAACAGTAGAACAGACATGAATGTAAGATAATATAAAGGAAAGTGTGTATGATGTGAAAAATAAACTGAGGAATTTATTCTCAATGTAAGGAAATGTCATTAACAGAGGGTCAATTTCCTGCAAAATAATGATGTTCTAATGCTATCTATGATCCTTAAAAATTATAAATATATAAAAATATACATTTTCTTCCTTCAATCATATATATTTCCTAGCTGCATTGGATTTACTTGAGAGAAGCTGTGGAAACTGTAGTGTGATATTGCCTGTGTTTGATAACTATTAATAAATTTGATTATTTTTCATAGAAATTAATCATAAATAATATCTACTGTGTATGGTATAAATATTTGTTAGTTAAATTATTACATTGATATAAAGGCTTAGTCATTAGTCCTTACACCTACAATTACATTTTATGACATTGTTTGGAAATATTCTAATGTCATACCTTTGAAGTTCAAAGTTTATTTTCTAACCATAACTAATCATTGTGCTTAGTTCAGAAAAAAACAACAAATGTGTCTGCAAACTAATCCATATTTGTCATTTTGAACTCATGGTCTTTTGGCTTCTAACATTGAAATAGACAAGGGTTTCATCATCACCAAGTTTGTTACCAAGGTTTATGAATGATGGATGCAAAACTCAAGTTCTATTATGCCTTTCTCTAATGTTATGGAAATGACTTTGACTTTTTACTTAGGTTTATGATATTGCTAGGAAAAATTCTGTGATACAAAAATAGTTAGAAAATTATTATAATGAAAACTGAATATCAAGCTTTTAGATGGTTTAAGACGTTATGTACTGTGCAGACTTTATCATTTATTGTATATCAAGTTTTGTGGTTTTCATGAGTCTGAGAAAACAAAAGATTAAAATATTCTATGAAAAATAACATCTTGAAAAGACTTAGTTTTAAAATCATTAATTAAGTACGTCACAAATTACGGTACATGTATTGTAATTTTAAAACCCATTTATTTTATTCTGGAATCAGCAATTTAAATCTAAAACTTCTACTTTTATCTAGCTCCCCAAAAAAGTATCTATGAACATAAATAAAGCCACAGTGTATGATTAAATAGATGCACCACCACGTTATCTGCAACTTTGCTTGATAGCAATTTAAAACATAGTGTTCCAACCTTCTGACAACTCGTATAGTACTTATAATCATTCTAAAGGAAACACAGCTTTGAACAGTTCAAACATTAAGGTTGGTAAGACTGGGAAATTGTCGGGATGGAATGAGATAAATTCATGCACTGTTATGATGGAAACAAACTTTAAGAAAATGGTTACTACAAAGACCAAACGAATTATTTCAAATGAATGGAAACTTAAAAGCATTAGGAAATAAAAGCTTAACACACCAAGATCATCATAAAAATGAATGAATGGTAAAATTCATGCATATTTAAACTTAAAAGATATAAATCGTTAAAAACAAAACATAATACACAAATATAAATTTTTTTTTTTGATGAAACCAATTAAATTATGAATACACATTTTTGGTGGGAAGCAAAGGAAAAATCTGTCTGAGTGTTAATTCATTTTGAAAGCCAACGAGTTCCTTACTTCATATGATATATAAGAATGTAATTTTGATAGGTAATTTCTTTTCAGGGCTTTAGTTAATCTATCATGTGACCAAAAAAGACACCCATTCACAGGTGCTCAGATATGACATCACCAAACTAAGTGACACTAACTGAATATGCAATTTCATCATTTTTATTATAGAAGCATCATTAGTTGCCAATTCCAAAATCAAGACTTTACTTGTTAATAATTCTCTAGCATTTTATTTATCTGTAAAATAGCCACTGAAGCCAGTTGACTCAATAAAACCTGAACCTTTACCCAGTTTGTGTCTATCTAAATGTAATTTATATCTTAACTTAAATATTTATGAAGTTATTTCTTATTTCTAGGGATTTTAATGAAACATGTTTTTCATTTGAATATAATTTTTTTTGAATGTGCTTGATTTTTTCTCTGGCTTGTATATATATAAATTAACTGAAAAGAAGAATTTATCCATAGCTACCTTATTCTCACATTTCTTTTCATTATAAAGTTACAAAAAGTTATAAAATTGAATAGACATGCTTATTAAGAGTTATCTCTTGTCATGCAACCAATACACCAAAAGAAAGGATTTACCTGTAGTAATGAGTACATGATGAACAATAAATTAAACAGAAATAAAATGGCACTGGTTCATGCTAGAAACCATGTGACATACATACATTTCTAGAGAAATCATGTGACAAGTCTATAAATAGTGACAACATACCTCTGTCAGTACCTGTGAAGAAAATTGTTCAAACATATATGTGTTCAGGGGTTCAAAATTAGACCACACAATGCTATTTTCATGTTCTGAACAAAAAGCAGTAGCTTTCAAACTTGTTTGTGTGAAAGAATCAATTTTGAGCCCCTAATATGATAATAAAGCTTAGTTGGATAATTATTTTTTAAGGGTACTAATTTTGTTGGATTTCGTGGTTATATGTGAACCATTAATTCAAGAGTGTTCAACTAATTTCTTACATACATGTTATAAAGGATTTTTCAAAACCACAACCTCAAGTATCCACAAAAACATATTTTCCTCAATCCACTTAAATTGGTGCCTAAAAAAAAAACTTAATCCACTCTTAATGTAAATCTGAAAGGCAGACTTCAAATAAGTGTACATCAATCCACATTTGAAAATATGAAGAAGTGGTTCAACAAGGTTATATCAGAGACATATATACACATATATGTGTATATATGTCTCTGGTTATATATAAATGAGCATGACAAATTCTACTTAAAAGATTTATCTGCCACTTTTTTGTTTAAACTATAATTTTGTTGATTAGTGTTTTTTTTTAGGCATTAAATTGGTTTGTCTGGGTGCTTTTTTTTGGTTACAAAATGCATTACTCTCTTAAGGAGAATATACCAAATGTTAATTGATACACAATATCCTTCTTATTCCATTCTACAATATCTAAGAGTGTTCGGCTATACTAGACCTTATATTAGTATCTAAGATCCTGATTTCCTTTTGGTAATCATGTTTTTTTTAATTTAAATTCAAAATAATTAATCTACTGATACTGAAAAAAGTACAATGTACTTATACAATATAGGCATGTTTCAAGTTACCATTTCTCTTAGTTCTTCTATAAAGGCTTCTCCTAGTTGCAACGACGTTTTTTTCATAAACCAAATATACTTATTTCAAAGATTCATGCCCGATTCAAATCCAAATATAACTATTTTGGATCCTATTTTGTTTTTTATAAAAAAAAACAATATTCATGTACCTAGCAGTTCAAAAAAACCTTTTTCTTGAAAGTATAGTGAAACAATGGGAACTTTGATTTTTTTTTCCAGAAACCAGAGAAAAGCAAAAAGAGACCTTTATTGTTGATCTTTTTTTCCTTTAGGGAATTTTGTATTGATAACAGATCTTTAATTAAATCGATTTGCAACATTTCAACAAACTCTCAGTGATTGAAAGTTTGACAGTGTATTTTGTTGGACTATATGTTGATCCATAGGTGTCTAGTATTTTGTTGGTTTGCTGTCTCTTTATGTATACCTCTATTCTCTATTTATTCATACCTATACATGTACTTACTTCCACCAAATCTCTCAAAAGCTTTTATTTTTTATTTTTATTTATTTATTCATTCAATAATTCGTATACTATTTATTTTTTGTGTACAGCAAAAAATGCATAAAAATACACTTGTACTAATAATGTATATAAATATTTTATTAGTAAAAAAATCACAACTGTTACTATGCAACAAACTTAACTAAAACTGACATAAACATCTCTCTATTGATGTTGTATATAAAAGTACTGTCAAAGTTAAAAACATAAATTGAATTTGAAAAGTCTATTGTGAGTATGTATTTAAATTCTGTTAGATATGAGAACACCTCTAACGCATGCAGTCTTTAAACACTATTTACCTTAAGTAAAAATTTCAATAGGAATAATAACATGAAAAGGAAGAATATGTTAGATCTTCACTCAAAAATATGATGTTATTGATGAAAAGAAACTGAGCAATCCTCATCTCTTTAGGGTGGTAAATCTATTTAAATTTTTATCATTTCTACTCTTTTAAACTTATATTCATTTGATTTAATATCTATTTATTTATTATCTATAATTATGTACACTGAATGAACATACTAATGTTATTATTTCATAAAAATCTTACTCAGCTTTAAAAAAAAAGAAAAATATGTTAACAAGCATTTAGTTATATAACTAAGCTGTATGTTCAAAACATGTTCGAAAAAAATCTAATATTTTGGCTGTTTTGTGTCAATTTATTACAATTTGATATACTTACTTGTTGATATTTATTATTTAATTATTAGCATTATTACTTAACATATAATATTTCTTTAAAATTTGATAATTTTAATCTGATTTGAACTAAAAGGAAATCAATAATAAGATTAATCCCTGGCATTGTGCCATTCTAATAAATTTCTTATCTGATCAATATATCTTTAAATATGTTTGTCTTCTTGTTTACACAAAGACTCATTGAGGTCTTATACCTTTACTTATTAAGACATTCATTCCTTTAAGCTTTATATCCAAACCTTTACAATTACAAAATGTAGAAATATCATGTAATACTGATCTTTGTTTGGACTGTGATATAATATATAGAACTTAGACCTCATGTTTTATAAAAAGTATATATAGCTTTTTATAATGCAAATGTTTCCAAAACCTTATCTAAATAATTATTTCTGTTGAAGTGATATAAAAAAAAAATCATAATCAAAACTTATATATACTAATGAACAACAAGAGTGGCAATCTGATTCCTTATCGAATAACACATAAACATTGAGAACAAACGACAAAAAGATTTTATTTCAAAACATGTGACTCCAAACAAACATAAACCTTAATATCAGAAACTTACCGACTGGCAATGTGGCATAATATGAAGTTGCCATTTCTGATGACGATGGTTCCTCCCTCGGCGGAGGACCCCTTGGTGCAGCTTGCGGTTGTTGCTGTAATTATAACAATCACTATGTCACTTGTATTACATTCATTTTTGATATTCCAAATTAATTATAGTACTCCCTAAGGTTTGGTTTCAATAATTATAATATCAGAAAACTTATTCCTCTATAACAAAAACTTAATTCTCCTTTTTTCTGTAAGAAATAAACAACAAGATATATCCAAACACACTTCTTCAAAATAATTACTAATGGAGTTCTCCTTTCAACAATTTCCTTTAAGATATGCACACCACTATGTAAGTTTCTTATAAATCAGATTTAAAGGTACACCTATATACCTTTATTTACCTATTCATATTCCTATTATGGTAACCTAGAATTATACTATAACAGTAAATATACAAATATCTGACCCTATTTGAATCAAAATTGATTCCATAAAGAAAACTTAATGAACTGTGACGATATATGATCTTTAAAAACTATGTTTCAATAACACTGCATCTCATTCAGGACTGTATATTATTTCTTATTCACTTCTTGGTTTAATTTCTAAGGCTTGAAAATATGTGTACCAAAAACGAAAGCAAAAAGTGAAAGACTGAATAACACTGAATATATTGCAGGTTTTAACACTTAAATAAGTAATTTGAATATGACGTTATGAATTGGATGTACATTTTAGTGACGTGATTACTAAGTAACAGATCTGATAAATATCGACCCATGCGTGACATATTAATTAAAAGTAATAATTTTTTGATGAGATAATGGCAGTGATTCCTCTGGAGAATGTGAATTGTTATTAATTATTTAAAGAAAATCCATAGTTCTTGCTGTTATCTCTTATATCCTATTTTGTTTACTGCTTTATACCTTAAACTACTCTCAACATGTTTAAGGCAACAACAACAACCTTACTTAATGAAAGTAACATTATCCAAAACTGTCTCTTATTCTTATTGCAATTAGATCTGAATAGTAAAACTATTGCAATAGAACATTAACTATGAAACTGGGCCTTGACAATTTTTACTTGATGGAAGAATACAGAGTGTCTGGGGTAAACCAGTAAGCTTCCAGAGTGTCTGGGGTAAACCAGTAAGCTTCTAGAGTGTCTGGGGTAAACCAGTAAGCTTCCAGAGTGTCTGGGGTAAACTAGTAAGCTTCCAGAGTGTCTGGGGTAAACCAGTAAGCTTCCAGAGTGTCTGGGGGTAAACCAGTAAGCTTCTAGAGTGTCTGGGGTAAACTAGTAAGCTTCCAGAGTGTCTGGGGTAAACTAGTAAGCTTCCAGAGTGTCTGGGGTAAACCAGTAAGCTTCCAGAGTGTCTGGGGTAAACTAGTAAGCTTCCAGAGTGTCTGGGGTAAACCAGTAAGCTTCAGTAACAAATTCCTTGACTCTAAATAAACAAGTTAGTGTGATACCTAATGATACTATAGCAATAAATATTCGGAAAACAGGAAGTTGATAAATGATGGAAATGCATCACACAATTAAGCATGCTCACATAAAGCTTGATACCAAATTTTAGGAAGCTCTGATTTCTAGTTCCTGAGAAAAATGTGACGGACATTTCATGGTTATTATATGTATTAAAGAATCTAGAAGTATTTGGTAAATAGAACGTTGATGAGTGATTAATGTCAAAATGCATCATATACAAACATAAAACTTGCTACTAAGAAAGCTCTAATTGGAAGAACCTGAGTAAAATGTCACAAAAATGTCATGGAATGGACACCTAAACCACTGTAGGAATTCCCCCTTTTACCCCTTCTGAAATAGCATGTAATAATAAATATCAAAATTCCATTGTACCAGGGTCAACATTAACAAAAAAAATAAAATAAAATGAACATGCAATAAATCATTCATGTATAGGGGTAGAGAAACTGGTGCAGTAACAATTTTTCTTTCCCACAGACCAATAAATACTGAGATGGATAAAACTCAAATGGTCATATCAACATTAATTTTATTCTGTATCTGTTAAATTATGTGTGCAAATGGTCAGGTAACTATCATTCCCATCCAAATTATGTACCTGTATCCAGCTCTGTGTCCAAATAATTGAATTCTATTTATGTCTCATTTCTTTTTTAGCTATATTTGTTTTAACAGAGTTCACTTATTCAAGGTCATATTTTTTTGTTGCCTAGGGACATGATAAGTAATGATTGGAGTGTTATTGATAAATCATTAAAAGGAGATCAAACTGATACAACAGTAGTTACAAGTAAATAAATAATTCAAAGCACACAAGAGACTATGATGGAGAAATAGTGAGATAAACAACATACATCAAGTGTGACATATACTGTGGAGTCATTATTTCAGTGGGTACCAATATGTGGATTCAGAAAAAGTTGTATTTCCAGGATTCCTGATTTTATGATTTGACAAATTCTGGATACAATCATTTAGGAAATTTGTAGTTTTTCTTCAAAACTTTAACTAGTGGTTTACCTTAATCAACAAAAGCCAAAAATTCAACATCCCCCGAAAAACAATAAATCCACAGTATATGATATTGGAAGAAATAAGGAAGGCTAAGGTGCAGACAGTATTTCATAATTCTTGGACAGGGATGTAATCCTCAAACCTGATCATAGCAAGCAACAAAAAATTATTTGCTTTTTTATTTTTTTTTTTTTTATATGGACAAATAGCTAAGAGAGGCAGATTATCTAAAATACAACAAAAACGACTACAGAATAAGCAATCAAACAAATACTTGGAAATACAAAACCAAAATGTGACCAATTCTTGTTATCATCATAATCATGATAGTGCTTTGTTTTATATGTTAGCTTTTGATTCATTGCTAAAAACAAGAATTTATTTTCATGTCATATAACATCGATATTCTTTAGATTAAAACAAACAATTTTTTAAAGGCAAAGATATGATGACCTCTATTAGAAGCTGTTTTGTTCAAACTGTTATTACTGATATTTACCAAATATCTCTTTTTCTTCATATGAAGTGTTTTATCATTCAATAAAAAAGTTGCAATATATTTCTCAGACATCAAGGAGCAGAGAAAAGACTGATTCGCTCAGATGTCAGAATTTCAAGTCTGAGTGCAGTGACCTGCTTCATGGTTTCATTAATCTTGTGAGCTTTGCATGTCAGTTTAGTAGAAACCATATTCATGTATTTCAAAATGGTTTCATCCTGAAAATGGTTGAAAGTTTGACCACTGATTGTTACACATAGTTTAAAACCAAGATAAATTGAGTAATTCACATCTTTATTAGAATTTCTCAGATTACTTTCTCACTGTTTTGAATGTCTTGCAAGGATAGAATTTCTCAGATTACTGTCTCATAGTTTTGAATGTCTTGCCAGGATAGAATTTCTCAGATTACTTTCTCATAGTTTTGAATGTCTTGCCAGGATAGAATTTCTCAGATTATTTTATCACTGTTTTGAATGTCTTACCAGGATAGAATTTCTCAGATTACTTTCTCACTGTTTTGAATGTCTTGCACAGATAGAATTTCTCAGATTACTTTCTCACTGTTTTGAATGTCTTGCCAGGATAGAATTTATCAGATTACTGTCTCTCTTGCTAGGATTGTATTTATCAGATTACTTTCTCATAGTTTTGAATGTCTTGCCAGGGTGATAATAAAAAAAAGTATGCTTTTCCTTTGGTCACATTTTAACATACTTTTAAAAAAAATACAGAAAATTGCTTTAACACATAAGAGAGAAATATGCTTCAAAATAAAAACAGATGTAAAGCAGCCAAGTAAATTTATAAACAAATCTTACCATCCACTGTGATGAATATCAAGTAAGAAAGGGAACTTGATTGTATCAGACTTAAATGAAACCTCACAGTAAATATTAACATATTCTACACTATGGTAGATTGAAAACTTTATTCAGATTTGATACCACTTTTAACAAATTCATTCATTTTATGGCAGACATTTCATTAATAGGAAAAAGCAGACTTCTGCATCTGCATAACACGTTTACAAGTAACCAGAGTCATTCAAAGTGAATATACATCTAGAGAGCTTCAAAACATTTTTACATCTAGCCAATCTTACAAATAGGAAACAAGTGTTCACACAAACTTTAATAAAGAAGAATGTGTTTCAGCCTATGCCTTATCCTTCATATCTTTCAAAAGTTCATCTTATAATTCATCCTTGATATCATAAAGTCTTCTAATACAAGCTTAAAACCATTAAAATTGATGTCTTATAATGATATATCATAACTTGTCTTGATTTTTTCTTAACCCACTGTAATTATGTAAATATATCATTACATAAATCCTGTTATTAAAGTTTTGAAGATATATGTTTACTCTAATATGTAAAATATATAAAAATTGATTTATGCAACTTCTACAAGCACTTTCAGATAACATAGAAATTACAGTAGAAACTTAGTTGGCAAAAATAGCAGATATCAGCTGACAAATTTTTCCCCTTTGACTATTTTTCAACAGCATCAGTGACTTGTACCACCCAATAAGTTGTAAAATATCTTTTGGTATTTCTTATTCAGGTAAAACACTTACTATTTCTTTGCTGTCAATGATAGAAATCTCTTATATCAGTAAATGATGTAAACAATAAATTTCTTTTGTTAGTACATGCATCAGTTTGTTCTAGATTTAATGAATTAAAAGATTATCATAATATTAGATTGAAGGTGAAGTGTGAAAGTCTTATTTTGAGATGTGTGCATCATCGTGACATTAGGCTGAAACACCACAAGGAAGAATTACCTACCGACTCCTGAGAACTCTGCACTTTATTTAACTGTTAGTGAAAATAACAAACATCAAGTATTTATCAGAGATTATTTTTGTTATACTTTCGTAATATTTGGGAATAAATAAATATTGCTAGTTTAAAGCTACTAGCAGACCCAAAGGGTCTGGTATCTAGGTTTTTAAAAAATTAACAAGTATAAGTTAATATGAAATAGGGTTTTTATTGCTTCATTATTAATCCAAAGGCAATGAGCCTATGTTAGAACTGAGCAGGTAGATTGTTTTTAATTTGCATTGTGAACTTCACATATTTAGACAATCTAGTTATTGAGTTATTTACCTTTGTCCGTAAAATGTAAGTATAACAGATGAACTCATTCACCCCATCCAACTTTCTGGAACTTGTGTATTTTGTGATAAAATAGTTTTATTGACAATTATGGTATTACAAAACCACATCATTTTGTAAATTGGATATCTGAGCATATATAATTTATAGTTACAAGATATAGACATGGATAGGACTTAAGAATGTGCACCTCACTGCACTATATTGTGTGTACTCACAAAGCACAGATAGAGAGGAGGATGAAATATAGCAAACCAGCCAGGATTTGATTGCAATGAGAGCAATATTTGCACCAAAACTCACAAAATCTTATGAAATTGCTTCTAAAACAGAAAACAAATTCTTAAGTATTTTCTGAAAATCCTAAGTGAGATTAAATTCAAGAGATTTAGTTTTCAGACTGAAAACCAGATGTGTCATTACAACAATAATATCCCTTATAAGAATGTGAAAAAAAAACATAAGAATATAAGCTGACACCAAATATCATATGTGCATCAAGAACAGATGGCACCCTGATCAATAAGAAAAAAAGTAAGCCCAACATACAAACTCTATCTCAAACTTATAATCATGCAAGAACATAAATAATAATTGTTACCATTACATAAATAAATGTATTATGCAATTAGGTTACTACTAATTATCTTAAAATATTGACTGGTCATTTTTATTGCATGCCAAAGTATGTATTGGCCCAAACATACACCTGTACCTGAACATTCAGTATTCCCTTCATTAAAGACAGCCTTCTTTCAGATAATAAATTCCAACATAAACTATTGAAATTCTTATTTATGAATCGCTAATACTTTAATTTATTATTTTTATATATACATTACACATTACCTTTATAAACAAATAACTATAACAATAATTCAAAAAATTTTAGAAAAAAAAAATACTAGTCAAGAAGAAATCTATTTATGACACTGTTAAAATTTAAGTTTTTGAATAGGTCAGCATTCTAAAATATTTATATAAATATATAGACTAGGGTAAAGATTGAAGCCTCAGCCCAAAGCAACATAACCTTACCAACCAAACTATCTATGAAAAACAGAAAAAAAACTTACCAAATCTTGGTATTCTACATCTCGTCTGACCTGATCAGAATCTAACCACTGGTCATTGTCCAAAATATTAGATCTCTGATCACGAAATCTTACTTTCCTAAAAAAAAAAATATATATATAATATTACTTTAATTCTTAGACGATTTATACTTCCCCTGACTGGTTGAAAATTCTTTTTATAATCAACATGTGGTTCCTTGATTACAGTTCTTCACTGGTCAAAATCCAAATTTGAAATCAAATTTTTTTGCTGTCCCCTGAATTTGCTATTGTGACATTACGAATAAACTGCTTCGCTGAGCGCAGCTGGATACGCCCGCAGAGGTCCAACCCTGAACAGTTGGGGCAAAAATGGACACAATATTCAAGCTTGATACATGTCTGAATTTGGATTTTAATTAAATATTTGACATATTCTAGGTTTCTGAATAAATGTAGTCAAAGAACTTGAAATTGGTTATATGAAAGATTTCTTGCTGTTGTGCAATACACTGTGATGTTGCGTAATACTTAGTAAATCTGTTGTCAGACTATAAACAAATAAAATCTTATAACTTGGAAACATAAAATCGAAAATTTATAAAAATCAAAATGAAGCTTACAAAAATAGATATAAACAGTTTACCAAAGTTTCATAAAAAATGCTAAAAGCATTTTTGAGTTATTGTCCGAAAACTGGAAAATCCCCCTTTTAGTAATGAATAAAACCCCATAAATCAGAAACATATAGTCTGAAATTTATAAAAATCAAAAGGGAGCTCATGTCGATAGAAATAAACAATTCACCAAAGTTTCTTGCAAATTGGTGAAATTGTTTTTGAGTTATTGTTTGAATACTGGAAAATCCCCCCTTTTTTAATGAATAAAACCCCAAAACTCGGAAACGGTAAATCCTAAATTTATAAAAAAGGAAAGGGAGCTCATGTCAATAGATATGAACAATTCACAAAAGTTTCATGCAATTTGGTGAAATTGTTTTCGAGTTATTGTCCGAAAACTGGAAAATCCCCCCTTTTTTAATGAATAAAACCCCAAAACTCAGAAATGGTACATCTGAAATTTATAAAAAACAAAAGGGAGCTCACGTCAATAGATATAAACAATTCACTAAAGTTTCATGCATATTGGTTAAAGCGGTTTTGAATTAATGTCCGACATGTTGACAACAGACGGACGGACAGACGGACGGACGGGACGGACGGACGGACAGACGGTCAACGGTATACCATAATACGTCCCGTAAACGGGTGTATAAAAATGGTGTCCATGACTGAAAATTGGAAAAGAAAGATACTTTACAAAAACAGATTCCACCACCCAATCTAGTGATATACAATATTTCTCCTCTCTCAAAATTTAACAATCTCAATTGGAGAAATATGGTATCACACTCCATGCAGTGGTAGAATCTATATATACATCTTAATAGTCCCCATAAGAATAAAAGCATCAGACTTTTTAATTTGTGTTTGTTTTGAAGTTTTTTATTTTTTATCTTTACAATATATATATATGCATAAACTAACAATTCTTGATCTGTGAAGTTCATTTTTGTCAATTTGATGTTTTCCCCAGAGATGAATTTAGATATGGAAGCATACAAAATTCAATTTCAAGTTCATCTTTTGAGAATTATCATCACAGAGGATCCAGTGATAGCAATTTTCCAGTTAAGTGAAAATCTGCTGTTTTATGAATACTAAATACCACAATTTCATTTTTTTCTCCTGAAAGAGGAATCCCAAATTAATTAAAGAACTTTTAGTGAGCAAGCTCACATACTCCATGTCCCCCCCCCTTTTTAATGGGGGAAAACCTTATATTTTCCTGATACATTTGTATTTATTTATATCTGCTTACTTTAAGATATGATTCTTTTTAGTAATTATTTAAGACATTAATTCTTTGTTGTAATGGTTGACTGTAACTATGACCTTGACCTTAGACCTAGCGACTTAAAAATCAATAGGGATCTTCCTCTAATTATATGTGACCATATATCCATGTAAGCTTGTAATCCCATATGAAGTATTTGATTTAGCATCAAGAAACTACTTTTTTGCACAATTTAAATTAATTTTTACTTTCTATAACCTTGACCTTGAATGTAGTGACCTCAAAAGCAGTAAGGTTCTTCTTATCATAGTTCACCATATATCCAAGTATAGTTTCAATCCCATTTGTAGTGTTTGATACAGAATTTTGAAACCCCTTTTCTGCATCAGTTTAAGTTTATCTTAAGTAACTGTGACCATGACCTTTGGGTCTTCCTTTCATTATATGTGACCATATATCCAAAGTATGGTTGCAATCAGTTATAAAACATTAATGTTAGCATCCTGAAACTAAATGAATTACAGATGGACTGACTGACGAGGGGCAGACGGGTGAAAAATAAAAGAAGAATGTGTCTGAGGACACGAATGCCTCCGCTCAAGCTTGCTTATAATATGTAAAAATACTTCTGGGACAGACGGAAGGACAGCCAGACAGACAGCCAGTCAAGGGTAACACTTAATGCCCCCTTTGTCTAGCAGCAGGGACATAAAAACTATATACCTCTGCTACATCATAGTATGGGGTAAAATTATTGATGAGTATCTAAATATTAGTGGTCTACTGCAAGTTGAAATTTCATACAAAAGGCTGTCAGAGTGACAGCAAACCGGATTTTCCTGCAGAGGTTGAACCCTGAACAGTTGAGCAAGTATGGACACAACGTTTAACCTTAAAACCGCTCTGAATTTGGATTGTGATTGAATATTTGACACAGCATAGAATTGTGACCCAAAATGAATGTGGTCAAAGAACTGAAAAATTTGAAATTGGACATTTACCTATTATGGTCCAATATCCAAAATCTAAGTACATTGTTAGAATTAGCATATCAAAGAACCCAAAGAATTCAATTTTTGATGAAATACTCATTTCTGTTCAAAGGGAAATAATTCAAATTCATATAATAACAAATAAAATGCTCCGCAGGGCGCAGCTTGATACGACCGCAGAGGTCGAACCCTGAACAGTTGGGGCAAGTATGGACACAACATTCAAGCTTGATACAGCTTTGCATTTGGATTGTGATTAATTATTTGACACAGCATAGGTTTCTGACACAGAATGAATGTGGTCTAAGAACTTAAAAATTTTAAATTGGACATTCACCTATTATGGTCCAATATCCAAAATCTAAATACATGGTTAGATTCAGCATATCAAAGAACCCCAATAATTCAATTTTTGATGAAATCAAACAAAGTTTAATTTTGGACCCTTTGGACCTCAATGTGGACCAATTTAAAAACGGGGCCCAAAATCCAAAAACTTAATACACGGTTAGATTCAGCATATTAAAGAACCCCAAGAATTCAAGAATAAAACCCCATTGAAATTTGTCAAGAAATAAGCAATTTATACGAAGTATCTTCTTTTGCACAATACTGTGCAATTAAATATTTCTTGCTATTGCGCAATACTGTACAATTGACAATTTCTTGCTATTGCGCAATATTGTGCTATTGGATATTTCTTGCTATTGCGCAATACTGTGCAATTGAAGATTTCTTGCTATTGCGCAATACTGTGCAATTGAAGATTTCTTGCTATTGTGCAATACTGTGCAATTGAAAATTTCTTGCTATTGCACAATAATTTACACATCCTGTTTGGTGTGTATCTCCTACCATATCATTATTATTTGCTTTTAAATATAAATCAGAAATAACCAACTTAAAATGGAAAATTTTAAAAGAAAAAAGAAAATGCTTCGCTGGGGCGCAGCTTGATACGACCGCAGAGGTCGAACCCTGAACAGTTGGGGCAAGTATGGACACAAAATTCAAGCTTGATACAGCTATGACTTTGGATTGTCATTAAATATTTGACACAGCATAGGTTTCTGACACAGGATGAATGTGGTGTAAGAACTGGAAAAAATTTGATTTACCTATTATGGTGGAATATCCATAAACTAAATTGTTTGTTAATTTCAATATATCAAAGAATATGTAGAATTCAATGTTTTTTGATGTTATGTAATAAAGTTGAAATTTGGACCGTTTTTGTTCAATGTGGACCAATTTGGTAACATGTATAAATAATCAAAAATCTAAATACATGGGAGCCCATTTAAATACATCATAAAGGTATTAAAATAGAAAGTGACATCATAGTCATGGCTAGAAATAAACAAAAATCCTTAATCAGCAACATTTAAAGTAATATCTAAAAATAAAATTCCTTTGTAACCATAAAAGCCCATTTAAATACATCATAAAGATATTAAAATAGAAAATGACATCATAGTCATGGCTTAACATAGCAAAAAACCCTTAATCAGCATCATTTAACAGTAATATCTAAAAACGGAAATTACATCATAAAGGTATTAAAATAGAAAATGACATCATAGTCATGGCTAAAAATAAACAAAATCCTTAATCAGCATCAGCAACATTTTATAGTAATATCTAAAAATAAAATTCCTTTGTAACCATAAAAGCCCATTTAAATACATCATAACAGATATTAAAATAGAAAATGACATCATAGTCATGGCTAAACATAGCAAAAACCTTAATCAGCATCATTTAACAGTAATATCTAAAAATAAAAATTTCTTTGCAACCATAAAAGTAAAATAGAAAATGACATCATAATCATAGCTAAAAATAAACAAAAATTTTTTTTATTGGCAAATTTTAAATGGAGTTTATTATACTAAAACAATAAATTTGCAACCATAAACATGATAAAACCCCATTTAAACACATCATAAAAGTATTAAATAATTCAACTACATCATAAGGCTATAAAAATAGAAAATGACTTCATAGTCAAGGCTAAAGGTAAACAAAAAACCTTCATCAGCAAAATTTTATATTGGCAAATTTCCAATGAAGTTTATTACACTAAAATTGTTGGCAAATTTCCAATGCATTTATTAACAATAAAGTTATTGGCAAATTTCCAATTTACATAATTTAAAAGCAGTGTAGATGAGATATTTAAATGAGTTTGAATTACCAACCTTACACTGCTTTTAAATAATGTTCTTTACTCAATTATTTGTCTATTGGAAACCCTTGTTTTTAAACCTTTTTTCCCCTTATTCCTTAAACATTAGAGCCATAACAACCACCACCACCACCCCTTTGGCCCCTTATTCATAAATGTTTGAGCAATTAACCCCAAAACTCAATTCCTACTTTCTCTTCGTGATAAAAAATAACTAACTTAAAATGTAAATTTTAAACAAAAAAAAAAGGAAAAAAAAAATTACCCCTTTTTTGACCCCACCCCCCTTATGATTCATCACCCCCACCCCCCTTTCCCCCCAAACCAAGCTCAATAACAGCCTTGCCTTTGTGGTATGGTACCTTATAATACAATTTTAGAGAGATCCATACACTTGAACACAAGTTATTGTCTAGAAACTAACAAATGCTTATTTTAAACCCCTTTTTAGGCCCCTTATTACTAAACGTTTTGGGCAATTACCACAACACTCAATTCCAGCTTTCCCTTTGTGAAATGGAACCTTGTAGTAAAATTTCAGAAAGATCCATACACTTACACACAAGTTATTGTCATGAAACTAGAAAAATGCTTGTTTTTTGCCCCCTTTTGGCCCCTTATTCCTAAAATTTTGAGGCAATTAACCCCAAAATCAATCCCAGCATTGACCCTTTGTGATATGGAATCTTGTGGTACAATGTCAAAGAGATCCATATGCTAACACACAAGTTATGTCTGGAAGTTACAAAAATGCTTATTTTCATCCCTTTTTGGCCCCTAATTCCTTAACTGTTGGTACCATAACCCCTAAAATCAATCCCCACCTTTCTATTGTGGTATTGAACCTTATGGTAAAATTTCATAGAGATCCATTCACTTAAACTAAAGTTAGAGTGCGAAAACCATTGTGTTTTCGGACGACGACGACGACGACGACGCCAACATCATACCAATATACGACCTCAAAATTTTTTTGCGGTCGTATAAAAAGGAAAAAAAGAAAAAAAAGGGAAAAAAAAAAATCCCCCCCCCCCCCCCCCCAATTTTTTGAACCTTCTTATGATTCATCACCCCCAAACTCAATCCCAGCCTTCCCTTTGTGGTATGGAACCTTGTAGTACATTTTCAGAAAGATCCATACACTTACACACAAGTTATTGTCATGAAACTAGAAAAATGCTTGTTTTTTGTCCCTTTTTTGGCCCCTAATTCCTAAAATTTTGAGGCAATTACCCCCCAAAATCAATCCCAGCATTCCTTTTGTGATATGGAACCTTGTGGTACAATGTCAGAGAGATCCATACACTAACACACAAGTTATGTCTGGAAGTTACAAAAATGCTTATTTTTGGCCCCTTTTTGGCCCCTAATTCCTTTACTGTTGGTACCATAACCCCCAAAATCAATCCCAACCTTCCTTTTGTGGTATTGAACCTTGTGGTAAAATTTCATAGAGATCCATTTACTTAAACTAAAGTTAGAGTGCGAAAACCAATGTGTCTTCGGACAACGCCGGACGACACCTGACGACGCCGACGTCATACCAATATACGACCAAAAAAATTTTTTTGCGGTCGTATAAAAAACCAGTTATGACTTCCCTAAAATTAGATATGATGAAATTAAACAAAAGTTTAATTTAGGACCCTTTGGACCTCAATGTGGTATTATCTAATTAATAATGAAAATAAATACAGGTTTAGATTCATCATTTCAAAGAACCCTATATATATTCAATTTATATTGAAAACAAACACAGTTAAATTTTGGACCAACTTGAAAACTGGGCCCAAAATCAGAAATCTAAATATATGTTTATTTATAGACAATATAAGCTTAGTTTTTTAAGGAGTTCACTTCATCAAAAAAAAATATATATATATAGCATTCAGAAAATTAGTTTTTTATAGAATAACAAACAAACCTACCACAAAATTCTTCAAGCAATTAACCAAAGAAAAGAAAAAAAAATCCAAAGTTTTATTTATCATTAATACAATGTCTTTTAAAAATCTATAAAACTTATCTGTTATTATCTTCAAAACGTCTAATAATGAACAGTAAATTTCCAACTATGTTTATACAGTCCTATATAGCTTTTAATCATCAACACTTAGGAAACAGAAAATTTTCAAATAAATATGTCACTCCAATTATAATTGTGAGATAAGGCATTAACCATATGCTTAGTAATCTGATAACTGGTGGAAATTAATATAAAGGCTTAGTGTAATCAAACTTTATATATATAATTAACAATTTCTGTTCAAAGAGAAATAACTCAATCACAAAAAGTACCACTTATGGATATTAAAAAGGGCGATAACTCAACAAGGAGAAAAGCTAAAATCGTGAAAATTGAACTTGACCTTCATTTAGTCACAGGACACAACTTATCTTACATCTTATGGACACTGTTTGGCAGCTGCCCGCCCGCCGTACATCCCCAAATCAATAACGGATTTTAACTTCGAAAATCCGGTTAAAAATGGTTAAAAAATTGATATAGAAGTTATTGCACCTGTGTCTATACTTCAATGGAAATTTGGAATTCTTAATTATACCATATAATCTTATGTAAGAAGACATTATGATAATGTACACAGCAAATTCCAATTACCATTATACGGTCTGCTGATGTAGGCAGTCCTGAGAAAATCATTACCGTATTTCCAAAACTAGCATCAGTTCTCTTAAATAAATAATTGAAAATTTTATATCATTTCAGTACAATCAGATATAACTAACCTTGTTTCATATTCTCTGTCCAAATCTTTATATCTATCATTCCCCTGAAAAAAATAAAAAGAATATTGAAATTCTCTTCAAATTTGGAAGACACAACTGTATTAGAATTTTTTTTAAATAAATTGAATTACAGAAAAAAAACATCTATACCATCTACTCTCATTCCTGCATATATACGATTTTCACATAAAAAAATATCTATATTTACTTTTAACAAACCAGTGTATCACTAGCGCCTTCAATTTTCAAGACTCTCAAGTCTGTCTGATTTTATGGACACTTTTAAATACCAGTAAATCACTGTTGTAGGCCCTCATGCCTGTATAATTTTATGTGTATTTTTGCATACCAGTGTATCAATAGCTTGTTTGATGTTGAAGACCGTAATGCCAGTATGTGCATTTTTAAATACAAGCGTATCGAAGCTCGTTCACTGTTCTAGGTCCTTTTTTCTGTATGATTTTATGTTTGTTTTTACAAACTAATGTATCAAAAGCTCCTTCACTGTTTTAGGCCCTCATACCTGTGTGATTTAAAGTGTACTTTAACAAACCATTGTATTAATAGCTCCTTTGCTATTGTAGGCCCTTATGCCTTTATTGTTTTAGGTGCATCTTTACCTACCAGCGTATCAATAGCTCCTTCGCTGTTGTAGGCCCTCATGCCTGTAGGATCATCACGTCTATACTTGGCTTTTTCTTGTCTTTTCCTGTCTAGCACATCATCATAAGATGGGGACTGCCAACCAGTTCTTGGACCCGGAGGACCATTTTCATTTGACCTCTGAAATGATATACATGTATACATATATAAACCATCTGAATTCCCTGACAATTTACAATTAAAGTTGTCTAATATCTGCTTTACCAGACTTTTTTTAAAAGTATTTTTACTTTTTTACTGATTTTTAATCTTAGTATCGATTTTAAGGTACAGTTACACAAATACAGGACACTTTCCCTTAAAATTAGTAATTATATTAATTACAGAACTTACAACTAAAGACCTTTTACATAATCATATGAATCTTTTATTCATTTGTATATATTTTCTAGTTAAAAATACAATCAGCAAAGATAAAGAAAATTCTAAGCTAAGTAACAATGAATGTTCATGTACTATACAGACATCGTTACTTGTTGTCTATAAATGTATCATTTAATATCATTGTTTTCATTCTATATATTCTATAATATATACTATTTTGCTATGTACTTTATCTAAAATGTTAGTTTTCAAACAGACTTTTAATCAGGTCAGAGAAAAAAACAGCAAAATCAGTACAATGTTGAAGGCACTATACACATACACTTTGTGAATACATTTGTGCTATTAGGCTACTGCACCTCAAACCATCAAAATAATATAGTAGTGAACAGTGGAGGTGTAATACAGTTTACTACACAATGTTTCAATAACAAAACAATAACTTTATGTCTAACTAAATCAACATATAATTTAAACAGAAATTCAAAAACTTTTGAATTATATTTTTTTTTTACCCAGATCTCTTTTTTTATTTTTGCACAACTGCCTTTACTGAGAAGTTTATTTAATCAGGAATAAATAATTGCTTCGACGGGCGCAGCTGGATACGACCGCAGAGGTCCAACCCTGAACAGTTGGGGCAAAATTGGACACAATATTTGCGCTTGATACAGGTCTGAATTTGGATTGTAATTAATTATTTGACACATAATAGGTTTCTGACACAGAATAACTGTAGTAAAGAACTTAGAATTGGTTATATGATTTGAATTTATATTCAATTTTTTGCTTTTGTGCAATACACTATGCTGTTGCGATTTGACCCCCCACCCCCCCCCCCCAACAAAAAAAAAAAATCCCCCCCCCCCCCTTATATAACTATTTGAATAATTTTCAAAATTTCTGAAATCTGAAATGAGAAAAAATTGCCCCCCCTTACAATTTCTTTTTTACCCCCCCCCCTAATTTTTTTTTTCACCCCCCCCCCCCCCCCCCCCCCTTTATCCAAAATAAAATTCTTTCCCTCAAGATATGGTCATAATCTCAAATCAAATTTCCAATGGAGTTTGCAACCATAATTACCCATTTAAATACATCATAAAAGTCTTAAAACAGAAAATGACATACATAATCATGGCTAAAATTAATATTCCTTAATCAGAAAATTAATATTCCTTAATCAGCATTTTTAAATAGTAACTTCTAAAAATAAATTGACAGCTAATCACCTCAAGACAATACAACATTTCTTTAAACATAATTTTAAAGCAGTGTAAGGGAAGTAATCCAAACATAACATTGTACTTTTTTTTAATTGTCCATTAACCAGGAAACTTTTGTTTTTCCCCCTTTTTTGCCCCTAATTCCTACACGGTTAGCCATAACCCTCCAAAGCCAATCCTTACCATCCCTTTGTGGTATGGAAACTTGTGGTATAATTTCAGAGAGATCCATACACCGTTCCACAAGTAATTGTCTGGAAACTAGAAAAATGCTAATTTGGGCCCCTTTTTGGCCCCTAATTCCTAAACTGTTAGGACTATAACCCCCAAAATCAATCCCAAACTTCCTTTTGTGGTTATAAACCTTGTGTTTAAATTTCATAGATTTCTATTTACATTTAGTAAAGTTATTGTCCGGAAACCAAATGTCTTCGGACGACGCTGTTGACGACGTGATACCAATATACGACCGTGCAAAAATTTTTGCAGTTGTATAAAAGGAATAATTCAATAAAGATCTATGCTAGGGCAGCATGAAATAACTGCAGAATGAAAAGGAAATGTTGAATAAGTGTTTTCAAAGCAAATTGCGACACACAGCATTGTGTTTGACACAGCAGAGTAAAGTCAATAATATGCTAGAAACAGTCCCTTAAATCAAAGAAATTGTGACAACAGCCAAAGTTAGATATTTCAAGAATTAAAGAAGATATCCAGTGGCACTATGACATCATGATATGAAAGAAAACACCTTTTTCCCTCCCTTTTTTCATAAACAGGTTTATTTTTCTTTTAATGCTCAGAATCACCTTAAAATTATACATGATTTTTATATGATAAAAAATGCTAGATTTTTCCCTCTTTATTGCACTTTTTTCAGAAACAGGTATATTTTGTTTTTGCTCTCATTTTACTTTGAAACTAACCCATGGAAACCAAATTTCTACAGATGATGACCATAACAACAAAATCTACTTTATATGACCAAAAATAATTGTGGCAGGATAAAAAATACTGTCTGATTCCAAAGCGAAATGGTCAAACATTTATTGAGAAAGAAATGAAACTGTTCCACAGAATCATTTGCAGTTTACCAGAATCAGTGTTTATATTGAACAGATTGAAAATATTTTATTGATATTGAATAATTACAACATCACATGCACTTTTGTGAGTTGATACATGTGTTTTCATCTACTTAGAAGATAATTTTCTTCTTCAGGTAAATTAATCAATGAGTGATGGATTTCTCTTAGAAGAAATTCAAAGGTCCCAGTGAATAAACTCCACAGAGAACAATAGCTATTGTATTTATTCAATGTGATAAAAGAACTGACAAAAGTTTAAATCGACAGGTAAACTGCAAATGATTCTGTGGAAAAGTTTCATTTCTCTTGCAATAATTAAGAACAAAGCAAAGAGTGTTTTGCTAACACATTTGAGTTAGTAAATGCTTACACAAGAGTTAGTTCAGCTAATACTTACACCTCGCCTCTTTCCATCCTTATTTTGTAGCATTTCATTATATTCTCTATTTCGCACTGCCATTTTTCTTTTCTATTTCATTATTAGAAATATTTTATTTGAATAATTTGAACTGACTCCATTTGTAATTGCAATTTATTTTCTTTTATTTAGTTAAAAAGGTATATATGTTTATATCGTATTGCCAATGCAAAAGTATCTAATACAAAACAAGATTAAAGATATATGAAATATTTGGGAAGTAAATAATTTAGCAGGAAACTAAGAAGCATTTTTTATTTAATAGTGAAAATGGAACAGGACAACTGATAATGAACAATCAAATTAAAAGGTGTGGAAATGTTAACATTTACTAGCATTGAACTTAAAAGCAGCAGTTTACTTCATCACAAACTTACAATAAATATACAATATTATTATTCAATGTTGGGAGATATTGGTATACTGTTTATGTATAACTATGTTATAGTTTATAAAATGATTTACATTTGGGGACCTGTGCAACTTTTTCATATACTACCTCCTATGACTAAAGAGAAACTTGATAATTTATACCGGTCTACATTTTGGAATCTACAGGACAAAATTTTGGTAGGACAGATATATTTTATGGGACTTATAACAAAGGAAAGGTTGCATACCTCAGCGGAATCACTGTAATGTAACCCTGGTAATGTAGCAAATATATCATCTTTCTTCCCAACATCTCTCTGAAATAACATCATCTTACTGAACAGTGATGAATAATATAATCAAATCACTTAGTTAAAAGGGGAATAACTCCAGCATAAAATATATCTCTAAAAGAAGATGTAAATGTATGATGAAAATGACAGTTTTAAGAGAATATAGACAGCAAAACAGCTAATATCTAATCTGATATAAATGTAAAATTAATCCAATCTGATAACAATGGAGTTAACATAATGTAAAAAAAATATTTATGACAAGTTGCTCTCAAAAATATTTCAAAATCAAACTTTACTTATTTCAAAAACACTTTTTCCATTGTTTTTTTTTAAAGTAGTCAAGAAAATCTCTTGTCTTCCATGTTATATTTGATAATACACAAATAAGTTCTTTGAAAGTAACAAAATCTATTTATGTAGGATTTTTTCAAGCAAAGCAAAAACAAAATAAACTGTTGTTTTTTTATTCAAGCATCAATGTATTTGCCTGTTATCTCATATTATTGGAATAACAGGAAATTAAAATGATTCATTTGAAAAAAAAAGTTTGTTTAATCAATGAGTTCAAAATTTCTGATTAGAGCTACCAACAATTCAGTAACTACTATTCATTTAAATTATCAGGTGAATCAAGAGAAAGACATAAGTGATTATATGCATAGTAAGGTAATGAAAGCATTGGCAAGGATTAAGGGTGATCGAGAGAACAGAAATATGATAATGTTGTAAGGTATCCTCGACACAACATCAACAGAGGAACAATCTAATCAAGGCTGTAGAATAAAACATTCTCATCAAGTTTGTGGTAAATAACATGCTGAGTGATTTGTACCTCGTTCGTGGCAGAGTTTACTCTTCTGTTTTGGGGTTCTGTGTCATTATAACCATGTCGCTGTAGAACACACAAATGTAACAAATCAAACAAACAAAAGCAAACAAACTTAATAAGAAGAATTCTTTATTTTTTTTATCTAGAATGGTCTATACCAAAAAATAAATAAAAAATGAAAAACAAAGATTGAATGTTTTTAAAAATCATTTCTTTCACAAAATTACTTTTTCTATGTTAAATTTTCTGCATTTCTACATTGAAAAAGAATTATAAAAATTTATTTGTATGTAACTGCTTTTTAATAAATCAACTTTATTTTACAATTAAAAGATTATCATGCTAACACCAAAGCTAGATAAGGGGTAGTTTTTTCAAGCAAAGCCAAAATACCTATTAACCTATTAAGTACTAGCTAGCACCATTCATTAGTAATATGACTATCAATGATTAGTCAAAGGAACAGGATTTTATGCCCCAAAAAAACCTTATAGACTATAACTTTTATCTAAACAATTTTTTTTTATATTTTTAAACATGAATCTGAAATAAAAATATTCTCCTTCAACACAAATATTTTGTGAAGGAGAAAAATATAACATGACAAATGAATAAATGTCCAAAAGTCCAGACTATTCCACCAAAATGTCAATCCAAGTTGGTCATCTGATGGGCACTAAGGTGTTCGGTTGTGAAACATATGATCACTTCAGTTGATTCAAAAATATCTTGGACAAGTCGAACTTTTAAATAGTAAATACAATGATAACTCAGTAGCAGCCATTCTGTCCAGAATTTTACATAACTTTTATTGGGTTGCTTTCTATTTATTGATCTTAATTGAGATTTTCCTTTCTTCATCTATTAAATAAAAATCAAGTTTCTTGTAGCAATAAATGAGAGAGGTTATATAGAAATCTTTTTTATTCACAAACTAGACAAAGAAGATCAACCCCATACTTCAATGAGCTATTATTCAATAAATGCTAAATTAAGGATTGGTATAAAAAAAAATACACCAAAGACAGGTAAAGGTAGTAAAAATACAATATAAACTAGAGGCTCTCAAGAGCCTGTGTCGCTCACCTGTATTTACTGATGCTTTGGAAATCATGTAAAATAAGGTTAAAATCATAATTAATAGTGTTAGATATTAGATATTATAATGATATCTAAGATAATAACAAAAAACTGCAAAATTTCTGTAAAATTACTAACTCAGGGGCAGCAACCCAACAACAGGTTGTCGGATTCGTCTGAAAATTTCAGGGCAGATAAATCTAAATCTGATGAACATTTTTGCCACCTGTCAGATTTGCTCTAAATGCTTTAGTTTCAGAGATATAAACCAAAACTACATTTTACCCCTATGTTCTATTTTTAACCATGTCGGCCATGATGGTTGGAAGGCGGGGTCATCAGATAAATTTTTTAAACTAGATACCCTAATAATGATTATGGCCAAGTATGGTTAAATTTGTCTCAGTAGTTTCAGAGAAGAAGATTTTTGTAAAAGATTACAAAAATTTACGAAAAATTGTTAAAAATTGACTATAAAGGGCAATAACTCCTAAAGGGGTCAACTGACAATTTTGGTCATGACGACTTATTTGTAGATCTTACTTTGCTGAACATTATTGCTGTTTACAGTTTATCTCTATCTATAATAATATTCAAGATATAAATAACCAATAAAATTAGTGCAGCTTGATACGACCGCAGAGGTAGAACCCTGAACAATTGGGGCAAGTATGGACACAAAATTCAAGCTTGATACAGCACTGAATTTGGATTGTGATTAAATATTTGACACAGCATAGGTTTCTGACACAGAATGAATGTGGTCTAAGAACCTTAAAAAATTTTAATTTACCTATTCAAACCATATCATTATTATTTGCTTTTATATATAAATCAGAAATACCGTTAAAAGGCTTGTATAGTCTATAGTTTTAATGCATTGCTCAAAGTAAACTGGTATCTGCTTGATTGAAACGGTACATAAAAAGTAAAAAAGACAACCGTGAAGTGTTCTAGAATCATTTACAAGCAGTTTCAGCTTCTGTTTGATGATGGAAAACAGGTTTTTTTTTGGCCCCTTATTCCTAAACATTTTGGACAATTACCCCCAAACTCAATTCCAGCTTTCCCTTTGTGATATGGAACCTTGTAGTACAATTTCAGAAAGATCCATACACTTACACACAAGTTATTGTCATGAAACTAGAAAAATGCTTGTTTTTTGCCCCTTTTTATGCCCCTAATTCCTAAAATTTTGAAGCAATTACCCCCAAAATCATTCCCAGCATTCCCTTTGTGATATGGAACCTTGTGGTACAATGTCAGAGAGATCCATACACTAACACACAAGTTATTGTCTGGAAGTTACAAAAATGCTTATTTTTGGCCCCTAATTCCTTAACTGTTGGTACCATAACCCCCAAAATCAATCCCAACCTTCCTTTTGTGGTATTGAACCTTATGGTAAAATTTCATAGAGATCCATTCACTTAAACTAAAGTTAGAGTGCGAAAACCAATGTGTCTTCGGACGACGACGACAACGACGCCAACGTCATACCAATATACGACCGCAAAATTTTGCGGTCGTATAAAAACTGCAAAATTTCCTTAAAATTTCCAATTCAGGGGCAGCAACCCAACAATGGGTTGTCAGATTTGTCTGAAAATTTCAGGGCAGATAGATCTTGACCTGATAATCAGTTTAACCCTATGTCAGATTTACTCTAAATGCTTTGGTTTCAGAGATATAAGCCAAAATCTACATTTTACCCCTATGTTCTATCTTTAGAATTTTTTCGACGACGAGGGACAACAGACGCCAAGTGATAAAAATTAGTTGTCATATGATCTCTGGAAGTCATCTTTCATGAAAATCTCTATAATAACAACAATTAAAAGGTAAATAATCAGACATTAGCTTTTTTTTTTTTAAATTGTAATTATGTATCCACCTCTTAATATGAAACTTTTAGATGTAATTTTTAAGCACAAAGTTTCTATTTCATCTGGTGAATTTTCTTATTTCTAAAGAAAGAAATAACTAACATACAAATACATTAAGTACAAGTTTGTAACTTTTTTTTATCAAATATATATTTTCTATTTACTTTCACATAGTGCATAATATTGTTCACTTTTCATAAAAAAAAAAATACATAACATTTTCAACAGGACACACAGATGAATGCAATTCAGTTTAAAAAAAACACCTTTAAGCAACAAAATTTTAGTTAACAAACATCTGACGTTGAAAATCAAAAAGGGTCACCATCCCTCTAAAACTCATTTTCCACAGTTTGTCTCTTAAACTCTTGCCTTGATGATCAATAAGGGTTATCAATTATGTGTAAGGATAGTCTGTACAGTTTGATTAATACTGACCAAGCTGTTTACACTGTATCATGTTGACAATAATTTGACCTAGACCTTTAACTTTAGGCTGTCACATTGAACTTCAACAGAGGTCATAGTTCCCACCTCCTTGAACTTTATATCAGATTTACTTACTGGATTTCTTGCTGAGGTAGGAAGAGGTGGTCTACCCTCTGTCTGTCGACCACGACCTCTACCCCCTTTCTGTCGTAAAAATTCATTATATTCATCATTGCGTAGTTGCTTTTTGCGTTGCTGAAACAATTACCATGCTGCATTAGTAAACTTTTACTAAGATATGCATTATACATACAAAAGTTCATTATACCAAATACTTCATGCATACATTCATACAAAATCAGTTATTCACTTCATGTCTGTTGTCAATCTTCCAGTGAAAAGAAACATTAAGTAATGGTAACATTAGTGTGACATTAAGTTCTTTATTAACTCCCCTTGAATTTTCCATAAAGTGACACTAATATTACCAATGAAGATTTCTATCAACCAGAAAAAATTGACATTCATGAATAAAAGTACTTCAAAGAAATCTAAGCCTGGGTCCAGCATGGTTATTCTGATTGGATTTAAAATCTGCTGGGTAATGTAGCCCATGTAACATGCCTAATATCAGACCAGTAACCATCATGCAACTTACAGAATATGGTTTGATATCAATAAATTGTTTACTCTCATACCAATAACGTGACCAGCTATGGACAGGATAATTCAGATTCTGGATAAATATACATAAATCATTAACTTTTACTGTCAACAAAGTTTGGAAAATATACTGTAAATTCAGAAATTATAACGATGTTTTCATTATTGCGAAAAATGCGACAGGGTTACAATCGCAATAATTTAAACTCGTATTTTGAAATTTTTTATATGAATTTACAGGATTTTTCTAAATATCGCAAAAATTAAAATCACATTTTAGTCTAAAACGACAAAAATCGCAATAAAAAATGCAAGATATAATTTCTGAATTTACAGTACTCAAGGATGCAGTTCACAAAGGACTCTTTTTTGTTCCAACAAATTGAGGTATCACAAAATAAGCTGATATCAACATACAGATAATTAATAAGTTTGGGCAAAGTCTAAACTGGTTAAATTTTATGAATAATTGCTTAAATTCAATGGCTAAAAGACAGCCTACATGTACATTTAATTTTTCTACAAAATATGAAATTATCACCTTTCTGATTGGGAAATATTGGGCACATGGAAGTGCCACAAAATTATTTATTTGACAGTTGTGGAATGTACCGACAAACATAATAATAAATTGTTTAGATAGTACTTGCATGTGCATGTCAACTTGACACACAGACTTACACAGACATGGACAGGTTCAGATGCACTGATACAAGGTAACATAGCAATCATCGTGGATGGCCAGACCCTAATACATGTAATATCATTATGATTGAAATTTAAAGAATAGGTTTTTCAGGAACTATGATTTGAATTAAATAATTGAACACTATATGATAAATATACATTTATACCTATGTATTTTTTTTTCATTTTTAAGCTTGACATCTGGAAAGATGAATGTTACATGTATCATTCGTTATGTTCAGATGACTTTAAAAATGTTCTAGTTTAATACAAAGTTTAATAAAAAGTATGGTTAAATTTGTCTCAGTAGTTTCAGAGAAGAAGATTTTTGTAAAAGATTACAAAAATTTACGAAAAATTGTTAAAAATTGACTATAAAGGGCAATAACTCCTAAAGGGGTCAACTGACAATTTTGGTCATGACGACTTATTTGTAGATCTTACTTTGCTGAACATTATTGCTGTTTACAGTTTATCTCTATCTATAATAATATTCAAGATATAAATAACCAATAAAATGGGCGCAGCTTGATACGACCGCAGAGGTCGAACCCTGAACAGTTGGGGCAAGTATGGACACAACATTCAAGCTTGATACATCTTTGCATTTGGATTGTGATTAAATATTTGACACAGCATAGGTTTCTGACTCAGAATGAATGTGGTCTAAGAACTTAAAAATTTTAAATTGGACATTCACCTATAATGGTCCAATATCCAAAATGTAAATACATGGTTAGATTCCGCATATCAAAGAACCCCAAGAATTCAATTTTTGATGAAATCAAACAAAGTTTAATTTTGGACCCTTTTGACCTCAATGTGGACAAAGTTGATAACGGGGCCCAAAAATCAAAAATCAAAATACATGGTAAGATTCAGCATATCAAAGAACCCCATATATTCAATTTTTGTTAAAATCAAACTAAGTTTAATTTTGGACCCTTTGGACCTTAATGTAGACCAATTTGAAAACTGGACCCAAAATTAAGAATCCAAATACACGGTTAGATTCGGCATATCAAAGAACCCCAATAATTCATTTTTCGATGAAATCAAACAAAGTTTAATTTTGGACCCTTTGGACCTCAATGTGGACCAATTTAAAAACGGGACCCAAAATCCAAAAACTAAATACATGGTTAGATTCAGCATATTAAAGAACCCCAAGAATTCAAGAATAAAACCCCATTGAAATTGGTCAAGAAATAAGCAATTTATACGAAGTATCTTCTTTTGCACAATACTGTGCAATTAAATATTTCTTGCTATTGCGCAATACTGTACAATTGACAATTTCTTGCTATTGCGCAATATTGTGCTATTGGATATTTATTGCTATTGCGCAATACTGTGCAATTGAAGATTTCTTGCTATTGCGCAATACTGTGCAATTAAAGATTTCTTGCTATTGTGCAATACTGTGCAATTGAAAATTTCTTGCTATTGCACAATACTTATTATATATAATAATTTACACATCCTGTTTGGTGTGTATCTCCTACCATATCATTATTATTTGCTTTTAAGTATAAATCAGAAATAACCAACTAAAAATTGAAAATTTTAAAAGAAAAAAAAAAGGAAAAAAAAAAAAAATCCCCCCCCAAAATTTTTTGAACCCCCTTATGATTCATCACCCCCAAAATCAATCCAAGCCTTCCCTTTGTGGTATGGTACCTTGCAGTACAATTTCAGAGAGATCCATACACTTGAACACAAGTTATTGCCTGGAAACTAGAAAAATGCTTATTTTTGGCCCCTTTTTGGCCCCAAATTCCTAAACGTTTAGGGCAATTACCCCCAAACTCAAACCCAGCTTTCCCTTTGTGATATGGAACCTTGTAGTACAATTTCATAAAGATCCATACACTTACACACAAGTTATTGTCCTGAAACTAGAAAAATGCTTGTTTTTTGCCCCTTTTTTGCCCCAAATTCCTAAAATATTGAGGCAAATACCCCCATCATCAATCCCAGCCTTCCCTTTATGGTATGGTACCTTGCAGTACAATTTCAGAGAGATCCATACACTTGAACACAAGTTATTGTCTGGAAACTAGAAAAATGCTTATTTTTGGCCCCTTTTTGGCCCCCAATTCCTAAACGTTTTGGCAATTACCCCCAAACTCAATTCCAGCTTTCCCTTTGTGATATGGAACCTTGTAGTACAATTTCAGAAAGATCCATACACTTACACATAAGTTATTGTCATGAAACTAGAAAAATGCTTGTTTTTTGCCCCTTTTTTGGCCCCTAATTCCTAAAATTTTGAGGCAATTACCCCCAAAATCAATCCCAGCATTCCTTTTGTGATATGGAACCTTGTGGTACAATGTCAGAGAGATCCATACACTAACACACAAGTTATGTCTGGAAGTTACAATAAAATGCTCCGCAGGGCGCAGCTTGATACGACCGCAGAGGTCGAACCCTGAACAGTTGGGGCAAGTATGGACACAACATTCAAGCTTGATACAGCTCTGAATTTGGATTGTGATTAAATATTTGACACAGCATAGGTTTCTGACACAGAATGAATGTGGTCTAAGAACTTAAAAATTTTAAATTAGACATTCACCTATTATGGTCCAATATCCAAAATCTAAATACATGGTTAGATTCAGCATATCAAAGAACCCCAAGAATTCAATTTTTGATGAAATCAAACAAAGTTTAATTTTGGACCCTTTTGACCTCAATGTGGACAAAGTTGATAACTGGGCCCAAAAATCAAAAATCTAAATACATGGTTAAATTCAGCATATCAAAGAACCCCATATATTCAATTTTTGTTGAAATCAAACAAAGTTTAATTTTGGACCCCGATTTGGACCAACTTGAAAACTGGGCCCATAATCAAAAATCTAAATACATGTTTAGATTCAGCATATCAAAGAACCCTCAAAATTCAATTTTTGTTAAAATCAAACTAAGTTTAATTTTGGACCCTTTGGACCTTAATGTAGACCAATTTGAAAACTGGACCCAAAATTAAGAATCCAAATACACGGTTAGATTCGGCATATCAAAGAACCCCAATAATTCAATTTTTGATGAAATCAAACAAAGTTAAATTTTGGACCCTTTGGACCTCAATGTGGACCAATTTAAAAAGTGGCCCAAAATCCAAAAACTTAATACATGGTTAGATTCAGCTTATTAAAGAACCCCAAGAATTCAAGAATAAAACCCCACTGAAATTGATCAAGAAATAAGCAATTTATACGAAGTATCTTCTTTTGCACAATACTGTGCAATTGAATATTTCTTGCTATTGCACAATACTGTACAATTGACAATTTCTTGCTATTGCGCAATATTGTGCTATTGAATTTTTCTTGCTATTGCGCAATACAGTGCAATTGAAGATTTCTTGCTATTGCGCAATACTGTGCAATTGAAAATTTCTTGCTATTGTGCAATACTGTGCAATTGAAAATTTCTTGCTATTGCACAATACTTATTATATAATAATTTACACATCCTGTTTGGTGTGTATCTCCTACCATATCATTATTATTTGCTTTTAAATATTAATCAGAAATAACCAACTTAAAATGGAAAATTTTAAAAGAAAAAAAAGGAAAAAAAGAAAAAAAAAGTTAAAAAAAATCCCCCCCCCCCAAATTTTTTGAACCCCCTTATGATTCATCACCCCCAAACTCAATCCCAGCCTTCCATATGTGGTATGGTACCTTGCTGTACAATTTCAGAGAGATCCATACACTTGAACACAAATTATTGTCTGGAAACTAGAAAAATGCTTATTTTTGGCCCCTTTTTCCTAAACGTTTCGGGCAATTAACCCCAAACTCAATTCCAGCTTTCCCTTTGTGATATGGAACCTTGTAGTACAATTTCAGAAATATCCAAACACTTACACACAAGTTATTGTCATGAAACTAGAAAAATGCTTGTTTTTTGCCCCTTTTTTGGCCCCTAATTCCTAAAATTTTGAGGCAATTACCCCCAAAATCAATTACAGCCTTTCCTTTGTGATATGGAACCTTGTGGTACAATGTCAGAGAGATCCATACACTTACACACAAGTTATTGTCTGGAAGTTACAAAAATGCTTATTTTTGGCCCCTTTTTGGCCCCTAATTCCTTAACTGTTGGTACCATAACCCCCAAAATCAATCCCTCCCTTCCTTTCGTAGTATTGAACCTTATGGTAAAATTTCATGGAGATCCATTCACTTAAACTAAAGTTAGAGTGCGAAAACCAATGTGTCTTCGGACGACGCCGGACAACGCCAGACGACGACGACGACAACGACAACGACGACGCCAACGTCATACCAATATACGACCATAAATTTTTTAATTTTTGCGGTCGTATAAAAATGCTTATTTTTGGCCCCTTTTTGGCCCCTAATTCCTTTACTGTTGGTACCATAACCCCCAAAATCAATCCCAACCTTCCTTTTGTGGAATTGAACCTTGTGGTAAAATTTCATAGTGATCCATTCACTTAAACTAAAGTTAGAGTGCGAAAACTAATGTGTCTTCGGACGTCGCTGGACGACGACGACGACGACGCCAACGTCAACGTCATACCAATATACGACCACAAAATTTTTTTTGCGGTCGTATAAAAAATCAATAGAGATCACAAATGTGTGTACCTTTTGCCTTAAATCAATTTTTTTTTTTACGACAGTAACCTAATACAATATATTAGCCTTACTTCTGCTGAATCTCTTGGATTCAATCCTTTCAAGGAAGCACCTGGGGCCTCATCCGTAGAAGGTCTTTGACGGGGTTCTGGCTGTTGACGAGCTTCTGGCTGATAAGCCTGAAAATAAGGATTACCTATTAATTACTTTTTTAAGTTATTCACACCAATAACATAGTTACATTCTAAACATACTTGGTGGAAAAGTGGGGATAAATGGTAAGAATATATGTCCATACCCTTTCCTGCTCACACTATCACATTTCAACGTGAAACACAAAAGATGGGTCAAAACCCTAATTTGTCATATACATTTTTAAAATTATTTAGCTATTCATGGCTAAATACCCTCAACCAAAGCTAATATGGGACAGACTAGATGTGATAGATAAAATACAGATACATTCCTTTTATCGCTATTTTACGAATTTTTCCTTTGATCTTGCTGACTGATAATTTCCGTTCTCAGCGGAGTCGAGTGATATGAAAACGGAGTAGAGTGACATGAAAATTATCGCTAGAAACTAAGGGAACACGTGCCGTTGTCAAGGAAATTAACAACGTCTTCATAGGTATAATAGCGATAAACAGATTATCATTGGTCATCTCAACTCGATTGCTTTTCTCACTTTCGCCTTACCACCTCAAGCGAGAAAATCAATCTCGTTGAGATCACCAACGATAATCTAATTATTAAAGGCAGGGCATTAAAATATCATGAAATAATAAATTTAAAAAGGAAATAAACTATTATTGCTATCCTTCATCCTGACATTTGATTTTTTTTAACAATAAACTAAAGAGTTATCATTTTACAACAAGATTAAGCCACTCCTTAGCAGTGTTCCAGCTAGGATTTCAAAAGGGCAGGGTGCCAATTCTGAAAAAAGGCATTTAATGTGTGATATGATAATATGAAAAGGGCATATTTTAATAAAGATATTAATCAAACATTGTCTTTATTCATTAAATCACTGGTTATATATATACAAGTACAACATGAATACAAATTATAAATGTACATTACTGAATGATTAGCCCAGATAAAACTCTATCTTTCTACTTTTTATGCTGAAAAACTTGTCAGGCACCTTGTCACACAAGTTTTCAAAGCATTGCTTGTCACAGTTTAGCTTTATATGCAGTATGTTTTGCAAGGTGTTCTGCTTCATTCTGCTTCTATGGTCACACTTACAATTTTTACCTGGGAAAAGACCCTTTCTACCTCTGCTGTGCTTAATGGCAATACAGCAGCTGTAAATGCACAATGTTAGGATATAGTGTAGTTAAACCTAATTTATCATTTAATAGGAATTTCAGGCAAGCCATGATTGTTCTATCTTGACTGCATTTGTCTCCTATAAGTTCACAAACTCATAATGTTATATAGATTTTTATTTAATGAGTTCAAATCATCGTTAATTAATGTCATTGTGTACTGATCAACTGTTAACGACAGGTAAACATATTTTTATTATTTATATTTATATTACGATGGGCGCGCAGTGTTGACAAGGAAGTTTAAATTCGTAATGGCGGATCATAACAAAACAAAAAAATAAATACAATCGATCTTCAAAAAGGCAGGGCGCCATGAAAAAGGCAAAGGGTGCCCTGGAAACTGTAATAAACTGCTTCGCTGAGCGCAGCTAGATACGCCCGCAGAGGTCCAACCCTGAACAGTTGGGACAAAAATGGACACAATATTCAAGCTTGATTCAGGTCTGAATTTGGATTGTAATTAAATATTTGACATATTATCGGTTTCTGAATAAATGTATTCAAAGAACTTGAAATTGGTTATATGAATTGAATTTATGTTCAATTAAAGATTTCTTGCTGTTGTGCAATACTTAGTAAATCTGTTGTCAGGCTATAAACAAATAAAGTTCAATTAATTCTCAATGTCATATTAGAAATTTATGAAAATAAAAAGGGAGCTTACATCAATAGATATAAACAATTCACCAAAGTTTCATGAGAATTGGTGACAGCATTTTTTGAGTTATTGTCCGAAAACTGGAAAATCACCCCTTTTTTTATGAATAAAACCCCATAACTCAGAAATGTAAAATGTAAAATTTATAAAACTCTAAAGGGAGCTTACATCAATACATACAAACAATTCACCAAAGTTTCATGAGAATTGGTGACAGCATTTTTGAGTTATTGTCCGAAAACTGGAAAATCACCCCTTTTTTAATGAATAAAACCCCATAACTCAGAAATGTAAAATGTAAAATTTATAAAACACTAAAGGGAGCTTACATCAATACATACAAACAATTCACCAAAGTTTCATAAGAATTACTGAAAGCATTTTTGAGTTTTTGTCCGAAAACTGAAAAATCCCCCCCTTTTTTATGAATAAAACCCTGTAACTCGGAAACATAAAATCTAAAATTTATAAAAATCAAAAGGGAGCTCATGTCAATAGATATTAAAAATTCACCACAATTTTTTGCAAGTTGGTGAAAGCATTCTTGACTTATTGTCTGAAAACTGGAAAAATCCCCCTTTTTTTAATGAATAAAACCCAATAACTCGGAAACGTAAAATCTAAATTTTATAAAAAACGAAAGGGAGCTTACGTCAATAGATATAAACAATTCACCAAAGTTTTATGCAAATTGGTTAAAGCATTTTTGAGTTAATGTCCGACATGTTGACGATGGACAGACGGACAGAGGTATACCATAATACGTCCCGTAAACGGGCGTATAAAAAGGGCACAGGGCGCCACTCTAAAAAGGGCGGGTGCTGCACCCTCTGAAAACGGCCTAGCTGGAAGACTGCTTAGCTTATTTTTAAACTGTTTTATTTTGATAGTTGTACATATTAATTTTAAGTTATCAGTCAAAATATGACATAATCAGTAGTTTTTAAGCATAAAGTAGCTGGTAAGGGTATAAGATTTAATAATCAAAATATCACTATGTAAATGTGTTTCATGTCAAATGACATTTAACTATTCAGAATTATTCAGAATTTTTTGTTTTTTTTATTTAAATAAAAATTCTATATAAAACAAGAATATATGCCCTGCTCACACTATCACTATCAGTGAATATGGGTCAGCACCCTAATTTAGCATATATTTTTAAAAGTTTATACCATAATGAACATTTGTAGTAAGTTTCAATATGATGTAACCCTAAATTCATCTATAATAATTCCTTAAATATAGCCTCTTTAACCATATGAACAATCAAAGATTAAGGTTGTTTTAAACTTATTACAATCCATATATCTTCTCAAATCACATTGTTGCTGTCTCAAAACAGTTAAATCTATGTTGTAGCAAGGGAACTTTTTCAAAAATTTCTTATGAACCTCCATGATTAAATCTAAAAGAAAGGAATACAATTATTTCATATTCATAATTACCTCCCTTGGTTCACTTCTTCTTCCTCTACCGCGTTGGTCACCCTGAAATGCAATGATAATGTATAAATAATATGCTACAAAGTCCACTGTCTCTCCTATCTCCATTTCTGTGCCAATTTTCTGATTTTTCTAAGGGTGTAAGCCGTGGCAGATGGCGGTTGGTGTAATGAACCATATTTTTTTATATAAAGGTATTTTATAACCAAAGAGTTTTTCAGAATTTTCAGAATTTTTTGTAGAATTTTGTTGTCCTTTTTCTAATTTTAGAACCGTAATTGCGACAGTTTAGGTTATCTATCATAATTCTAAAGGGGCATCATTAAAGGATCATTTACCAAAAGGTTTTTATTTTCAGGATTTAAAACATGTTTTTAATGATATTCCCCTAAGTGCTATTTTAAGGTACAGTGGCTATTGTTTTTTGAGCAGTTGGAATTTTCAAAACTAGACATCCTTTAGATGATTTTTTCCAATTTAAATATCAATTCATCCAGCTTAGGTTTCAGACTTTTTTTTCAATTTTATCCAAGACCTTGGAAGCCAATTGAGCTAAAATTATTAAATCTAGTATTGCTATATCAACTCTAAAATGCAACAAAAATGTTTGATCTACAACATGCAATATACAAGCATCAAAACCAGTAGATAATACTAATTGTTAGCAATCATATATAGCAAAATCAACTTTGAAAATGTAACAACCACATACTAACTTAAAATACACATCATAACAATATGAAGTGAAAAAAATATGGAAAAAGAATGTCAAATCTTTATATTTAGACTTTCTAATAAATTAATTTGCATTTTATAAAAACAATACACAACCTATGGATCGACTGCAGCAATGAAATTTATATATAATTAATAAATAGTATATACAATATGTAAATAAAATATCTCACAATTAACAAGAACCTTGTGACATGTTGAAAAAATTTGATAAAGTTTAATCCTACATGTACATGGTAAGAGGATAGGACAGCAAAGTATCACTACACAGGATGGGACTGCAAAGTACCACTAAACAACACTGTTACCTCAGTTCTGGCCTCTACATCAGAATGAACTCCCTTTATCAATCCAACTAATGCTTCATTATGCTGAAATGTTAACATTCCAACACAATAATTTAAAATAAACTTCAGCCTAAAAACCACCTTTCTTAAACAACAAAGAGCTATGCCTGACACAGCATAATACAACAGGTCTCTTATTGTAACAGCTTTTATCAAACACCCAGAAAGGCCCCTTTTTCTGCATTGGTACATGCCTGATTACACATAATTATAACAAACATTTTGTAACAATTATATGACTGGGTTCAAATATTAAATACTTTCTTTTTTCCAATCCTTATCTGTACCATACAATAAAATATTGATCTACACTAAATATCAAAGAAAACTACCAAAGAAAATTAGAAAGATGCCTTTTGTTTACAGATTTCAATTTAGACAGACCTGTACCAATTTATGAAAATTAGATGGGAAATGTGTCCATGGGAAACAGATGATGCCCCTGCTTGCATATAACATTATAAAGGGATATGACTCAAGAACGGTAAAAGTAACGCTAACCAAATTCTTACTTGATCTGAGTTTTATGGTAATAAGCATTGTGTATAAGTTTCATAACATTTATTTGAGGCAAACTTAAGTTAGAGAACAGAATTGAAAAATTCAGCAATTTTTGCTTTTGTAAAGTGGCATAACTAGTGAAAAAGTGAAAGTGACTCCACCCAAATATAAACTTGATCTGTGTTTTGTGGTAATCAGCATGGTTTATAAGTTTCATAACATTTGGTTGAAGCAAACTTAAGTTCGAGAACGGAAACAAAAATTTCAGCAATTTTTCCTTTTGAAAAGGGGCATAACTCCAGAACGGTAAAAGTGACGCCGACGAAATTCAAACTTGATCTGTGTTTTGTGGTTATCAGCATTATGTATAATATTCATAACATTTGTTTGAGGCAAGCTTAAGTTAGAGAACGGAAACAAAAAATTTAGCAATTTTTCCATTTGTAAATGGGCATAACTCTAGAAAAGTGAAAGTGACGCTACCCAAATTTAAACTTGATCTGTGTTTTGTGGTAATCAGCATGGTTTATAAGATCCATAAAATTTGGTTGAGGCAAACTTAAGTTAGAGAACGGAAACGAAAATTTCAGCAATTTTTCCTTTTGAAAAGGGGCATAACTCCAGAACAGTAAAAGTGATGCCGACAAAATTCAAACTTGATCTGTGTTTTGTGGTAATCAGCATTGTGTATAAGATTCATAACATTTGTTTGAGGCAAGCTTAAGTTAGAGAACGGAAACAAAAAAAATAGCAATTTTTCCATTTGTAAAAGGGGTATAACTCTAGAAAAGTGAAAGTGACTCTACCCAAATTTAAACTTGATCTGTGTTTTGTGGTGATAAGCATTGTTTATAAGTTTCATAACATTTGGTTAAGGAAAACTTAAGTTAGAGAACGGAAACGAAAATTTCAACAATTTTTCCATTTGAAAAGGGGCCTAAGCCGCCTAACTCTAGAACGGTAAAAGCGACGACACCAAAATTCAAACTTGATATGTGTTTTGTGCTAATAAGCATTGTGTATAAGTTTCCTATCATTTGGTTGAGGCAAACTTAAGTTTGAGAACAGAAACCAATATAGGGTCGTACGGGCTGACGTATGTACAGATGGACAAAGGTAAAACTTAAAGCCCCCTCAGCTATGACGGGGGCATAAAAATATTTGCAGTATAGTGCAAAGATCACCACTCTGATCATGGTGATTAATAATTTTTTACTTATTTGTTACTTTTTTCATTTATCAGGCAGTTTAAACCAGGAAATGGTTGGGTATTATGAAGGGAGTCATTATTCAGGCTGTGCAAAATTTCACTCATTTTGAATAAGCCATTTCTTGCAATACCTCAAAATGAACTTCATCGGCCATCATTGTATGGTATGTATTTGCTACCTCATAAAAACTTTCTGCTTGCTGAAAAGTCATTGATAAAAATATAGGGTCAGTTCAAAGATCAAATTCCTCTTAAGTTATAAGTTTTTTGAAATCTATATTATTCTTTACTCAACAGTTTAAAAATGTAGAATAATAGTAAGAGTAGGCTTGTTATTAAGTTTAAATAGATATCATGCAATAATAGCCTTAAGAGTATAGTCTCTTCATTAAGGAAAAAGGGTTAAGAATATCTACTAAACAATATATTTCAGGGACAGCAGGAAAAAACATTTCACTCTGTAAATAAAAGCAAACAGACAGGTCATACCTCATTTATCAATCTGTTGTACTCCTCCTTTCTCTCTTCATTTAATTTGTCCCTCTGTCTATCATGAGCACCAAGTTTATTAAACATACCCCCTGGAGTCGGGGGTTTTGGTGGTAACTGTTCTCTGTGAGTTTCCCTTTCTTTTTCCTGTCGCTGTAATATCACAAAACATTTTACATCAAAAGAGTTTATTAATAATCAAAATGGGTTCGCATCACTAAATAACCAAAGACCATATTAATAAAGAAAAACTTATTACCAATAAATGTTAAATGTTAAAACATATTCAAAGGCAGCTGGAAGTAATTTAAAATGAAGATAAAACATCAGAATAATTGTAAAACCAATTGTATTTAAAAAGAATAGGTATATTTGAATCATTTACCTACTGTTAGGTAATCATGATATATCCTGTAATAACAAATTACTACAATACTTCATCATACAGTAACATTAAAGAATAAACATAATTTTATTTATAATTGAATAACATTTTGAACTTGAAATGGAACAATGATGACATTTGTTAATAAGTAGAAACTTTATTACAGAAGTTCATATTAAATGAATATAATGTAGGGTAGTAAAATCTGTAAGAAATGATACACAATAATTCTTCTATCCTGCAATTAATAATTAGTGCGAGATATAAACTTCTAACACAATGGTGAATTTCAAACTATAAATGGTGAATTTAAATATCAATAAGTTACACTTAAAAATATTTGCCATAGCCAAATTGACACTTAAGAGTTTAGGTTGCAGCTAGTATGTATAATCCTTTGCATTTTCCTGAAAATTAACTTAAAAATAAAAGTAATCATTCTGAGAGTAATGCTAAGATACATATCATATACTATCTACAGCAATATTTAAAGGTGCTCATTCATTATATATATTGAAGTTAAAGTGAAATATATCATAAAAAAGTGAAAAACACAGCAAAAGTATCAAAATTTAACAGACAGAAGAATGAATTGACTGGAAGACACACAGTTACAAAGAAAACCCAAAGACATTATTGACTTCAAATATAGAGGAAAAGATTGAAAAAAGCTATTTTTATATATGCATCTGTTCTCCAATGCAAACTGTTGTTAAAAATAAGCAAAAAGTTATAAACCATTACAGGTCTTAAATTTAGATTTAAATTTGGGAACACCTTAAAAAGATGTAATAAGATGACCAATGATTGTTAGCTAGAAGTTTGTATTGTATCACTTTTATCTGTTGTTAACTGTAATAGCACAGCTTCATGCAATTAAATTTTACTTCATCACTCATAAGCTGATGTTAGGGATACCTCAGAACTGAATTCACGGCTATACATTTTTTTCAGCTGGTGTTTGTAAATTTTTAATAACTTGAGATATCTTCTCTGTATTGGCATTGGAATGAGCCATGATGGAGATAATAATGTTTGCACATGCTCCAATTGGTCACCAATTTCCCCCAACAGGGATTCAGCAGTATGATATGCAGTTTCATTCCTTTCTTTTAGATATTTTTTCAATTTTTCAATTTTTTTCTCCACTTCATCCATGTGACTTTCTGAGAGGAGATACAGAGGAGGTGACCCATTGAGGAGTTTTCTATCTCCTGCCTCAGTATCATCAGAGTTACCAGGTCGAGGAAGTGGTTTGTTTTGTTCCTCAGAGTCATTACGTTCTACTTGTAACTACAAACCAACAATCTGACATGTAATCAACCGCAAGAAATTTTATATTTATATAGAGAAAAGTGTCTCTTAATCAAACATTCTCACTAAATGCAACAAACTTCCAAAATAAAATCATTATCAAAACAAACTAAACAAAGAAACAACAACCAATTTCTTGAGTATTCAAGAATGAGTAGATAGAAGAAAAAAACAAAAGATGATTAAATTGAATCTGATATTATCATGACAAATTGATCAAAGGTCACACAAATTTGTTTTCTTTTTGAATTTTCAAAAACATTCATGTCAAATTCTACAACTATCTACCTACACTACAAAGTAAAGGGGAAGGTGTAAGGCAAAATCTGTGGAAACAGAAGGACCCATTCAAGTTTGCATTAAATGTAGCATAGAACAAAGGCATATATTCCTAAATGTTTTACTTTTTGCATATAAGTGAAAGTACTAGACTTCTTAATTAAAGGTAAGTTACTGTCATGCTACCTCATTTAGAAGTTGTTGATATTCTCTTTCTTTCTCCTCTAACATTGTAAGTGCTGCTGTTTCACCTTCAGTATATGAAGATTGTCTCCCCTTAATAAAGCAAAACAATGTTTTAACATAAAAAAAAAAAAACAATTTGTATAAAAAGAATAAATTTTACATAATTACACATTTAACAAAATATAAACTTCTACAAATTACAAAATAAATATTGTACAAAAATCAACTGACTACCTATTTGAATCTTAAAATAATAACATATTACACAAATATATTGACTTTTTAAATGAACAAAACTTGTAAAAAAACATTTCAATGCAACACAACATTGGGGATAAAGAAGAAATAAAATTGTAAATACTTCAAAATATATTTAAACATTACATTAAAAACTTTATATGAAATAAATATAGATCTAACTCTACTAAACATTGTTAGACTATGATTTTACACTAAGGGGAACAACTACCTGAGGTAATCTCTCCACAGAGTTATCTTCTCTTCCATGCTGAAGCTAAATATAGAACAATACTAGCATTTACTACTAGCTTCCAACATTGATGTGTTTATTTTTCTAGTATAATAAATAACTTATTATGATGTTTAAAACTTTAAATATCTAAATGAGTAATATTATAATCATAAACCAGATTGACCATAAAAAATTGACTAAACACTACTTTTTGTGATAAAGTTTGGACTGTTCAATGCAAATTTTAAAATTATTTCCTGAAACCTTAAAGAGTGAAAAGACGAACAAAAAAGTGAAAGGTTAGTATTCAACATATATTGCTTTTTTTTAAGCTGTCTAACTTATTTCTTGACATATAAAAGCTTTATATAACTCTCTAAGCATAAAAATATCACATAATCTGGTGCAGCTACAGTAATACAGTGCCATATTAATTATACCTTGCTGACAAGATCATAATATTCATTCTCCTTATCTTCCTGAAGCTGTCTAGACCTATCATACTGTTCAAATGATGATCTGGCAGTATCTCTGGGCTGTGTTATTGGACTTTCATCTGGATAATTTGGCTGGGGCCGTGCAAATGACCTTTCTTCCCTTTGTGTCTGGGGCTGTGATCTTTCTTCCCTTAACTGTGCACCTTTGGACCTTTTACCCCTTTGAGCTTGCTGTTAATAGTGTAACAGGAAATAAATAAATAAATGCTCCACCACCAACTTATATTAAGAGACATCAACATCAAATTTACAAACAGATTAACATATCAAAATTGAGGTTTGCAAAACCAAATTTTACATTAAAATGAACTTAATATCATAAAAATTCTATTTTATATACTTTGCTTTACATATAGCATTAAATTCATAAAATACATACATCCTGAAAATCATCATATCGAGGAAAACAAATTCAAAACATTTTGATAATTTTACCTCTTTGAATTACTAATAATGTTAAGCTGTAAGTCAGGAACTACAAATCATATTCAGTTAATATACAAACTGTAAATATCTTTTCTTAGATTTATAACTTAAATAAGGATGAGTATATCTGAGCTAGTAACAACTGTTTAAAATAAAGCTGAAAACGACAATGAAGAGAACATTTTCTAAAATACTTCTTTATAATCTGCATTGTGTATAAATATTCTGCAAATTAGAAAGTCTCCACTGAAAATAACAGAAGGGGAATACACAAATTGAGTATCTTAATTTTTTAGACATTGGTCAATCAAGATTTTGACTCTCTAATGTTAAATTAAAAACAATTTTTATTAAATCTTACATTCTTGCTAAAACCCTAGTATTAAAACATCAAAACAGAGTTAACAAATTAACCTCCAACTACTTAGATTAATTATGCATGCAAAAGGTCAAAAAGAAATATCCTTAACTGGTATCAAAACATGTAATGATTAAAGTCAGAAAATTATAGAAAAAAGTACTGTGATTCTTTTTAAAAATACAAATTCTGGTGCCACTCAATACCTTGGCCAGCATTTCATTATATTCTCTTTTTCTTTCCTGCTCTAATTTCTTTCTTTTCTCTTCATATTTTCCCAGCTGAAGCCCTGGTGCTTCTTCTTTAGGGGGGCCATTTGTTCTGTTTGTTTGGGGGTCTGCCCGCTATGAAAAAGATGTTTTGTTAGAAACTAGCATTAAAAGCACGACCATTCACTAGCGGTATATTAGGCAAACATTCACACTAAGGTAACCTGGAAATATGTTAAGACAGTAAATTCTAATTTTGTAACCTGAAGAAAGGATAAATCCATCTTTTTTTAACTCAACTTTACAATAGTTTTGATATAAAGTGGAAGACGTTAAAAGACTGGAATGTATGATGACAATTTTAATCTCAGAAATTTAAAAGAATACAAAAATCAATGTTTTCATCAAATAATAAAATTGTTAGGCTAAATGTATTTAGTTACCATGATTCTGTAATCTGTATCAAATGGGCATAGTTTTACCAATACAACATATCCAACACTTGTAAAAGGATTTCCTTGATTATTATATAGGTATAGAGGAAAACATTGGAACAGATGTTTTTGTATTGTGGTGTTCTAATAAGTCAACAAGTGTAAAGCGGTGATGGATTTTTAGTTATAAGCTTTTATTTCTAAGTATGGTGACCTAAATACAACAAGCATATACATAAATATATAAAGATATAAATAAATAACAAAATACATGCAAAAGCAGATACACAACATGAAATATCTATTAATACTTGCATAATAAATAAAAATCACAAAATAAACTAGCAAAAAATTCAATAAATGATATCTAGCACATAAAAAAAAACCAATACAAGCATGCATTCTTTATATTTTTATTAATTCAAGCATCTTTTTTTAAATATAGAAATGTTTTCGCAATATTCATAAATTGGCAAATACATAAAATTTGTCATGAAATAAACTTAAAAGTGAAATTTGTGTTAATAACCTGAAATTCACATGACATTTTTAATGTTCAAATCATGGAAATATTTAAATAAGATATTTTCTACAACAAAAATATGAGAACAAAGTAAAAAATGAAAATGATTTTAAAAGGAGTAGATTAGCAAAGGATCAATATAAATGTAAATTCTACAAAATTTTAATTGATCAATTATCATAAACAAATAACAAGAACTTTTGTAAAATTATGAGAAACTCAAAATAAGCAGATGTTGACAAATATATCAGTGATGATCACTAGTTTTTACAATAATTTCTGGTATATATCACAAATTTCCAGGCCAAATTGAGAAATTCATACCCATACTCCATTATCACATTATTTTCTGGTTTAAGTTTATTTCTGATGAAATTCCACAGAAACTTTTCTTTTCCATTGGTTAAATTATATCAATTATGGTTACAATGTTTAACAAATTGTTAATGGTGCAGCATATATTTGCATTGTTTTAGTTTTTAAAACAGCACAAAACTAATAGCTTATTTATATATATATATACACATTGTTATAGTTTTAAAAACAGCACAGCAGAAATACATTAAAACAATCTAATTAATTGATGTCTCTAGCAATTGACTATCCAGCAATACTAGCACTATTCACCCATTCATCATCTACCTGTTCAAAGAATTGTCTCGTTTCTTTTTGCCTTTCATCCTTCAGTTGTTGTTGATGTTTCTGATAGTGAAATGTGTCATAATAGTGGTTAGGTTCTGATGGCTTATCTGGTGTCTATACAGAAATATTAGTGACAATATAGGTGATGTCAGGCAAAAATTTAATAATATGCAAAAACAACATTAAAAGTGTGATAATGTGATAGTTATTATGTGCAAAACAAGATGTGCTTTTAAAAAATAGTGCTTCAAACTTCTATTAAAACATTACAACTCTATTTCTTCAATAATTCATGAATACTTAAAGACAAATTTCCTTTACACATTCTAATATAAATATTATTTCCATATTTAAGCACATACAAAAAACTCTTTTTTCTTTTATTGTAAAACAAGATTTTGTTACTTAATTGACAAAAATATGGAAGAACTACATGTGAATGTTCAGCACTACTAAAGTTGGGTGGTCTGTGTTAGTCTATTCTATGTTTGACATCCGTATGGCTTAAGTCTATAAGGCAGGACTTATAAGTACCTTTTCTTCTGGTACAACCTTATCTTGTGTTCTTGCTGGTGGACGTTCTGTCCTTCTTTTATCTACATGTACATGCTGTTCATGTGTCTTATTCAGCGCCATCATTTTATCAAATTCTTTGAACTTCTGGTTCATTATCCTGTCACTTATTTCATGGTCTAGTTTTTCTTTGGAAGGATCAAAACGGGGAGAGGTTTGTATGAAGGGAACTGTATTATAATCTCTTTGTGCTTTTAACATCATTTGCTCTGTCTGTTGCTAGAAGAATTACACAGACAACACTTATCAGTAATTTTATTGGTCAAATTTTCATAGTCAACAGTTACATGTAATCTAACTAATTATCATAATCTGATTGATAAAATATTCCAAAGACACTGTTCATCAAAATTAAAAAAAAGAACGTATAGGTTAGCATGGTGATCACAATTTTATTCAAACTTGTGGGAATTTATCTCTTTTTGCCTTAGGAGTACATTGGAATCTTAAAACAAATTTAAATTAATTATCATGCCAACACCTTAATTTTAAAAAGTGACTTTTCTAAATAAGTTCTGATGGTTATCAATTCTATAAAACTTCTTATTAACAATTTTGTGTACATTTTCATATGTAAAATGATTGCTTTTGGGGCTCTACCTTTTCTAACTCTTCCTTGTAATCTTGTTTGCGTTGTCTGTCAATCTTTTTACGATATTCCTCAAACTCCCCAAACTTTAAACCTGACCCTGGAGGGGTAGGTTGTTTTCTTGTTCTACGTTTTTTCTAATGAAGTGAAAACAGATAAGTCATTTTTACCATAATGAAATTGTTTCAATTTGTATACATTTTAAAAAAATAATTTATAGCCAGTTTTAAACTTTTTATAAAAAAGAAAAAACGTACTTAATGTATAAAAACGCACTTTATTCAGGTATCAATTATCCTATAATAATTTTTTTCAATGATCACTAATAAAATTTTTTGAAAACTATATCAACAACTCTAGAAATTTGATTTCTTATTATCTTTAATATTTAATATTTGTTGTATAACTTCCTAAAACAATGAAAGTACCTGTTCTAAATATTGATTATAGTCTCTTTGTTTTTCTTTTTGAAAGGAGAGCTCCCATTCTTTGTAATCAACTTCAGGCTTACGTGGTGATTCATTTGTCTTCTGTATAGCAAAATAATGTTATGTTTATTGATAATTTAGATATAAATTGGGTATAAATAATACCTCTTACATCTTACATTTCTGCACATATATGTTTCCTTAAAACTAAACTGAAACAAACATAAACTTTACATATAGCCTCTAAATGTATACAGCAATTAAAAATAAACATTTGTGTACACGGGAAAGAAGAACATTATTTAAACATCAATATAAATAACAATGTACAATATTAGTCCAAAATTAGTCAAAACATTTGGATTATAATACATGACATGCTGTTACCAAAACATTTATTAAAGACAGTCATGCTACATAGTCATGGTAAATATAGTCCTTTTGGACCATTTCAACTTCAAAACTGGTTTGTTTTATTAACATTTTTTGCTGAGTTTTATCTCATCTGCTTTGCAGGTTGTTATTATCACTCCATGCTGTCAGTTTGTAAGTCTTCAAACAAGTTGTCTGGTTGTGGAAATTTATCTTTTGTCCTCTTGTTATTTCATGCCATCAATTAGTGTGGGACAGGTTTAATGCGCTAAAGTGGTGCTGTCATTTTTATCTCATGCTATCAGTAAGCCTTTGGACACTGTTATGCTGCATGCAAGGCATTACCTCTGAACTTTTGTCCCTGAACTGATCAAATGAAAATTGTGGTAGCATTGGGTAATGGAGGGATGGGCTATGTCGCCTGTTGTAACGCCTGGTTTGTGGAGAGGAGTATGATGATGATGATAACAATGGTATTAGATCATGATGATAGGTCCTTAGATATTCCTCATAATCCTTTCTTCTTTCCTTCATTAGCTCCTTTCTGGCATCTTTATAGTCAAACTCCTTCATTGACTTTGGATCTGGCAATGTATGACTCCTGACCATAATAGTTCTCTTAGGAAGTAACTGTAACATTTAATACCAAGCCAAAATAACATCTCAGTGCATTTCAAACAATAGATTAACAAATAATTACAATAAATTATACTAACAGGTAAACAACAGAGATAATATTTGTAGCAAAATATTCTCAAATTCTGTGCAAACCAGTTCAGTGCATTGCTAACATCCACACTACCCTCACACATAGTTGTTGTTTGACACACATACATTGTCTATTCACATCCTGTTTAGTGTACCTGGTTCTGGATAGCTTTATATTCTTCTGTTCTTTGTTCAATAAGTTTTTTTCTTTTCTCTTCATATTTTCCTAGTTTATTAAGGCCTGCCTCTGGTGTTGTTTTCCGTTGAATATTGTTGGACCTTGGCGTAGTCTTAAGAGGATTTGTTCTCTGTTAGTTTAGATACAAATATTAATGTTGAAAACACCAGAACTGGCTATATATATTTTTATTTAAAATTGAGATGAAGGATCAATTAATTATTCAGTTACCTTTTAGTAAATTACAAGTAAAAAATGTATATATCAATCTAACTTAGTTTAAAACTGATTGAAACCAAATAACCTTTAGTTTGTTAAAATTTACTTCATTAAAAGAGGTCTTCTTCAACTTTCTACCCCTTGTTAACTATGATAACACATTTCGATAAGCTTTACACCATGTTTACTTTCATATTTCAATCTTTATCCAAATTTACACAGACTGAAATCACCAAAGCTTTCAAGCTACATGTAGCAAAAGTGCAAACCACTGCATGATTCTACAATGTACCATTCACAATTAAGTGCCTTGAAAACATTTACTATATGTAAAGAAAACAAGTCATATCCTATAAACCTCATGAAAAAAGCAGATCAACATGCATGGTATCTATTATATATGACACACATCAGCCAAATATAATATATGTGACCCTATTATGTCCCGAACGATCTTGAGGTTGTAAAATTCATTCACCTTATTGTCACTTGTTTGGTTGTGTTGTTCTGAACCAGCTGATTCACTACTTAATGGGATTCTCAGTTCTGGTGACTTCAATATATTTATGTTCTGATAACAAGATATAATTCATTGTCAGTCATATGTTTACTTTCATAAAATTTTGCAACCATATTTACTTGTTCAAATAAATGGAATATAAAGACACAATACGAAAATATTTCATATTGAAAGAGAAACAGATGATAACAAAGGGGTATTCAAAAGTGCTTTACACAACATACACTTAATCTTCATGCTGTTACATGCACAAAATGAATAAATTAGAAAAACGAAGCTTACAAGTGCAAATGTAAATTTCTATATAACTGATAATACTTGACAATAAAGTTTAATTCATAAGTTTATTTAAAGTAATTGTAACTTTTTTCATGAAACAAAAAAGTTAACATTTTTTACAACATATTCAAATTTGCAATTTATGTTAAATGTGTCACATTCAGCATCTTTCTACTGTAGTTCTCTTCTTTTAACTTAAGTAAATTACCGGTATTACATGTATAGGCTAAAAGGAAATAATCAAAGATGACAGGCACCACAAAGTTTTCACATCCAAGATAATAGCTAGAAATAAATATATTTCCTGCTGCCCTGATATTATAATAAGAAAAGAAAAATGAAATAGTGAAAAATGAATGTTAGCTATTAGCATAGAAAAAGCAAAAAAATTTGGCGGAACCTCTTTTGGAGCCATATTTTCTGTGCAAAATTAAACAAGGGGTGTTCTTCATTCATACTACCTCAAAAATTTCAAAATCATAAGAGTTTGTTTAACTAATGCTATTTTTCAATAAAAAAAAATCTATGGCGCCAAATGTATTTTGTTGAGTTATTCACACCCACAGTTGTTGAAAATTCATAATTTGACAGTTTTTTCAACAGCTTTTTTATAGTGAAAATGCAGGTCATTTTTGCAGGAGCATTCTGGATAAATTAACATAGTCAATGGATTTTAATAGTGAAAATACAGAACCCAAAAACATTGTCTCCTATGCAAATAATTACTTCCTTTTAACCTAAATCAACATGTCTCTCTAAGTAAATTACAAAAGATCAATATGCAATTGTTGAGTGCAGTTCAGTTTCTCTATAAAAGTAGCATTGCAAATTTGGGGAAATATTTATCATTGTAATTTTATTAACTGAACTATTGATGTGCAGTTATTTTAGCAAAATTATATTTCAATATTTTTTCACATTAATTTCAAACCTGTTTGAGAAGAAAACATCTTAAGATTTCCTCTAATTTGTAGGACGTGAAAACCTGTATCATGGAAATCAAAATATTACATCTATTTATTGATTAGCTGTTTTTGGTGAACATTTTCTAGATCTACTCTTACTTTGCCAACAATATCAATTCATATTCCATAACACTTAAATCTTAGTCACAAAATTTCTTTATTTTTTATAAACTGTTGAATATAAAATTGAGCTGCAGTGGGAAGGATTTGTTAGCTTAAATCGTCCTAAAATAAATAAAAGAAAATAGAATATTTGATGATACCACTATTTCTCACATTTCTTAATATAAGCGAGGAAACAATTCTGTGAAATATGTCAGTACTTAGCTGAAATAAGTTGTTAGCAGGAGCATTCTGGTTAAATTAATATAGAGTCGAATCCCCCCCCCCTTTTTCCAAACAAAATGCCAGCAAGCAGATATACACAATTGCTGAGTAGACTTTTTTTACCTATTTTGGCGATGATTGTCTTTTCTCATTCAGCATTTGCGAAGAAAACAATCAAGATTTCAAGTAATTTTGCAATTCTAATTAATTTACTGTCATTTATGGCTGTATATATAACTAACACATGAAAAGGATATAATTTAAAACCCAAAGTTCAATGTTTTATTAAAAGTACATAAAATATAAATTCAAAATTTCCTGCAAATTTGCGAAATTTTGAAATAAATTTAACTTTAGCGTCAATTTGACCAATTTATCCAGAATTTCTTACATTTCCCTTTATTATGTATAAATAAAGAAATGTATATGACCAAAATCCTGACATTTTTTTAATTTTTTGTGTATTACTTTGTGTATTTATGTATTCAAATTAAAAGTAAAATTAAAGGGACCCTGAGTTGACTGATCATCTGTTTACTGAAATAATATCAAACATACCTAGACATATCAAACTGACAAAGAAAATATAGAGTACACTACAGTCAGTTAACCAAACAGTGCAATTAGACAAAATAGTGACACAGCGTACCTGTTCAGCATACTGTGTCTCTTTTCCTGGATCATCCCACTGTCTACGCCCTACCCTTTCACCTCTTTCATCATCCTAGCAACAACACAAGTTTTTCTAAACATTTTGTTAAGTATAAATTGAAAGAAGTCATGAATAGGGAATGAATGCAGCGGTACATACAATTATTATTATACTAAATAAAACAAAGGCAAATCTTCTTTTCATCTTGAATGTCTCCAAACCTAGAAACTATATGCATGTATGATTTGGGTAAGCTGTAAAATACAACCAATCACATCTGTAACATGGAAAATCAAAGAAAAAGCACTTAATAGTTTATCTTAACTTTTAATTAATGTTAATTACAGTTTCTCAGGCTTTGAACAGCAAATTCAGAAAGATTCCAAGTACTTTTCTCATAGTTAAGTAAATATTTTTATCAGTTGATTCATCAATGAGAAGCCAGTTACACATATATAATATGATGAATGTAAAAGCCTCTACCTGCAAACTCTTACTTATGAAAAAATATACAGCCCTGCCTTCATTATCAATAATTCTATGATTTTACTTCAACACCAGGAAACTTGTTTGTTATAGCTTTACAGAAAACTTTAAAGACAATGGTTAATCTCAACATTTTGACTTCTTAGGACATAACAGAAACTAAAAAAATCAGACTGAATGACTTGTATGTTACATATTTTTGTACATATAATCTCTTCTCTTCTGAATATAACAAATATGAAAATAAGATGATGTGGTATGATTGCCAATGAGACAACTCTCCATCAGAGACCAAACGATGTAAAAGTAAGCACCTATATGTTTGATTTACCCGGGATATCATACGTAAATCGTTCAATTTCCACACAACTGAAGGAAATTGAACATTACTACTACCTGTAAATACTCAAGTTTGACAGTTTATATATATATATTAATAAAAACAAGCATTCTGAGAGTATTGCATGGCAATACATAGTCCCCTACCGGTTAAAATTCATTGTATTGGAACAAAATGCTAACTTGATCTACAAGTTGTCATGGTGTAATCTATATAACAAATATCAAGTCAATATCTTCAAGCATGAGGCAAAAAAGTGTGGAAAAATGATTATTTGAGTGAATTTTATAAGTCCAAGGACCATAACTCTGCACAAAATCATCAGACAGGAACAAAATTTGAAATTAATCTGTAACTTGTCATGATAAAACTATATACCAATTATCAAATCAATATCTTTAAGCATGACGAAAAAAAGTGCGGAAAACTGATTATTTGAGTGAATTTTCTAAGTCCAAGAACCATAACTCTGCACAAAATCATCAGACCGGAACAAATTTCGAACTTGATCTGTAACTGGTCATGATGAAACTATATACTAATTATCAAATCAATATTTTCAAGCATGAGGAAAAAAAGTGCGGAAAACTGATTATTTGAGTGAATTTTTTAAGTCCAAGGACCATAACTCTGCACAAAATCATCAGACCGGGACAAAATTCGAAATTGATCTGTACCTTGTCACATTAAAACAATGCACCAAATATCAAATCAATATCTTCAAGCATGAAGAAAAAAAAGTGTGGAAAACTGATTTGCCGGACTGACGGATGGACAGAGAGACAGACAAACAGACGGAGTGCAAACCTAAACTCCCCTTCGACTTCATTGGTAGTGGACTAAAAATAGATATGGAATAACCATCTATTGTCTCAGAATATTTATTATTAGAAATGGATAGAAATTTGGGCTCACCTAGCATTTTTATTCTGTTTTATGTGAGGTTTATAAAGTCAATACAATTATTATTCAAATCTAAATTTGAGTGTGAAATAATGCATACAAACCACATAATGGTAATCGTATATCTAGTATAGAGATTATTTTGGATTAGTCTGCTTCAGAATGATCTTTCAATGAGTTAAAATTCATGCATTAATCTAATGTCAATAAGAAACATTATGAATGTGAAATAAACATGCAATTTTGTTCCATTTCAGTCCATTGTTTTCATTTGTATATATCTTTAAATGTAGTCAATAAATGTTATGCTAGAAAGAAAGAAAAACTTACTGCTAACTGTTGTCTTTCCTGTTGAAGCTTTGCTTTCTGGTTTTGAATAAATTGGTCAATGTCAGATTCCATCATTGAGGTCATGTTATTTCCTGTTGACAGAAAGAGGAAAAGAAGGTAGGTAAGTTAATAGTAAATATAGAAATATGGAAAAATATCAGTTTCAATTTTATTTCATCATAGAGAAAAATGTTCAATCATACATATGAAAGATGTAAACTGTCCAATTTGAGACCATTGTTTCAAAATGAAACATTTCTTGCATATTGTAATCTCTGGTTCTGCTTTTTTAGTATTTTATGCCATATGGAACCATTTATTTTAGAAATTATAGTGTGTAAATTTTAATCAGGAATTCAAGCATGAAATGTAGGTTATCATAATATAGTAACCAAAATGCTTATACCACAGAAGAGAATGAGAGTAATGAAATATCATTGGTAGGTTTCTACAAAATTAACATTAACCCTTCATTTCATCGAAGTCATCAAATATATTTCAGTGACCTAAACGCAATAAAAAAATCAAGAATTTTCCAGGAAATCAATCAGGTCTGAGAAATCTATTTGGTGTAATCATGGAAGTATTATATTGACAGGAGCTCCAACAAACCGACTTCAAACGTTTATAGTGTGATGCCGCAAAATCGTTAAGTATCTGTTAATTAACTCGACATGTCATATGGATGCATGTGTTCAATCAAATTTTTGGAACCTCATGATTGATCGTAATTACGGAACATACCGAAATAACCGGATGTGTACTTAATTGTCAAGGAAATGACATTTGACGACTATGTCACTAAATGACAAATATGTCAGTTTTGACGAGTTTTGCTGCGTCAAAACAAATAAAAAAAAAGAAATGAAAACCCAGCGACTGTTTTAACAAAAAAACTGATGATTAAAAATATTCACAAGCCTTGAACATTTCAGTTTTAGTTACAATCAATTTAAATAGTAAGTTTTATTCATGAGAGGGCTGTTAGCTAAACATGCATAACTGTTATATACATGTTAGGCTCGAAAATCATACAAAGGGCTATGATCGGGAAAAATATCATATTTTGGCATAATGAAATAGCGCATGGGCAATCATATTTTAATTAATTGTTAAATGAAAGTCAAATGGCAAATATTTCATGCAATTCAACAAGAAACAAGTCATTACTTAAAAGAATTTTGTTAGATGTCAGAGCAATCTGTGACTAGGTTGACGGTTGAAGGTTGTTTTAAACTTTTGAATTATTATAAAAGGTGTAACAATTTATCTGTCTCGTAACCTGATACATGCTATGTAGAGGTCATCATGTGCGCGTAATTATTAACCTCTTTTAGTCTTTAAAACATATTTGAAACGTTAATTATATTTTTCTACATTGAGACGATAGAGAAAACCATAAATATTCTTGTAACATTTGATAAAAATTTACAACCTTTAACTTAAATTTCAGCTATCCTTCGCCATCTTACACACTACACACGCATCACATTATTTTCCGCAAACACTCAACTTCAGGTACATGTAACTTTTAATACCGGATATTTCCCGATTTCTAAGTTCCAATGATTAAAACATATTCAACAGAACTAAAAATAATCTTAACCTCTTTCTGAATGCAGTAAATTTTCTTATGTCATTCTGTTAAATATGGACTGATTTTTTAGATTTTTTCAGCTTTTGCCTTCTTTCATTGAACAGAAACAGGTGTCGTTATTCATGTGGCGATTCACAAATAACCGCGGGAGTTTCCGTGTTTATTTACATTGTAGGTAGATAAGACACTCAATACCAAGTCACGTGATAAGACCAGCTTCAGTAAACAGAACAGGCGAAGGCGGCATTGCAGATACCCCACAAAGGAGTTATCATGTACTTGACAAACTGAGTCGGAACCTTTTAATTTCTTTGAGAAATCAGTGGGATGCGAATGTGCTAATTTTTCGTTGAAGTTCCTGTCAATATAATACTTCCATGGTGTAATCTTTATCCTCAATAAAGTAAGAATTACAAAAATATTGGAAAGTTATTACTTGATTTACAGGAAAAGAATATACATTTGTATAATAGAAAAAAACAAAGGATATGGGTATCCATCCATGACACAAAATCAGTACATGCACAGCAAAAAACACACAAAAAGCAAAGGAACAGTGCTTTTATTGCTGTTCTTCATCTCAAAGTCACAATGAGGCTTTCAACAGAGATTTAAAAAAACTCTCACTTCAATGCAAGTTTAAGATGGCCCCTAGCACCAGCTGGAGTGGAATTCTTTGCAAAAATAATTCAGATAGACTTTGTAAGATGTAACACCACCAAATCGGGCCTGGTAAAAAAAAAGAACATACTGGAAAGTAGTACATATTTAAAACAAAATAGTTTCTAGTTGTAACTATCAACATAATGTAGAATATATTTTGGTAATTTAGGTATCAAATGAAAGGTGAAGGACTGGTTATCCTTGTAGAACACATTTTGACTGATAATTTTTAACAATACAAAAATGTATGAACATGATGAATGAATTCTAAAATTGAGGGCATATATTGCCTGTATCTCAGATATTAAGTACCTGGTTTGGTGTATCCAAAGTTCTGGTAACCAGTACAATCTGATGTGCAAATAACAGTATATTGATCCCTCCCCAATAAATGTTTGAAAGTGAACAAATTAAGTGTGGATAGGAATGGGGGCCAAGAATAGGTGGTGTGTGTCTTATTAAAATTTTAGTACACGAACTAGCCTAAAAATGAGAGAATGATGTGGCACACATAAGAGAATTTATCTCAAGAACAAATACACCATAAAGTATGTCTATCTAATAACCCAGGTATATTCCTTACCTTAGACATGTAATAGCAGGATTATAGTATCAACTTTTTTAAAATCTAATACTGGTTTACATGTTTATGCTTCAGTAAACATAAAAGATTTGAAAAATGAATAAACTGCTTCGCTGAGCTCTAGCGCAGCTGGATACGCCCACAGAGGTCCAACCCTGAACAGTTGGGGCAAAAATGGACACAATATTAATATTCAAGATTGATACAGGTCTGAATTTGGATTGTTATTAAATATTTGACATATTATAGGTTTCTGAATAAATGTAGTCAAAGAACTTGAAATTGGTTATATGAATTGAATTTATATTCAATTAAAGATTTCTTGCTGTTGTGCAATACACTGTGCTGTTGCACAATACTTAGTAAATCTGTTGTCAGACTATAAACAAATAAAGTTCAATTAATTCTCAATGTCATATTAGAAATTTATGAAAATCAAAAGGGGGCTTACATCAATAGATATAAACAATTCACCAAAGTTTCATGAGAATTGCTGACAGCATTTTTGAGTTCTTGTCCGAAAACTGGAAAATCCACCCTTTTTTAATGAATAAAACCCCATAACTCAGATATGTAAAATATAAAATTTATAAAATTCTAAAGGGAGCTTACATCAATAGATATAAACAATTCATTAAAGTTTCATAAGAAATGCTGAAAGCATTTTTGAGTTTTTGTCCAAAAACTGGATAATCCCCCTTTTTTTATGAATAAAACCCTGCAACTCGGAAACGTAAAATCTAAAATTTATAAAAATCGAAAGGGAGCTGATGTCAATAGATATAAACAATTCACCACAATTTCTTCCAAGTTGGTGAAAGCATTCTAGAGTTATTGTCCGAAAAACTGGGAAATCCCCCTTTTTTAAATGAATAAGACCCCACAACTAGGAAACGTAAAATCTAAAATTTATAAAAAACGAAAGGGAGCTCATGCCAATAGATATAAACAATTCACCAAAGTTTTATGCAAATTGGTTAAAGAGTTTTTGAGTTAATGTCCGACATGTTGACGACGGACGGATGGACGGACAGACAAAGATATACAATAATATGTCCCGTAAACGGACGTATAAAAAGAAGTCAGAAGGACCCAAATTATGTACATGTATTGTATACACCAATCTTGAGTTATTTTTTATGAATGAGTTACACTGGTTGACACTGGGTCAATTGCTGTAAACGACATCATTGAACAATCGGTTCATACTGTGACGTAATAACATAAGCATTGTGACATAGGAAATTTATGGAAATTGCATGAATTCGAAAGTCGTCTACACAAGTTTTATCTTTGTCTCAAAGTTTTGGTTTATCTAAGCTTTAGATTAGTCATATGCATTTAATATGAATTCTCTCAATTATGGTCATATTTTCACCTTAAAAAATCAATTTTGAGTATATTTTTTTCTGTGTGTGCTTGTGGATAGTATCTGTACTGTAGTCTCAAATGTCACTGCATGGAGATTTTCAGCGTTTATGGCAACCTCCAAAACAACCGTGTTTCAACGGTTAGTTTGCAACTTTATCATTTCTTGTACCGTGTAATTTTACTTGATGTCAAAGTTATTCATTTTAATATCCTTATGTTAGCAGTAAAAGTCTATATCAACGTGGAAAAGGCTTTAGTTGATGTTTTTCAACGAGACAAGACTTGAACAACAGGAAACAAAACATTGGAATGCAGCACATGCGTAGATGTATTCATAACAAGTACGGTTCATCAATTCCGGAAAACAGAAATCAATATTTATTTGTGCATGTTTAATGTTTAAATAGTTAGGTATTCACTTAATAATTTTTATAAGGATTAACCAACCTTAATTCAGTAAGGTTGGTGTACTCCAACTATTGGAGGAAGATATAGAGGAAAGAAGAAGCATAGTCCAAATGTATATACTAGTATGGTGATGGAACAGATCCCTGCTCATACAATAGTGAATTATATAGTTTATTACTTTAATGTTACTTGTGCTTCATGTTTTAAATTGAGCATCCTCCTGGGATAGAATCCCTAGCTTATAATATTGGATGTGACAATCTGCCGTTGCGATTTTAACTTGGTGGTGGGTACGCCGGGCAGCCTGTATCTTGAACAATTGAGTTATATGCGAAATTATACTGGCTTGTGCACCGAATTTTTCTCACTGCACATGCAGCAGCACACAGTTGCTTACAAGAATAGTTGCTAAACCGTATTACGCTACAAAAGTAGTGGCACTCCAGATAATGGAGGGAAGAATAAAGAAGAAGAAGGTTCTCGGCGGACTATTACACTTTGTTCATAGAGTGTAGCGTATTACAGGGATTTTCTATACTAACGTTAGTATAGAAAGTCCCTGCGTATTACAAGCGATTTCCTGTTTAAATATTTCTCAGATCTCGGGGCCGCGATTTTTCACTTACAAAATATTTATCTGCCAAAGAAAAGTCTTGAATAAAAATGTTTTGTCAAAAAAAAATATAGAATGTCACCCATTACTCTGTAAGACCAAAGAAGTATGGGAGTACATTTTAAGGGGGGGGGGGGGGGGGCTTTTAAAACAAAAATAAAAAAGAATGTTTTACCTCAATGGGAATAGTGTAATATATACTATGTCACAGCCCGGATTTATATAGTATATCTTACTATCTAAATCCTTGATCCCAGGTTTTATTGAGATAATTTGTCAAAATGTAGCCGTTTACATAGTTCTTAAAAAAGAAAATAGTATAAAACAGTAAAGTTAAACGTGCTTGTTAACGAGCTATTGAATTGCTGTGCTAACTTTTCATATTTTGTAAGGATCACATGATTTACAAGAGAAAAGCACTGTGTGATTCCTGAGATTTATAATACAATAATGTATTATATGTCTCTGGTGAGAAAAGCACTATATGTGATCCTTGAAATTTATAATAATTCGAAAGACTGAAGGCAAATGACCAGAATCTTAAATCAAATGTGAGAAGATAGCTCTTATAAAATGCTTTCAGAAAATAAAATAAAAACAACACTTCAGTCGTTTTCATGCAACAAACATATATTTTTTAATAGTTTAATTGACACTGAGACTACTACAACACAGTGTTATAGTAGTCTCAGATTGACAATACTTTTTTTTTAATATTATCTGAGTTATCTCTCCTTAGCCAAAAACAAAAAGTTTTTTTTTAATTTAATTATTTCAATGGGAAAAAAAACGATAAAAAATCACACGAACTTACCCATTAAAGGGAAATCCCCAGAAATTGATTGTATTTCTGCATCAAAATTTGCTAATTTCAGTAAAAATCTGAGCCGGTCATTTATGATTTATTATCAAAAATTGCTGAAGACCTTTATCAAAATCATGGCGTAGGCGTTATTGACTAGTTTTGCCTTATTTTCTTGTTTTTTGCATATTATCTTGAAAACTATGATAATAGATTGGTAGAAATAACTGTAAAGAGCAAAACTGATCGGCAATGTAAGAACAAACAAAGAAAAATAATATGACCGAAACCATTGGATGACTCCTTATGGTAGTGATTGTTTTTGACTAATTTTCAAAAGTTTATGACAATTATCTTGAAAACTATAATACTAGTTAATAGGTTAAACCTGTAAACATAAAAAAAATTATCAGCAACACAAGATCCACAAAATCACGATTGTTGACTAATTTTCGAGTTTTTATCTGTAATGCATAATATATGTTTGACAGTTGAGCCGTTTAGAATCTTAGGAGACTCTTGTTATATCATTATCTCCCTCGCTTTAGGGACATATGAGAATCTGTCCCCCCTCTTAAAGTAATTTAAGGCGATGCCCTCCGAAAATATTACTTTTCGTTGGTTAACAGATCTTCATATCTCTTTAAGACAGGGGAGATGCATGTTTAATTCCACAACTTATACTCTCTTTGACTTCAATTCCTGAAATAGAATGTGCAGGTGCTTATATAAACAAATACGGAGATGTAGAGATGATAGCCAAAAAGCACACCGTATAGAAAGCTTTAAAAGGTACCGATATGACAAAATATTAACCAATTCAATCGAGAAATCCCCCCTTTATTTATGGTAAAACAACCGAAACAAAATATGACAGACAGCAACCAACGACAACAACTGAATTACATGGTCCTAACTTGGCACAGACATATACAGAATGTGGCGGGGGTAAACATGTTTAAGAGCAAGCAACCATCCCGTAACCCGAGACAGTGGTGTAGTATCACATAATACGACATACAATTTTCTTATTTAAACACATTTATAAAAATAAGGAGATGTGGTGGTATGATTGCCAATGAGATCACTATCCACCAAAGTTCAAATGAAATGGAAGTAAGCAATCACAGGCAACCGTAAGGCCTTCGACAATGAGAAAAAAACCCATACCGTTTAGTCGGCTATAAAAGGCTCCGACATGAAAAATATGAAACAATTCAATTGAGAAAACTAACGGCTTAATTTATAACAAGAAAATTGACAAAAAAACAAATATGACAATCAATGTTATAATTAGATCTTTGAATATAGTTTACATTGGCACTAATATCGATTTTGTCATCAGCAAATTAAAACATAACTAAATTTGTATTCTTTTCAAACGGGATGTATAAAGACACACCCACGTTCGTTTTGATCTATAAAGAGGTTAAACTCCTAACTATCCTACTGTCTGTCGATACATTTATTTTTGGCATTGTACTAGTTATGTCTTCTTTGACTGTCCATGACGTTAAAAACTAAATCCCTGGGATGTGTTTTAGTTGATTTTAGTCTCTGATGCATGATTTTTTATTATTAATTGTTTTGGCTTTTAACTAGCTGTCAGTAACTGCGAGTACTCTCAAATCGTACTTTCTTGTTTATTTGACCTGTTGATACTAATTGTATTGCTTTTTTGTTATTTAATGTTATTCAGGGTTATATCTAGTCTATATACCAGCTTTGATAAGTGTTTGGTATTACTATAAATTTTCACTTCGTACTATGAACATCAAAATTATTTATTTTGTAAAAATATTTCCTTTCTCTATTGGAACTGTACACGTATACCTAACAACAAAATTATTTTCATTTACATGTGTTTAAAGTTATTGCAAATGGCTGATATTTCTGTTCGAGCATATTGTGGTTCATAAGTGTTTCTCGTTTCTCGTTTTTATATATATTAGACCGTTGGTTTTCCCGTTTGAATGGTTTTACACTAGTAATTTTTGGGGCCCTTTATAGCTTACTGTTCGGTGTGAGCCAAGGCTCCATGTTGAAGACCGTACTGTGACCTATAATGGTTTACTTTTATAAATTTTGACTTGGATGGAGAGTTGTCTCATTGGCACTCATACCACATCTTCTTATATTTATGAACCAACGACAACCACTGAACTACAGGCCCCTGACTTGGAACATGCACATATAGAATGTGGCGGTGTTAAACTAGTTTGCTGGCACCAAACCCTCCGCTAACCCGGAACAGTAGTGTAACAGTAAAACATAAGTACAACATATAAAAATCAGTTGAAAAGGGCTTAACTCGTCAGATCGACACAAAGCGGAAAACATCTAACGAAAACACAGACCGGACATGGCAGCGTACCTATACATCCCGCAACAAAAAAGACACTAAGTAAAGATCTGAGTACTCGCAATTACTGACAGCTAACTGTTCAAAGCCAATAACAACTAATAAAAAAATCATGTATCTAAGACTAAAATATCAATCAGTACACATCCAACATCCAATGGATTTAGTAAGTTGGTATAAAGACGTCATTAACAGTCAGTTACATGCATGTAATTTTCATATAACAAATTCATTTAATCTCATTTAATACTCATGTATGAGCATTCAAAAACTTGTACGCAGGACAGCAGTTTTTCCTTTTGTATAGCATGCACTGCAGAACACGAATAATTTCGACTCAATAGCCAACACCACTCCATTTATAGACTATGTCGCCACATGCTCGGTACAGAATAGGCAACTATGGAATCAATACTTAACAGAAGGACCAAGGACGACGAACCACCTCAAAGGATAACATAACAGCATGAAGAAGATTATTCAAGTACAATATCTCAACTTTACTCAACTACCTTATGGAAGAGCAGACATCAAACAAAGTGACCATCATCTATAGTAAACATAAATGTTAATCATCTTAGGAGCAAAAATAATACACGGTTACAATAAAGCACACACAAAACAAAAGGTACATCAATATAGCATATATATATATAGCACACACAACAATTGCAACAAATTCAGTCCAAGTGTGACCAATATGAGATATAAGGCAATGCCACCATACTGGATCACACTTTTGTTAGCAGGGGCGGCTAGCAAATTATTTTTGTCAGTAAATCTGATTGGACGAAAAATATTTGTTGGTGTCTGACATTGGAATTTATAATATAAGCAGCATTAATAAAATTCAAAGGTATCCTTGTTTGTCATTTATACTCGAATAACTTATATTTTAGTATAAGATACATTTTCTCGCTGCGTTGAAGACCCATTGGTGGCCTTCAGCTGTTATCTGCTCTTTGGTCGGGTTGTTGTCTCTTTGACATATACCCCATTTCCATTCTCAATTTTATCCATGAGGGCGTTAAAAAAAGAAAATCAGAAAATTCGGAGCGGCGATTCCGACGAACAAGACCTTAATCTGGTGTGGCTTAACTTCGTCATTCTGAAAACATTCTTGGAGTTCCTGCTGAGATATCATGGTTTGATTTGTGTGTATTGTCTTCTCTTTGTTGGTCATACTTCCCTGGCTTAGTATTGTAGCGAGAATTGAGTAGTACTTGATATCTACTATATTGGTCTTAATTTGTTGTTGATGACATGTCAATATCAAATTTTTTTTGTTTATAGTCATTTTCCCAAGAAGAGAAGGTGAACCATGTTCGAGAAATGCAATTCTCCATTCTGGCTGCTATTTTTTTCATTTTTTCTTCTATGTAACTACAGAATCGAATCCTTTAAAATCTTATAATACACTCTCAAAATCTAATGTTTATTGCATTCGACGATTCAACACATATTCTTGTTGAACCCTATTGGAAATCACTTTCCATTTTGACTGAAACTTCAAATGGCCGGCCAGTTTGTACTCACGGAATTTTGAACGAAATGTAATGATGGTCGGTGAAATTCCTACTTAATTCCAGTCAGGTGATCACTAAAAAATATGGAATTTAAGGTGCAAAATATTTTTTACCTTTTGTTACAGTTTTTCTAATAATTAAACTTTTTTCACGAAAACAACACACATTCACTTAAATTACATTTATTTTGTTGGCATTCGAGGAATAGATATTTTATACAATGTAGGCATTCCAGGAAGGCACCATATGGATATAGTTTTTGTTTATGATTTACCACATGCTATATTCCCGCCGCAACCAGAAGGAATTTTTAATTCTATTTGGACACTATAAAGACCCACGAGAAATTTCCTATGCTTGTTAAACTGAATGGACATTGCTGACACTTGGCACATACCAATGTGAACTATTACAATATATATAGTTTTATTGATACACATTGTAAATGATATAAACATTTCATAAATCAAGAAAATATTAAATGGCAAGAGCTGACAGATGCATATATATATAGTTACAGAAGCACAGAAAGCATGTAAATGTTCAACCAGAAATGTATTTTAAGAGTACAAAAGCAGTGGATAACGGTTGTCCTCTTGCTTTAATATATTTGTCTAGACTACTTTCCATTCATGTCTGCTAAGTGATGTCTCGTCCATGCTTCTTCTTTGAGAATAACAACGAATGCTTCTTATTTCAGTATAACAATGAAATAAAAGTCTGGCAAGAATACACATATACATTCAATGCTGAAAATAAAATTTTGGCAAGATGTTAAATTTTTGGCACAAAAGTTAGTGAAAATTTAATAAAACGCACCAAGGCCTCTTATGACTATGATATCTGATGTCGATTTCTAATGGTCACTAACTAACACAAATACAAGTGAGTTAATCTTTCTCTGTCAGAAAAAAAGCTTACAGATATATACACATATAATGCTATAGTTCACTCAATAGTAATACTTGAGACGTTCTCTTTGAAACTAACGGTTTTCTCTTTCTCAATGCTTTTCTCGACTAGTTTTGTCTCATCCTGTTTTCCATTGTCTGATAATGTCTGTTCAGATGGTTTAGCAGCCGACAGGTTAGCCTTTTGCAACCAGCCACGAAAACAAATAATGCCCTTGTCTTGAATGTCCTTGCGTCCTTTCTCTGTTATTATCGTTCCATTGTCTCTAATTATAATCAGCTTTGGAATCGCCTTTATTTCGTATTTTGATTTTAGTACACTGGAATATAAAATAAATGGATATTCAGGTAATTATACTAAACTGTTCAACTTTTTGTGAAGCGTATAAGTTTTCACAGGATTAAAAAATCGATTTTTTTTTCGGATGTGGAAACGTGTATCTGTAGGGTTTCGTACACGTGTTTTATTTTTATATTTTTTGTGTGAGCATCTATATCCCATATCCATTTGCTTTTTTACCAACAGACACGAAACCAAGCTGAGATCTGAAAACGGTCTGGTTCAACAAATTTACTTTCAAAACCATGTTTTGCAGTCAAGTGTTGCGATGAAGTCCGACGTTCAGAGACAAGTTAATTGGGACTTTCGTAACACAACTTGTATTCAATTATTTAGTAAATGATCCTTGAAAGGACTTCTTTTGTACATTGCCAAAAACAACAACTGGCTGAAAGTGGTTACCCGAGACTTTTGCTAACCCCAAAACTTAATGTAAAAAAAAATCAATTTTAAATCAGGACAAGAAGTTTTTGTGATCCCAAAACTGGCGGAAAGCGTATTAAACATCGCGTCAAATTTGGCGTTAGGTAACAAAATAAAGCTATTATTTACAGTGTAAAATTACTCGCGGTTATCATTTTGGTAGATATTTTTAACCCAAGATATTTACTGATGGCATATATTTTATATCATTTACTTTTTTGGGGGCTAAAATATATGCCTTGTGATGTTGAAAACAACTTTCATATCGTACATGAACTTTGTTATTTTAAAGCAAAGAGACACAACATCGATATAGATACACAGTACTATTGATTATCTATTATTTATGAAAACGCGTTTTTAATAAGTATGATAAAATAGTTATAATCAAACACCGGTCGGATTATCTGAGTGATTGCTTTTGGTTGCTTAATTTGAGATGCATTCTAACCAAGTTGTATATGATTGGGCTAAACTTACTCCACTAATGGATCCTTATATGGCACAGATAACCAATCACCATGTTTTTCTGAAAAGAAAGTCTTCATATCGTCTATTTTCTTATCAAAACTGATAAATACCACTTCAAATGGTGATACACGCTCTTTCAGTTCTTCATAAGTTTGTTTTAATAAAAATGTGAACTCTTGACATGGAATACACCAGTCTGCAGCAAAGTACAACCCTATGACTTTATTTTCTATAGACTTGAAAGCGTCCACTTCCTCTGGTTTTCCTTCGCTAGTGTCACCAGTCTCTTCACCTTCAGGTCCTGTCGTTTGACTTTCTGAAACACATTTTTCTTTGATGTTGTTAGTCTGACCAAAATCATTGTCACTTTTCTCGGGCACAACTTCTTTTTCTCTAAATTTCTCTTGAGTCCAAAATATTTTGTCTTTCCAAAGTTCGTCCATTGTCATGTAGTCATTGCTGAAATAAAATTATTATACAATGGTGAATAAAACAAATATCTGAAGAAAATTACATGCTTTTGAATACTTGTACGTTTTTCTATTTAAATGATGATTATTTCTAATACAAACCTTAAGAAACGCGGAAATGTGATCAAACCATAGTTCTAATAGCGGATAGGATTTGCATACATATCAACCTGCGAACGTCCAATTCATCACCATTTTATTTTCGGAAGTGGTCTGGTTTTATTTTGTTGCGATCAAAATCGTTCCTGCAAGCTTCCCCGTTACAAAACCCGATAATAAATGTGCTACCGCGAAACACTCTAATTCAAATACAGATCTCAAATTTCGTTATGCTCTTCGACGAGTAAGGATAGATCTGAATTTAAATGCCTAAATCGTTTTTTTTTAACATAAGCATCATCATGCAAGTTATACAAGTTATATAAGTGTCATCGTAGCAATTTATCAGAAGAGTACAGATATTATAATAGTACTATACTATACTATATGATGTGTTTATAATATTTACTTTCATATACACCTTCCAATGATTCATTCATTCATTCATCCAATCTAATAAAATACAGATCTCTGACTTCGTTTTGCTACCGAAGGTCGGTGATCTCTCCGGGCACTCCGGCCTCCTCCAGCAATAAAAACTGACCGCCATGAAAGTGGCTTTAAACACCAATCAATCAAATCTGATTTCTTTGCCCTCATATGAGCATGCGAGTTGTGATAGATCTGAATTTTAATCAGATTGTCATTAATGCATTTATTCATTTATTGACGGACAGTTAGAAAACGACTTTAGTCTATACCAATCTGCACGAATTGATAATGCATGCAACTCCGCCACATTTTCTAGTACTATACATACTGTGTACTAGTACTTATGCGGGATTCACATTTGAACACGTAAAATATCTGTGCGTGGGACATACATCTGTTTGTTCCTATTTTAGTGTGAATAAAAGTTGGTTTCGCTATCCGGCATATTATCGTCACGATATCTACACCCTATACAACCCAAGTGGCCACTTACCCTGTGACATCAGTGGCGTAGCACAAGCTTTCCATTATAAGCATGTGCTTCAGTACAAATAATTTTATAGAACTTTTTTTTTTCAATAAGAATTTTGCTATAATCGTTCAGCCTTCCCGCTGCTTACAATTTATTTTCCAGGAATAAGTTATGACATTTGATAGTTTCTGTTAAAATTCACAATTTTTCAGCCTCGGTTTGATTTCGAGCTTGATATTTTGTTGAGGAACCTTGCTGAAGACAGTATGTTACATCTGTTATTTCCTCTATTAGAGCGTTTGCTGGAGACCGAGCGCGTTTGATTCAGGCAATTGCAATTTTAGGGATGTTCACTGTTCATCGGGGGGCTGAAATCACAGTGTCACGGCTCAAAGAAGAGGGTGGTAAAGGGTTATTTTTCGTGCAACGTGATCGCCGTTTTTTATTTGACGTTCAACGTGTTTTTACTTTTTTATTTGACGTTCAGTGGTGCAAGACAGGTGCCTCGTTCAACGTGTTCTGCTTATTTAATTTTACGTGCATCGCGATTTTCAAATGCTTATTTTGCGTGCTCGGTATTTTTCAAATAAAAGCGTCAGCACCTGCTTCATTTCAGCATATGCTCACTCATGTGTTACATGGTCTCAATTACCAAATGGCTTTAGTATATGTAGATGACATTCTGGTATTCAGTAGAAACTTTGAGGAACATATGAGACATCTGCAGTTGGTTTTTGATAGACTCCTATCAGCAGGCTTAACTCTGAAGCCAAGCAAATGTGACTTTGCTCAAAAAGAGGTTCTTTACCTTGGCCACAAAATTTCAAGGGAAGGTGTCAAGGTTGATCAGTCTAAGGTTGAAGCTGTCAAATCTTTCCCAGTACCAAAAACAGAGACACAGGTCAGAAGCTTTCTAGGTCTCTGTAACTACTATCGCAAGTTCATTAAATACTTTGCATACATAGCCAAGCCCCTTACAAATCTCACAAAGAAGGATGTTCCATTTGAGTGGTCAGAAAAATGTCAAAAATTTTTTGACATGCTTAAAGATGCACTCTGTTCACCTCCTATACTTGCCTATCCGGACTTAACTAAACCTTTCATTCTCACTACAGATGCAACAACATGAACAAGAGAGTGGGCATCAATATCTAACCAGAATACAACAACTTGCCGTAGGAGCAGCCGAATTGCCAGAAAGTGCCGTGATAGAATTAGCTATCAATGGCATGTCACAGAACTTAAGGCCACATGTGATCTCAAGAGATCCAAAAACATTCAATGCACTAAGGCAATCAGTAGAAATTGCAAATAACATAATAAGTTGTAATCCTTTTGAGAGACAAGCTCAAAATAATTATTGTTCACAAAATGTATCACATAACCATGCTAATCCAACTCCTAACTTTAGTGTTAAAGATATTTCCGCTTTATGTTCTTCCTTAGCTGAATCATTTAAAAGTGTTGTCAGGCAAGAAGTGATGTCCATGCAGCCTAAGCCACAGGTACAGGAAAGACAAAATCTGCAATATGAGAGAAGAGAGAGACAGAGTGACATGCAGGGGATGTGGTAAGTTCTGTAAGATAAGAAGACAATGTCCAGCTTTTAAGGTTAAATGTTTTCATTGTGACAGAATTGGTCACTACAAAGAGGTGTGCGAACAAAAAATGAGGGAAATTCAAAACCCTAACCGCTCAGGTAATCATGGTAATGGTTACTAGGGAAACGCGCCTATCCAGAGTATGGATAGGCACATTATTCGTAAATGTGTCAAATCAGCCCCAAACATCAACAACACCCAGATCTCTAAAAGTAATCGAAGTGCAAAAATTTTGCAATTAGTTCATTTAAATGGAAATTCTGTTCTAGCAAGCATAAACAGCAATTTGGTCAGCTGTTTAGTGGACAGTGGTGCTTCAGTCAGCTTAACAGTTTGAAGATTTACTTGATTTACTCCAACATTGCCTTGAATAATGTCCGAATTTGTTGCAATTGAAGCATTGCTTATCTATTGCTGAACATGTTCCAAAGCGATGATTTTGTAATCCACATCTGACACACATTGGATTTTGACGGGAATAAAATGTCCACGTGCTCCATTGAGGTCGAAAACTATATTCCATCGCTGAATAAACTGAGATGATGGGAACTAGCGATCGAACTGTCACTTGCTGCTTGAGATACTGGTACCGTGTGTCGAACTAAAAAGTCGACACGCCTCTGGGTTTCCTCCACCATTAATGTAACCGGGAGACTGGCTACTAGATTGATGGTGATAACGAGCTGCAACCCACGACCGGTTGCAGACGTTGGCGATGCCAACGATAGACAATGACTAGGAACTAGTCACTTGCCTGAGAATACTCGCTTGAACTCCACTTGTAGAATTAGACACAAGTTCTATGCAGTAGTTAACAATTTATTGATTCAGGATGGAATACATGTACTTTTACAAATGAGCGGATGTTGTCAGTACGAATGCCCGACTCTCATTGAAGTAAGGACTTCAGAAAACATATTTAAATCAAGAATTTACAAGGTTACAATTTCATCATAGAAACGAGATTACCGAATGACAATGAAATAATACAATAAGCACTTAAAGGATTAACAAAAGAATATAACAAAAATCTGTCGTTTGAGTTTTAGGCTAAATAACGGTAATTGAAATGACTAAAGGATTATTTATTCTTTACATAAGAAAACCTAAGAACTATACAAAGCTGTGACTTTATCTATTATTTACAAATAGAATTATCTTGAAACAAATTTCCGACTTTGTAAAAATATACTGACACTTAATTGTTACTTATAACACAAAAAGCTTTATAAAGAAAAATCGTTACATGTTAATAAAATTACTTTGACGGACAAATATTGCATATAAAATGATTTCGATAGAATAATAATTAGTATAACAATATAATGACATTTTATGACCGAACAGTTTGTCTGTGAGAGTCCAAAGATATCAGATTTAAGAAATCTAATCCTTTTAAATAGTTTCAAATAAAGATGCATAATTTACACAAATTATCGCTATCACATATACAAGAAGACAGTGACTCAGTCACAAAAGGTTCACATCAAAGTCTTTATTTATCGTGCAACGTTCATGACAGAAATTATTTCACGTTCAACGTGAAATTATGTCTTATTTCACATTTTTTCCGTGCATGCACCCCCCATTACCACCCTCAAAGAAGGGCAAAGGGATGGTATGAGTATTCAAAGTTGGATTTTATGCCGGATTATATATAACGTTTATATCATGCCATGGAATAACAATCAAGTTTTAACATTGAAACTTCGAATTATACTGATTCATAAAAGATATTAAAAAATTAAGGCGACGTTATATAAATGCATTTCCAAATATTCCAATTTGTAAAGTTTGATTGATTATCCTTTGCTCAAGCTGAACAGGGTTTTTTGCCTAATACATCAGTAGAAACCGTACTCGACTCTGTGATTACTTCTTCGACGAGTAATTAAGCGAGTGAATTTTAATCAGATTGAACTTATAATCGGCGCAAATAAAACGGAGATGGAAGGACGGACGAACACCGAGTATTTCAACTCCCGTCCCCAAACTGTATGTCGTTTGTACAAATTAAAAGATGTATGGAATGATTGCATATTTGCACTTACTTTTTTAGAAGTGGTTGTCGCCCTTGTTGTCATAGTCAGAAATAAACACATTTTGCCGCCGTTTTATGAATAACATTTAATTTTTCTTTTAAATAGGCAATGATTTACGATGGGTGTTTTTAAAGATTACTGTAAAAATGAAAGCCGTCGCTATAATAAATTTTACACAAACACGTATCGGATTATATAGAGTTGGGCGCACATATTCGCCGGGAACACAATTTCGCCGTTTTATGATTTTGAGGTGTAGAAACTTCAAAGGATTGCTGAAATGGAAGAAATATGCCAGTAAATTATATTTTTATAACAAATATGACTATTTTTTAAACTTGGAAAAAATTTCGGCACTTACCGTAAAGGACCGAAAAACGGACAACGATTTTCGGCCAATTTCCTGAACGAAAAAAAAGATTTCAAAGTATTTCTTAGTAATTCTTTGACTAATTGCCCAAAATTTCAGTTCTTTACACCTTTGAAATGTCTGCTATTCATCTATTATGAAATTGATTTGATAAATATTGTTTAAAGCTGCAGTTATTTGGTTTTAGATAGATGTGTAAAAACGGCGAATATGTGTCCCCCTATGACAAAACATCAGGAAATTTGAAATAGCCTTTAATCTAACTTTTCAGATGAATTTTTTCAGAGAAACACGTTTTCAAGCTAAGAATATTTTGCTTTTGATGTTATCTTCATATAGAAATATCAGTATACTTCAAAAACTTAAAGGTCTGAACATAAACTGCAGAAAGCGTGGAAAATTATGGCAAAAATGAGCACCCCACTCTATATTTTTTTTATTATTAATATCAGAGACATATATAATTATATGAATAATATAAAGAGATGTGGGGGTCTACATCAATGAGACAGCAGCCAAACGACACAAAAACCAAACTCTTAACAGATCTTTTTATTTTTTTAGTATCAACACACAGGCACTTGTCTCTGAAAAAAACCCCTATATATACTTTACATGATATAACTGTTATATTAAAGTATATATGTATTTTTTTTTCAGAGACAAGTGCCTGTGTATCAACAACCGATTCTCATCGCTTAAACTCGTGTTTTATTTGTGAGTAACATCATTTCTCTTTGTCCGCTAGCAACGTAACGCGGATAACTAAGAAGAGTGATGGTTTGTAGTAACAGGCGATCTGATTAAAATTCAGATCTATCTTAACTCGCGTGCTCATAAGCTCATATATGATGATAACGAAATCAGAGATCTATATTTTAATCAAATTGGAGGATCAGTAACCGTTATGACTGTGGATGGACTGAAAGAGGATTGTAATTTTAACAACTAAGGAAAGTTTAGGGTAAATACGAGTCACACTGTGTAAATGGGGTCCCCAATTTTCCTTCCTTTTTTCAAGGTGACTCATATAAAACAAAGTTCATTTATTTGTTGCTTGTGGGGTTAGAACTATGGCATCCAGTTAACTGCGAGTATACTCATAGATCGGTACTTTAAAACTCCGAAACAGTGATGACATAATGCTACGCTTGTTTACAGAGAAAGAGAAGTATGACCCGAACGATAGCGCTGTATAAGTTTGCGGTACTTTGTGTCCTTTGTATTACTGGTTGTTGCGGTTGTGCTTAGGGGGCGAAAGATGAAAATATATCATCAATTCAGGAAATTATCATCCCTCCACCCCGAATATCAAATGGCCGTCCCTTTAATATGATCGATCTGATGAGTCGAGCCATTTCCACTGATTGGTTTTTACATTGTATACACTCTTGTCGCAGGTAACGAAATGGTTGAGCACTCACAAACATGTTTGACTCCATCAAAATTTTGTATATGCCTTTCCAAAATCAGGAAACCTGTAATACAGTGGTTGTTTTTGGTTGCCCTCTGCCATAATTGTTTTTAGCGGCATAACACAGGCCGTTTGTTTCTCATTTTTCATGCCGGAGCCTTCTATATAGCTTACTATACGGTATTGGTTTTGTTCAATGTTGAAGGCCGTATGGTTACCTATAGTAGTCTATTTTATTTTTATATTTGTTTAAATTTTCTATTTTAAAAGAATAATCGTAACCATCGTACTTTCGTTTTAATTTGACTCGTCTCACTATTTTTAATATGTACCACCCTTGATAAGTATTTAGTATGACGATAAATTTTCACTTCTGTACTCGAACTCTGAACAGGTTAGAGTTATCCCTACCTGTAACGTCTATGTTATATAGGCACATACGTTCTAATATTGTATCTATATTGTGTCATATATCAAACTTATTCGTTCGGCGTATGTTTACTTGTTTTTGTTTAAATGTCTTTTTGATCGAGTTAAGCCATTTCAATTGATATTTTATAGTGCGTCTTTTTATGTTGTAATGTTACACTACTGTCTCAGGTTAGAGTGAAGGTTGGCGCCTGTTAAAACGTTTCAACCCGCTGCATTTTCATGCACCTGTCCTAAGTCAGGAGCCTGTTTGTTGGTGTGGTAGGTGTTTCTCGTTTTTTAAATAGATTAGACCGTTGGTTTTCCTGTTTGAATTGTTTTACACTAGTCATTTTGGGGCCCTTTATAGCTTGCTGTTCGGTGTGAACCAAGGCTCCGTGTTGAAGGCCGAACTTTGACCTATAATTGTTAACTTTTTATACATTGTGACTTGAATGGAGAGTTGTCTCATTGGCACTCACACCACGTCTTCTTATTTACATTAAGCCAGGTGTCGCAGTGGTTGAACATATCAATAAAACGTAAGTGAAAGAACATGAGAGGAGGAAAGAGGGCATTTGCTATCAGCATCATCACCGCCACCACTCTCAGACTTTTGTCGCAAAACTCAAAAATACAAAAGGATAACAGGAAGAACAAAAAATAATGGACAGTACAACATACCACATCAACCACCAACACAGAACCTCCGAAAAAAAATAAGCGTTTAAAAAAACAACGAACAACACAAAGTTGGTTAACAATATGTAAGATGTTTGTGTATTTGAATCTCCTAAAATCTACTAATTTTAATGGTTGAACAAATATAAAAAAGATGATGTGGTATGATTGCCAATGAGACAACTCTCCACAAGAGACCAAATGACACAGAAATTAACAACTATAGGTCACCGTACGGCCTTCAACAAGGAGCAAAGCCCATACCGCACAGTCAGCTACAAAAGGCCCCGAAATGACAATGTAAAACAATTCAAACGAGAAAACTAACGGTCTAATTTATGTACAAAAAATGAACGAAAAACAAATATGTAACACATAAACAAACGACAACCACTCAATTACAGGCTCCTGACTTGGGACAGGCACATACATACAGAATGTGGCGGGGTTAAACATGTTAGCGAAATCCCAACACTCCCCCTAACCTGGGACAGTGGTGTAACAGTACAACATAAGAACGAACTATAAAAATCAGTTGAAAGAGGCTTAACTCATCAGATGGATAAAAATACAAATAATACAAATACAAGTGGACGTGGCCGGGTACTTGTACATACAAACAACAAAAAGACACTAAGTACAGATCTGAAAGTACTCGCAGTTACTGACAGCTAGTTCAAAGCCACTAACAACTAATAAAAAAATCATGCATCTAAGACTAAATTATCAATCCGTACACATCCAACATCCAATGGATTTAGTGTAAAGACGTCATAAACAGTCAGAAAAAACATGACCTTGTGCAATGCCAAGATACAAGTATCGACAGATTGCAGATCCATGAATGTGTATATGTATATAAAAATAATATTTAGTTTGCTTTTAATTTACTGATAACAAAATCAATATTAGTACCAATAAAAACAATATTTAATGATATAATTACAGTGTTGAATTGGTAACCTTTTAGAATAAGTTTATTTAAAGGATCGATAAGTTTACCAGGATCGTTTCTAAATATCCGGGCACGGTAAACAATATTGCCGTAAAAATGAGGATGTGCAATCCCGTTTAAAATAATTTTTCTACAGGTACAACCAAACTTCAAAACCAAATCTTTATATCTGTGGAAGAATTTAGTAAAGGTTTTAAGTAATTTGTGGTAACGAAATCCCTGGCTTAATCTGAATAATTTACCAGTAATACAAAGATTACGTTCGTTAAAATCAAAAACGTCACAACAGACACGGGCATAGCGAACGACTCGGTTGTGAAATATAAACACCGTAAGATGGTGCCAAAGGAACACCACCATCCAAAAATAAATAAATTTGGTGTATTTACTGTCTTCTGATTGGTTAAAAGTATTACCTTTATTTTCAATGTTGTCAATTTTTATGGCGACACGCCCACTCTGACGTTGTGTATTCATACGCCAACATGTGTGTACGTTGTTATTGTTAATATTAATAATATAAAAAGCTCTTTGAGCCTTATTTTTGAAAGAAATTTATTTATAATGAATGGCTATTATTTATTTTGAATTTATTGAACCATAAAATTAATTTTTGACTCTTCACATTTTACATAATCCGCTTCGCGGATTATTCAATGTGAAGAGTCAAAACAATAAATTCAAAATAAATAATAGCCATTCATTAAAGGGAAAATTAACAATAGGGAACGAAAAATCGTCCCTTTTGTCGTAAATTTTAGTGTGGAGTTTCCTGTGTAAAACCGAAATATCTAAATCTAGGAAAGAACAGTTGTTACCGTTTAAATTTGATTTATTTAAAGTAAGTTCCTTTGGGTAAATTTCGGCAGTATTTTGAACAGCATAGAAAAAAATGATTTCCCCTAAACTCTATAAATGGGGACCAATATATACACCTTCCACCTCCCAACAAGAGACGGGACGGATATCTAGACTAGTTATTAATTTTTTTGCTTGACTTTGAAAGGAGACCATAATTTCGATTTTATTTTTCTGCATTCTCTAATTTATTCGTTGCACGGAAAATAAGTACCCGATATTCTCTTACAGTTATGCATTGTTTATATGATAACACAATTATAATTTGTCTTTTGGTAGCTGTAAGCAATTCAACAATTAAGATTAGACCACACTTGTTTCTCGTTTACGCACTCCAATTGATTTTTTGTGTGTGTGAAGACGTGTTGTTAAGTTTAAAAGAAAATGGACCTTAACACACTATATACTAAAAAATCCAATGAGTAAGTCTCGAATTCTGCAGGGTTTCTTTTATAATATACGGCCCGTCACCACTTTGCAGTTAAGTTGTCATATATATTCAATTGTAGACAATATGGATCAAATATGATGGCGGTTAATGGCATCAAATATTTTGAGGAACTCTCCTTTAGCAACGTTGACGTCACTCTACTGTCGAGAAGATGAAAACAAGGTCCGGTCAAATATGGACAAGGACGACGAAGATTCCATCGATTCGTAAGTTATACAAAAACACAAAGCAGTCCTCCCTTTTGTTGAACTAAAACGCTTTTGAGACATAACTTCTTGGCCATAGTTGACTTTATAGAACTGAAGACCTTGTTCTTGAGGATTTTGTAAAAGAATAGTTTGGTCTGGTAAGAACTAAAAAAATAACCTTGACCAAAACAGATGAAAAAGAAATACTTTGCCTAACAAAATTCAGGAAACATTGTGCACAAAATTGAAAAAGTAAAAATTAATTTTCGCAAGCCGCACAGAAAATATGAACGAGACCAGTACAACAGTGGAGATGGCAGTAAGATTAATTCAATTCAGTGATTACTATTAAAAAAAAATGTCATTACTTATGCTAGATTGAAAGAAAATAATATATAACAGAATAGAATTCTTTATACAAACCAAACAGGAGGTGATACTTTTTTTCACTTGAAATATTTGTATATTTTTCGTTAACAAATCTATTCTGAAATAAAGCTAGAGAGTGTTTTTTTTCATTACCGACTCCAACCTTGACTTAGATTTGTTTAATTCTTCTTATCACATAAGAGATTTTGTTTCTGGGAATGTTTAATTGTTTAAGAAAAAAAAAAATTTCATATCCAACACGTTTTTTCCTAAGTTATACACTTTCTTCTAACCTGCAAAAGTATGGAAGAATCAACACCATCTACATATTACAAAAAAATTGATTTGTAAATTTTCAAAAAGAAATTTTCAGCTGACATCTCTTCTTTTTTGTGTCTGATCATAGCCGAAAAGTGGCTTACAGTACACAAACGTCACTACCGTACAACAAAACAGGTTTAATCGTAAGATAACAAAAACAAAATTAAAGCATTTTATTAATAATGAAAATGGGCGTTTTGATGAAAAAACAATACATAGATATGTATATAAGCTGGAACACTGAACAAGATCCAATTTATACTATTATATATTATATTATATAGGATTTTAACCGAAATTGAAACATCATTGCAATCGACCTACCCAGAAACTGGTGAGAATGAAAATCAGGTAAACATACATACCTTTTAATTATTTGTGTCGTTGGGTTGATGTATCATTGGAGTCGCCCAAATATCATTGATGAGGACTTGAATTGTGTCCATCTCTGAACAGCTGAACAAAGGCGATGGAGATAAGGTCCGCAGCAAATCGACCCGAGGCAACAGTAGACTCGCGGCAATTCCCCAAATCCTGTCTGAAGACACCCCAAGCCTTCCTAAAATGTTCTCTACGGGTCGCAAAGAGTTCAATACCAGTTCGTAAAATTATGATGTAGTCTGCATTTTCATGGTGAACACATGCGTACCAGTAGAGGCTTACCATGTCGACGCACCCGGTCTCGCTATTCGTTTGGAGTTTATGCGATTTCCTCAATATTTTGTTTATCTTGGTTTGTACATTCAAAATGGATTCACACGAGATTTGAAAATCGGACCCGGTCTCGCTACATTTGAAGTTAGTAAGTGCAATTTCCTTAAATTTGTTTTATCTTGGTTTGTACATTCAAAAAATTCATGAGATTTGAAAATCGATAAGATATTGATGCCTCAACCAAAGACGTTCTTGAGCGGAGACAATATGTGCAGATTTGATAATTAAAAAATCGTATTTCCAATAATACATCCTTAGACATTTGCCTCTATCTTGTATACTACATATTGCTTGGACCTTTCTAAGAATCACGACTCTCTATTAACAGTTTTACTTTGATGTGAACGAAGACAGCTCGCTCTTCTGAAGCACTGTACAATGTATTCACCTTTGTTAGTTTTCTTTACCGAATTTATATGAATTTTGTTTTTCCTTTTTTGCGGTTCTGTTTATCTTATCTATTTGTTCCTTCTGTATAAAATAAGAAGATGTGGTATGATTACCAAATGAGACAACTCTCCAACAGAGACCAAATGTCGTAGAATGAGCTAGCAAGTATATGATGAACGTACGGCCTTCAAAAAAACCCATACCGCATATCAAGCTATAAAAGGGCCCGAAGTGACAAATGTAAAACAATTCAAATGAGAAAACTAAGTGGTCTAGTGATTTGACTACATCTTTACAACCTAGATATTTGTGTAACTCTTCCTTAATTGGACGTGTTTCTTAAGTCATATTCATTTATTCACTCTTCAGACTTTCCAATGTCATTGAGAAATGCACCATGCAATGTACGATTAAGATATAGATTTGAATGTTTCAGTATTGACACCTGATCTTTTTCTTAATAAATGTATGTCCAATACTAAATAACTTGAATGTGTTTTTATCTATCTAGGTATTAAGTGCTTACTATGAAGATCTACGCACAGTCGGATATGGACGAAAGGACGATGCGTCTTTCATATTAACTTATAACAATCCATTTGACCCACGACTGTAAGTTACCATTTTTACATCCTTCTGAATACTCAAAATTCTTTTCATGAAGAGCAAGCATTTCAAGAAATCTTAAAGGTAACAGGTATCTCACGGGTTTTTATGAAATTTTGCAAGCAACTAGACCCGGTTGAAGTGGTACTTCATATGAATATGAAAAAATGTAAATAACTTTTAAACTTTTGGAGATAAAGAAAATTGATATGCTACAGAAAGAAGTATAGATCTATAGGATGCACGAACTTGAATATCGCAAAAAAAATGAACAATTTAACTTTAAATTACTTGTTTTTTTAAAACGTGTCCTACAAATTTTCTTTGCAATTTATAAGTTAATGTCACCAAAATTTATGTTTTAAAACTGTGTTTGCTGTATTACTCATTCTACAAGTGTCTCTGTAATATCTAAAACGTCGACAAATACGATGCCGAGTCACGACGTCACGATTTCTATATATTCAGGGCTTTTCGCCGCTTTTTCCACGCTGTACAGCAGATGCTAATTCATACACAAAAAACGAATTCAGCAACTCCTTATAACTTATATATCAATAAAACGCAAATTTCAGTAGCCGAAAAACCTATAATTGTGTAAGGAAAATTCGTACGCCAAGATTTCTAGAAATATTAATTTCAAGTCAAAATTGCTGAACTTTTTAACGATATTTTTGTGGATTTCATACATTTGTACTGCTATTCTCCGGTCGGATATTTAATTTACTATATCTCAGAAAGTATAGAAGTCACACACATATATATATATATACACTTCAATTGTGGCCCTCAAACATTTTCGGACAAAAAATTTATCCCAAATCCAAAAATGATCATTGTCCAATAAGACATTATGTTTTCAGGACCTTTCATGGACTCGGGGAGCATGTTCACTGCCCAGATGTCAAAGATGAGAAATACAAAGCAGAACTGACAGAGAATGTCTTTCTTGCTTTAGACCAACCTAGTCAGCTTATGGACAAATACTTGAACGGATATAGGGCTTATGTTCGGGGATTAAGTGGTTCTCCTGGGTCTGGAGACTGGGCGGACAGAAGTATAGAATGCAAGAGGTTATATGAAAGGATTTCCTCAGACGCTGTCAAGTCAATATGGTCTGAAAACACAGAAAAAACAAAAAATCCTACCAATAGTACTGTTGCAAATAAATTTGACAACGCTTCTGTCACTCAGACTAACCAGCATTGTCGACCAAAGACCACAAAAACTAGACTAACAATGAGACAGAAGAAAGATTCCGGCAACTTTACAAGAAATGTAGCATATGCAGACACAGGAATACCTGGAAAATTAATTGAAGGTTGTGTATCAACCGAAGATGAACATAAAAGTCAAAGCAATGCAGGAAAAAATGGTGATAAAAAAAGAACCAATCAACCATCCAAATTCGGTATTAAAGACACTATGTATGAACATTCAAAAACATTAAAACCTATTGTTCAAGATCAGAGAGAGTAAGTTTTTTTTACAGTTCAATAAGTATTTTTCAATCTTTTATTCGTAATTTATATTACATTTGCTAGCAAGTTACAAAAGCTAATACGTATTTTTGTTTTAAATAGATGCGTACCGAACATCATGCATCTTGTTCTTGTCCACGTAATTTTAGCCGTGATAACCAATGTTATGACTGAGAGCTGAGCAGAGTGATACCATAGGTACTTGGGGACACGACAATTTTTTTAGCCCTCCCCCTCCAAAATCCGTTATTTTTATGCCCCACCTACGGTAGTAGAGGGGTATTATGTTTTTCGGTCTGTGCGTCCGTTCGACCGTCTATCCCGCTTCAGGTTAAAGTTTTTGGTCAAGGTAGTTTTTGATGAAGCTGAAGTCCAATCAACTTGAAACTTAGTACTCATGTTCCCTATGATATGATCTTTCTAATGTTAATGCCAAATTAGAGTTTTTATCACAATTTCACGGTCCACTGAACATAGAAAATGATAGCGCGAGTGGGCAGGTTTAAGTTTTTGGTCAAAGTAGTTTTTTAATGAAGTTGAAGTCCACATGTTCCCTATGATATGATCTTTCTAATTTTAATGCCAAATTAGTGTTTTGAACCCAATTTCACGGTCCACTGAACCTAGAAAATGATAGTGTGAGTGGGACATTCGTGTACTATGGACACATTCTTGTTTTGTTTTCTATTAATTTCAATTATTTTCACGTTTTTCTGTATACTATGAACATCAATATACTATATAAATAACTTGTATTTGCTATTTACTTTACCTAATTTATATGAATTTTGTTTTTCCTTGTTTTGACTGATTCTATCCACTAAAACTCATTCTTATACAGGTAAAAACGATGATTAACATATTTGTTTAACCTATAATATGAAATCAAACAGACCTAGAAAAATCCAATTGCACGAGTTCATTATCTATTTATATCTATATTTATGTTTATATCAGGTTAAAAAACCGTCGGCAATCTTCGTAGGTCACCTCAATGGTTAATTAGATGGCGTCTAGACTAAAATACACACGAAATGCTGATACATATTATCGTGTTCATGCATCGTAAATTGTTTATTTTAGACTTTTTATAATTTGGATATACGTTAGTATGTTATAAGTCGAATATGAGAATTTGAGTCAAATCGGTGAACATGAATTTGACAGCTAATGCCCCTTCAACGGAATAGAGAGTATAGAATATTTGTTGCAATTGGAACAGATTGTCTAGCATTGTTTATAACAAAGTTTCCAGGGGAACTTCTGGTGGGAGGAAGAAATATACGTTGACAGTGTGTCATACATTATAAGAATGGTGTTTGTCATACAATATAAAAATAGGATTTATGCATGTGCAATTTGTGTCTTATCGGTAACTGAAGCTGCCAGTTTTAATGTTTACAGATTGACAAACAGTTGGGCTGGTTTGTTTAAGAAAGGAAGCAACCAAACATCAAATAACAGCACTGGATCAAATATAGAAGATGAAGAAATACAAAGGTATGTTGTCTGGAGAAAAGTATGTCTCATTTATTAATTGTTCACTCACAGCTGTTTGGAACTTCATTGCAATTAGTCCTTACCTTTGATATTAACTGCCAGTTAAGAGTACCAGTTATTTTCTCCCCCATTAATTACTGGTTTCGAGCATATCAGTAAATTTAAATAAAATGTTCTTTCTGAAATAGAGCTGATGTAAAGACATCAATTCGAACAGTTTTCACTAGAAATTCAGATTTCTGTTGCCCTCGGTCCAATAGCATGTCTTTTGTTGTAGTATGTTCATTGATTATGATAAGAGATTGAAACAGAGGGAGTTAAGTATTAAAAAAAAATTGTTTAACCTCATCACATGTGCTTGTTTGACAGAAAGTTTGTCAGATGTTGAATGTTATTGTATCTCGATGATTTTATCCTTTAAAGAATAAATCTATGTATTCGCAACTATTTTTTTTTGTAAGATTGATGTCTCCTTATACACTTTGACATGTTCCCCTACATCTCCATTTTTAGTCATAATACATTCTTACAATACAGTATTTGATATTTCAGAATAGATGGCATGCATGATGGTACTGAAAACAAGATTGAAACACACGAGACAACAAAGGCTATTTCCTATGGACCTAATATCAATAATGACAACTATAACCGTCAACAGAACATAAAGAACAACACGGTATCTATTGAAAAAAAAACGCCTTTTTTACAGAATAGTGTATCTTTTTATAAGACCGAAGACCAAGTTCAGTGTGTTTGAACAAAGAAAAGTTGTTGGCATAACTTTCATGTTTGTGTGATTTTGTAAATGACAAGTTTATACCACAATATCAGGTTCATAAGTGAAACAAGAATCCTAAGAAATACTATAAAATAAACATACATGCTGTTCTTTATTTTGAAATCCAATAATTCAGTAACTGCAAGCTAGAGCATCAACTAAACTAGTACATTTGTATGTGTATGTGTGTTAAGTTTTAACATATAGTCAAAACAATAAATTATTCCGTTTTTTCCTTTCAGAATCTAATCTATACACATGTACAAAACCCTATCCTGCCAAATCCTTATCATAGGAATAATGAATTCCAAGGACTTCAGCCTCAATCACAAGATCAAAATTCCTGGTCACATCAAAGTTTCAGACCAGATCATTATACCACAACTTATCCAACAAGCCAACTATGGACAGATCAGAACCAACCAAGTCAGCAGCAACAACTATGGCATGACCAAAACTCCTACCAACAATTACCAAACAACCATAACACATCAACAAAAATTCAACCTCCACCAGGATTTAATCAACAGCTGGTACATCAACCAGGGCTGGTAAATCAAAGAACCAATTTTCAAACTGATCTTCAACCAACAGGAATGTACCAAAATGTACAGGATGTCAGTGAACAACAATCCTTTTTATATAACTTGCAACAATTTGTCCAGCAACCACCAACCCAAATACAGAACCCAATAAACAGGTACCAATATTTTCCAGGACAGCAGAAACCTCAGTTTATGTACAACGGCAACTGGAATGCCAACAATAACAACGCAGATGATGATGAAATCAGTAATACTGTGCACTACAGTAGTACGGAAACAATGGGAGAGGAAATATATAGAAAAGAACATAGGGACAGGCCTAGATGCAAGACCAGAAATATTCGAGCCAACTTGATAAGAATATATCCCTCTAAAAACAAGTAGGCACAAAGGACACAAAGGGAGGAGAAGAGGCGGTGTTTTTTAAACATTCAAAATACCATCTAAGATTTATTTGGCATATGGTTCTTGCCATTTTGCTTCAAAAGACTATGAACTCAAAATACGAATCTACTTATATTTTATTTTCATACGTTTATATGTTAAGACTTGTTTTGTTTTTTTCATTAAATCTTTAAAAAGTATGGTATTATTGTAGATCTCTTGAGCATTCACCCATTCTGTCTTACAAAATTACCAAATTAACTAATCAACCACGTTTGTTTGTGGTCTTGTTAGTTAATCATAAAAAGAAAGTAAAAGTAAATGACAAATTAAAAATGATAAAAAATTAAGTGAGATGATGAACAATGACCTCTCACTAGAACATTCAGCCCACTCAAAATGAAAACAACAAATTCTGTTTCAAATATTTATGTTGAGATTTTATAAACATTGTGTAAAATAATGCATTTATATTATTGTCATAGCATACAACATTTCTTAACCCTTTCCCTTTCACACCGGTACAGCTTACCGGTGAAGCAAATTTTAAGATATTTTTTGGGCATTTAGTCTTGTTCCATCGTCATTTGCTGACGTACAGATATGGGTAAGGGCTCAAATCAATCCTCAGGATACCAGCAATATGATTGAATGTGCATCAAACTTCTATCATTATCAGTTCATAGTAAATTCGCCTCTTACTGACATGTATTTATTCTGTAAAAACCTTTTTTTTTCTTCGAATCTTAAAGAATATTTTCAAAAAGAAGTGCATAGAAAACTATCCTTTTTGGGGGAATTATGACTTTTTTCAATAACTGTGCAGTGAGTTTTTGAAGAATGGTATTAAAATAATAGTTCTAACTTGTACACTAGTTAAAAATGTAATTTTTAGTGTACCAGCGCAAACACAAACTTGAAATGCGCTAAAAATCCGTAGTCATTTCTTAAAGATTTTATCGTAAAAGAGATAAAAATCACTGAAATGTCCTGAATTTTTTTAGCAAAGTTGAAATAGATGTAACAAAACATGGTTTCGTAAGTGTTTGGGTATGATAAAGTTGAAAACACTTTTGTTTAAATGAAGGAAAATGTATATGTCAATGGAAACAATACAGATTAAGAACTGGATTCCTGCTATATTTGCGCAAAAACCATGCATTTGGCCATTTGGCATCAAAATATATTATCTGAACACATAATTTCTAATAGAAAACAAGCTGGGTGAGGATCTTCATATGTTTTTTTTTTCACGTCTTGAGTAGTAGACTTAAGTACTTAAATTTCAATATATTCCTAACGATGCCGGTGGTGCAGGGGTATGCTGAACAAACCCAAGGCGGAAAGATCGCGTGTTCGATTCTCACTGCCGGAGGTTGAAAAATTATTTCCTATATTAAATGTAACTTAACTTAACTTTACTTTCAATTTCAAAAAGAAAAACCAACGAAATACTTATGTTTGTTTTTAAAAGAATGTGTGTGCCAAATTGCCCCCCCCCCCCCCTTTTGCCCCCATTTACTTCCTCGGGTTCGGTCCAGGGTACGCCACATCAAGTTATCATTAGTAATTCAATGAATTTTCCCTTAGAAAAACAAAATTTTGGTTACTGCTTGACTGAAATCGATTTAGACAAGAAAACTAGTGTCCGAGTTTGAAATTGGACGAAAAGAGCGTCTGAAATCAGTTATTTTGAATGTTACGGACATCGAGATTTCAAGGCATATAGCACGCATTTCCTCTTTTAATACCAATATGATAACTTGTATGTCTTTAACAGACTTGGGGCATTGTGTTTCCACCAAAACCTTACCCTATTAGCGCAACAATATGTCTCTACACGACTTTTGTCCCAAGGATTTCGTATTTTTTCACATTTTCTCCAAAAGTCACGTGACATTTCGAAACATCCCACGTGACCAAAAAAGGACGAATTATCTTTAAACGTAATTTTCTGAAATTTTTGATCAATTATCTTTCATATGAGCCCAACATGGCATGTGCATGACCATTGGTGCGAATGCAGTATTCAATTGAACTTTGATAGTGTCTTTTCGATAAGTAAAGGTCTAAAATGCCTGAAAGGGAAAGGGTTAATATTTTGCTTACACTTAGACTAGTGATAATGCTTTGGTTTACTCTAATTCAATTCAAACAAAACTGAAAAACCTTTTTGTGTTTTTTTATTTGCAATAAAGAAGGGGAAGTTAGGAAAATGCAGTGGGACAGAACATTTTAGGAAAATAAGGTCTCCTTAAAATCTTAGCAACAAAATTGAGACTAAGATTCTGAAATCAACAATTTTAACATGAGGACTTGTAAAAAAATAAAAAATAAATAAAATTGGACAGCTTTGTACAACTTAAGCAAATTTTAAATATTTTAAAAGAAATAATTACATCCATAAAAATAGATTTTATGACCATGTGTTTCACTTATACAAAAACAAAGATTGATGGATATAGAAGTACATATGATTCACTTATACAAAAACAAAGATTCATTGATATAGAAGTACATATGATTCACTTATACAAAAACAATGATTCATTGATAACAGTAAATATAGTCCGCACAACATAGGAAAATACAACAGTCAACAATAGTGGATGTAAACATGCCAATGAAGAAACACTCTCCATCTTGCAAGACAAATTGCACGCCATTATAGCTCAGGTTGACATCCCCAGAATGGATTTGATATCAACCTTCATACAGTCTTCAAGACAGAGTCTGTCATCTATCTGGCACAGCCACATGCACTATGATAACAAAGATATGTTTATTGTTTATGCACAACTACCAATATTTCTCAAAATCTTTTTCAATGCTCTGAAAATAAAAAAAAGAAGAATACAAATGTTTGCTAAATGAAAAAAAAGGAACATTACTGAAGTTATAACAGCTCTTATAAATGGACATCTGATCAAAGCTATATATGTCAAGATCATTTCCTGAATTAGGAAAATAATACAAATATTGATAGCAGTTTTACACAATTCAACATAGATAACAAATACAATGTAAGGAAGTTTTTGTTTTATTTGTGCTGTTTATACGAGGGTCTGGATGGGGTTTACAGAATAGAAAATATTGGACAAAAAGTGCAGAATAAATGGCAAAAAAATAAAGAATAGAGAATAATGCTGAAAAATAGTCATAAAAATTAAAGAACAAAGAAATGAAGGACCATCCAGACCACCTTATATACAAGACAAAGAAATGAAGGACCATCCAGACCACCTTATATACAAGACAAAGAAATGAAGGACCATCCAGACCACCTTATATACAAGACAAAGAAATGAAGGACCATCCAGACCACCTTATATACAAGACAAAGAAATGAAGGACCATCCAGAGATTCCAGACCACCTTATATACAAGACAAAGAAATGAAGGACCATCCAGAGATTCCAGACCACCTTATATACAAGACAAAGAAATGAAGGACCATCCAGAGATTCCAGACCACCTTATATACAAGACAAAGCAATGAAGGACCATCCAGAGATTCCAGACCACCTTATATACAAGACAAAGCAATGAAGGACCATCCAGAGATTCCAGACCACCTTATATACAAGACAAACAAATGAAGGACCATCCAGAGATTCCAGACCACCTTATATACAAGACAAAGAAATTCTAGTAAAATATCAATTTTTGACTTTTATCAATAAAAAATTGTAAAGGCTTCCTTCTCCTGTGACCGCTGCTGTAAGTGTAAGAGTGTAAAGTAGCACTCCACAGTTAGAAAAAAACATTAAAATTGAACCACAAAATGTTTTATCATCTTCAATCCCTGGCTTTCTAATACATTAACCTAACTGTTTGTGTTATACATGTGCATATGTATGTTATCAGTATCTTCCATAGATTTGATTTTTAAAAGTTAAAATGGTGAAAAATAATTCCTTTTTTGTGTATCCATGGCAACATTCTGCATTTATTTACCATAAAATACTGCAAAAAGGGGGGCAAAAATGTCACATATTCCCCCAAAATTTGGTTCAAACTAGAATTTCAATGCCTTTCAGTGATACCTTTTCAGAAACTGTTGATATAAATCTACCAAATGATCAAATAAAAAATGGGTGTCTTTCGCCTCATTTTTTCATAAAATTTAATTGCAAAGTTCGTGCGACAAAAAGTCGGAAAAAAACATTACAATAATTGCCGGACCAATATTTGGTATGGATATGAAAATACGGACTGTCATACAGAAAACAGCCCATATTACATACATTACATAATCTTGATGTTCCTATAAACCCACTATGAAGGCTATTTTAATCTTCAGCTATCCAAAAATGAATTTTATTCTACACTAGCTATCATATTTGAAAAATCCACAGGGGCCAAAATGCGAAACTACACACCTAACTGTGGAGTGCTACCTAATGTTCATGACTGCAAAAAACTAAAGTCTGATTATCAATAAAATACAGAAAGATCTATGGAAAAAAATGTAAATTTTGCTCAGGTGATCTCTTGCTTCTAACAAGGTTATTGTACACCTTTTTATCATTCCATACAATTAATATAGTTGACCATAAGCTTATAGTATATGAGAATCAGACCAAACCACAAAAACTTTACCAATGAACCATGAAAATGAGGTAAAGGTAAGATGAACCCTGCCAGACATCATACTATTATTTCATACACCAAATATACCTGACCTGCTGTTTAAAGTATAAGAGAAACAGATCTTATTACGAAAACTCAACCTTGATCACTGATCCATGAAGTAAGGTTGACATCTGGTGAACCCTGTCTGAAGGACATGTACACCTTGCAAGGATTTAATAAACCAAATACAGATATCATAAGTGGAAAAAATTTCTTGGACAAAAAAAAACTATACAGTTTTACATAAAGCAGTTGCTGAAATATGAAAATGAGGTCAAGGACAATGGACAAATAACAGATGTAAACTTTGTAACATAAGGCATCTATATATAAGGTATTCAGGTCTTCTACCTATTGAAATATATAGCTTTATACAAATAGTTTACATTGCAGATTAGCATCCCCTATGTCTCAGATTCTTCAACTTTTGTTGCAGCCAAGACAAAAACTTACGTTTGGTTCTGTATTTGGTGCATATCTTTTTACTGGTATTCCTTCTTTGTTCACTAGAAACTTTGTAAAATTCCATTTGATGAAACTGAAGCAAAAAAAGAAGAAAAAAGATGAATGCAATAGATTGTTTTATGATATTTTTTTCAGTTTGAGTTTTTACACAAAGGTTGGGCTTGATACTTACTCCCCAAATGTGCCTTTTTGTGTGTGTAAGATATTTACAACAAGAGGCTCTCAAGAACCTGAATCGCTCACCTGTAATTTTTGGCTGAAAATCTTTCATCAATGATTATTTTTGCTTTTCAATATTTATTAATGAGTGGCTTAAAAATGCCATTTAAATGTTCTTTGTATCTGTCATATTTTCTTCAAAAGCAAAAAAATGCATTTTACCCCTATGTTCCATTATAGCCATAGTGGCTATGTTTCTTGACGTGCAAGGATATAAAATACAAAATTTATACTAGATACTCTGATACTCATTCAGCCCTAGTTTGGCTCAAAAAAAATTAAAGTAAGGCAAGCAAATTAAACTAGAAGAACAAAGTGTGAAAAATTGTCTTTAAAGGGCAATAACTCCTTAAGAGGTCAATTGACAATTTTGGTCATATAAAACTTTTTTGTAGATCTTACTTCGCACCAAAAACTGCAAAATTTCCTTACAATAACCAATTTAGTGGCAGCAACCCAACAATGGGTTGTTCAGTTCGTCTGAAAATATCATGGCTAATAGATCTTGACTTATTGAACATTTTACCCAATGTCAGATTTGCTCTAAATGCTTTAGTTTTTGAGATATAAGCCAATAAAATGCTCCGTTGGGCACAGCTTGATACAACCGCAGAGGTCGAACCCTGAACAGTTGGGGCAAGTATGGACACAACATTCAAGCTTGATACAGCTCTGAATTTGGATTGTGATTAAATATTTGACACAGCATAGGTTTCTGACACAGAATGAATGTGGTCTAAGAACTTAAATTTTTTTAATTTACCTATTATGGTCCAATATCCAAAATCTAAATACATGGTTAGATTCAGCATATCAAAGAATCTAAAGAATTCAATTTTTGATGAAATCAAACAAAGTTTAATTTTGGACCCTTTTTGACCTCAATGTGGACCAATTTGATAACGGGCCCAAAAATCAAAATACATGGTTAGATTCAGCATATCAAAGAACCCCATATATTCAATTTTTGTTGAAATCAAACAAAGTTTTATTTTGGACCCCAACTTGGACCAACTTGAAAACTGGGCCCATAATAAAAATCTAAACACATGTTTAGATTCAGCATATCAAAGAACCCCAAGAATTCAATTTTTGTTAAAATCAAACTAAGTTTAATTTTGGACCCTTTGGACCTTAATGTAGACCAATTTAAAAAACGGGACCCAAAATTAAAAATCTAAATACACGGTTAGATTTGGCATATCAAAAACCCCAATAATTCAATTTTTGATGAAATCAAACAAAGTTTAGTTTTGGACCCTTTTGACCTCAATATGAACCAATTTGATAGCGGGGCCCACAAATAAAAATTCTAAATACATGGTTAGATTCAGCATTTCAAAGAACCCCATATATTCAATTTTTGTTGAAATCAAACAAAGTTTAATTTTGAACCCCAATTTGAACCAACTTGAAAAATGGGCCCAAAATCAAAAATCTAAATATATGTTTAGATTCAGCATATCAAAGAACCCCATATATTCAATTTTTGTTAAAAATCAAACTAAGTTTAATTTTGGACCCTTTGGACCTTAATGTAGTCCAATTTGAAAACTGGACCCAAAATTAATAAAATGCTCCGCTGGGGGCGCAGCTTGATACGACCGCAGAGGTCGAACCCTGAACAGTTGGGGCAAGTATGGACACAACATTCAAGCTTGATACAGCACTGAATTTGGATTGTAATTAAATATTTGACACAGCATAGGTTTCTGACACAGAATGAAAGTGGTCTGAGAACTTAAAAATTTTCAATTTACCTATTCATACATGTGATGGACTGTGAAACTCAGATCAGGAGATTGGGAAATTTTGGTCAGGAGATTAGGACTCAGATCAGGAGGTTTTTAATCGACATTAATTTTGTTGTAAATGTAACCGTGTGCTGTAAAAATGGTCTTTTAAAGTGTGTTTTCTTCAACTTTCCATCCAATTTATTATGTTTATAGTACCCTTGTACTTATAAAGTTTCTCCATCTTTATATTCTACATGTTCAATCTAACATTGTATTTTTCCAGTATGTTCTTTAAATTTTTTACTTCATATTCTATAAAACATTCATTGCAACCAGAACATTTGTTTAGCTATCTGCAAATAGTTTTTATTTTTTTTTTTCTCTTGCAAATAGTTTTTATTTGTAAACTCAGAAAATCATTTTATCTGTAAAATGAGGGTCATAGTTATTATATAAATTTCAATTTAAGCCTTGAAAGGAAGTCTAGAATCCTCAAATAATTTTCAAATTATTATTTTTTTATTTGTCCTAAGACATTTAAAATCATTTAATAACCATCCTTTTATGATTATTTGTTCAATTTATATTTTATTTATATTCTTTTAAAAATTTTCATTATTAAAAGGAAAGTAACTTAAAACAGGATAAATCAAGGGAAGTAACCCAATAAATACACAGTTTTTGTTACACAACGGCAGTTAGCCTGAGGTAAAAATCGTTGATTACCTGTATGTTTGACACCCAAGCTGACAAGTGAAGCCATATAATTATGCATGTTAATTGATTTACAGGTAAAATATAACTTCAGGTAATGTCAGTTACACCAGATGCCTGAGGTGATATGTTGGGCAGAAATTTTTCATTCATGAAAAATTTCATACACAGGATTTTTTCCTCTTCAACGGGAGGTCGGGAGGAGACCCCTGAAAACGGGATTATTGTACTCCCGTCGGGAGGTTCACATGTATGCCTATTCAAACCATATCATTATTATTTGCTTTTATATATAAATCAGAAATAACCAATTTAAAATGGAAAATGTTAAAGAAAAAAAAGGAAAAAAAAATCCCCCCCAATTTTTTGAACCCCCTTATGATTCATCACCCCCAAACTCAATCCCAGCTTTCCCTTTGTGGTATGGTACCTTGCAGTACAATTTCAGAGAGATTCATACACTTGAACACAAGTTATTGTCTGGAAACTAGAAAAATGCTTGTTTTTTGGCCCCTTTTTGGCCCCAAATTCCTAAACGTTTAGGGCAATTACCCCCAAACTCAATTCCAGCTTTCCCTTTGTGATATGGAACCTTGCAGTACAATTTCATAAAGATCCATACACTTACACACAAGTTATTGTCCTGAAACTAGAAAAATGCATGTTTTTTTTGCCCTTTTATGGCCCCTAATTACTAAAATTTTGAGGGAAAACCCCCAAAATCAATCCCAGCCTTCCCTTTGTGATATGGAACCTTGTAGTACAATTTCATAAAGATCCATACACTTACAAACAAGTTATTGTCATGAAACTAGAAAAATGCTTGTTTTTTGCCCCTTTTTGGCCCCTAATTCCTAAAATTTGGAGGAAATTACCCCAAAAATCAATCCCAGTATTCCCTTTGAGATATGGAACCTTGTAGTACAATTTCATAAAGATCCATACACTTACAAACAAGATATTGTCATGAAACTAGAAAAATGCTTGTTTTTTGCCCCTTTTTGGCCCCCAATTCCTAAAATTTGAAGGCAATTACCCCCAAAATCAATCCCAGCATTCCCTTTGTGATATGGAACCTTGTGGTACAATGTCAGAGAGATCCATACACTTACACACAAGTTATGTCTGTAAGTTACAAAAATGCTTATTTTTGGCCCCTTTTGGCCCCTAATTCCTTAACTGTTAGTACCATAACCCCCAAAATCAATCCCCACCTTCCTTTTGTGGTATTGAACCTTATGGTAAAATTTCATTGAGATCCATTCACTTAAACTAAAGTTAGAGTGCGAAAACTAATGTGTATTCGGACGACGACGCCGGACGACGACGACGCCGGCGACGACGACGACGACGACGCCAACGTCATACCAATATACGACCACAAAAATTTTTTTGCGGTCGTATAAAAATCTAAATACATGGTTAGATTCGGCATAACAAATTAATTAATGTGGTCAAAGATTTTACAAATCTAATGCGCAATACTGTGCAATTAAAGATTCCTTCTTGAAATTTTTCAATATTTGAAATTTGAAAAAAAATAATATTTGAAGAATAATTCTTTTTAATTTCTGAAATCTGAAATGAGAAAAAATTGACCCCCACAATTTCTTTTTAACCCCCCCCCCCCTTTTTCCCCAAAAAAATTCTTTCCCTCAAGATATGGTCATATTTCAATGGAGTTTGCAAACATAATTACCCATTTAAATTTACCATAGTGCTAACTTAATCTATTTTATAATAGAATTTAAAATATGGTGTCAAATCTTTCATATGGATTTTTTTGTAAAAAAAAAAAGATGCAACATTTGCAGATATTTTTACAGGTCTTCCTTTATAAATATGCATTTCTTTAAACATAATTTAAAAGCAGTGTAAGGGAAGTAATCAAAACGTTGTATTTGGATTACCTCCCTTACACTGTTTTAAATTGTCTTAATTGTTCATTAACCATTACTTAATACATAATTTAAAAGCAGTGTAAGGGAGGTAATTCAAATGATGTATTTGATTTATCTCCCTTACACTGCTTTAAATTATGTTTTGTACTAAAGTATTTGTCCATTAACCAGGACAACCGTGTTTTTCCCCCTTGTGCCCCTAATTCCTAAACAGTTTGAGCAATCACCCCCCAAAGCAAATCCTAACCATCCCTTTGTGGTATGGAAACTTGTGGTATAATTTCAGAGAGATCCATACACCGTTCCACAATTTATTGTCTGGAAACTAGAAAATGCTTATTTTTGGCCCCATTTGGCCCCTAATTCCTTAACTGTTGGTACCATAACCCCCAAAATCAATCCCAACCTTCCTTTTGTGGTATTCAACCTTATGGTAAAATTTAATAGAGATCCAGTCACTTAAACTAAAGTTATAGTGCGATAACCAATGTGTCTTTGGACGATGACGACAACGCCGCCACCAACGTCATACCAATATATGACCGCAAAAAATTTTTGCAGTTGTATAAAAACTGCATTTGACCCCTATGTTCTATTTTTAGCCATGGCGGCCATGTTTGTTGATGGGTCAAAACTTCGGATACAATTTATAAACTATATACCCTAAGGAACATTAAGTTAAAGATTGAAGGTATTTGGCCAGTAGTTTCAGTGGAGAAGATTCTTGAAATAGTTTACGACAGACGACGACGACCTCCAAGTGATGGCATAAGCTCACATGGGGCCCTTCGGGCCTGGTGAGCTAAAAAGGGTGGGCTGATTACTTACTCCCTGAGTGTGCCTTCTTGTTTGTGTTTAAGATATTTACACAAAGGTAGGGCTTAATACTTACTCCACAAGTGTGCCTTTTTGTTTGTGTTTAAGGTATTTACACAAACAGTGGGCTTGATACTCACTCCACAAGTGTGCCTTTTTGTTTGTGTTAAAGATATTTGCACAAAGGGTGGGCTTGATACTTACTCCACAAGTGTGCCTTTTTGTTTCTTTTTGAGATATCAAAGATACTTACTCCCCGAGTGTGCCTCCTTGTTTCTGTCAGAGATATTTAAAAAAGATACTTACTCCCCCAGTGTGCCTTCATGTTTCTCTCTGAGATATTTTAAAAGATACTTACTCCCCAAGTGTGCCTCCATGTTTTTCTCTGAGATATTTTAAAAGATACTTACTCTCTGAGTGTGCCTCCATGCTTCTCTCTGAGATATTTTAAAAGATACTTACTCCCCGAGTGTGCCTCCTTGTTTATGTTTGAGATATTTAAATAAAGGATGGCCATCATTTCCATTCACATTTATCTTTGAGAACATATCAAACTGAACACCAAATTTATCTGTGACAAAACTCTTTATTTCTGCTTCAGTTCCAGGTTCCTTCAAATAAATAAACATTTCCTGTTTAACATTGCCGTACTTACGTATGTCCAAGGATCTAAACACATTTATTTCTGAAATTTGTATACTAAAACTTCATGAAGGCAGGATATATAGTAATTGTTTCATTTGTCTATCAATATTTTGTACCCACATCTCGTCTTAAACAATTGACTGGATTTAATAAGTTTTAGAGAATCTTTAGACTCTATTGGTATTTGAGTTCTTATTAATCAATGAGTTACTCTGATTGATCTCGGTGAACAAACCCATTTCTTATAATTAGTAACAGTATAAGCTGACTGGTCAAATATACATTTCATGTAAATTAGAGAAGGGAAAGAATCATTACCTGACTTCCAAACTGATTACAGGGAAATCCAAGGATCCTAAGACCTTTCGATTCAGCATACTTGGCGTGCAAAGCTTGTAGCTGAGTGTAGTTCTTTTCTGTGAACCCTCATTTGGATGCACAATTTAAGATTAATACAACATGACCTCTGAAATATTGAAATGAAAAAATACAATCAATACTTTTTCCCAGTATCATGTTTAAGGATGTATTCTTCTGATGTTTCAGTCTCGTTGAAATCTTGTTCTGGAATCATTTCCAAAACATGTGATACAAGTGGAAAATATCAATGAATTTTAAAAATATTACAATCAAACTAAACTCTGTGAAAAATCTGTGTACTTACAACAAGTAGTTTTTGAGTAATAAAATTTTAAAATTTTAAAACCAATCCTGTCAGTCTCTTCAGCCAAAATGTTGAGAAAATGGGTTAGGGGTACAAGAAATGATTTTACCAAAAATATGTACATCCCATATGAATTTTTTCTTTTCAAATTTCTTTGCTATGTATTTTTTCAATCATTTATAACAAAGCAGTTGAAATATTATGCTTTTTGTTCTAAAAAAGGAGAAAAATCCCAAATTTACAAAATTGACAGCATGGTCAATTTGACACGAAAAAGCAACAAAATTTTATAAAACTTTCTAATATTAACAACTACCTATAGTTTTGTTTTAAGTTGAATTTATTCAAATTGGTCCACTTCGTCTATAGTGAAAGGATGAAAAAAGTTTAATTGTGGAACTGTGATTTTTTTCATGATAATAGCCCAATAATGGGTAAAAATTGATGAAAAATGGGAAAATCATTAAAATTGGGTACTTTCAAATGGCTGTAGCAAAAAATGAAGTGCACCACCATATGATTTTTGCTTCATCAACTACTTTCTTACAGTCACATAAACCCAAAAATCAGGTTAAGAAAAAAGTTTAATTCTAGAAATTATTGGCTCCTCAGAGGTGTACATCCTTAAAATACCATTTGTACCGTTGATTAACCAAATAAAACAAAAAAAAACAATAGTGGTAAAATGTCTTGTCAGTGGGTCAAGGTCAGGTGCCTCCTGATTGACAAAATGGACATCTTACATCCATACTATAGTCTAAATATAGTACACCTATATTAGAGTAAACAAAAAACCTGACTTTGGCAGGAAAACATAACTTTGATGATTTAACTTTGTCACAATCTGATGACTTTTAACTTTGTCACAATCTGATGACTTTTAACTTTGTCACAATCTAATGACTTTAATTTTGTCACAATCTGATGACTTTTGTCAGACTGACATCCACACCTTATCACCATTCTATAGATGTCACAATCTGATGACTTTTGTCAGACATCCACACCTTATGACCAGTCTATAGATTAAATATACAGTGTAGTTGACACACTGTCACAGCTCAGATACTTAAATTTGACTTTTGTTCATTATCCAACCATAACAATAAGGGCATTGTCAACCGCCATATGCCATACATATCTCTATTCTCCCCTTCTGTTGTCTGTGTTTTTCACTGGTGAGACAAAATGGTGAAATGTTAATCAAATTCTTTCCATTGCAAATTTTGAAACAACATGATCAATGCAATGTATGTATGTTTTCCCTTAAATACTTTATATTTATGCATACAATATGTATAAATACACCTTCTAAGTCCTTTTTGACAGTACTTACTCACATAAATCATTAAAATGATCAAAGCAAAGTCCATGCTGTCAGCCAGCCAATCTTACTTGATTACAAAAAGCAGCAAATCAATATACATGTATATACATGTACATCTCATAAAAATTGTTTAACCCCGCCACATTTTGATTTGTTAATCCCAAGGCCCGAACTTTATCAGTTATTGTTATATGTCATACATGTATATTAAAATTTTTGGTTATTTAGAGAATCTGGTGATAATGACAGATGAGTGACATCAGAGCCAGATTGGACAGCTTAACATCAATGACAAGTATGATCCTTGGTAAGGTTTCTCCTAAATGTTTACTTACTTATATTTTTCTAATGATACTTCATTGCCATCAATATCTTTGGCAGAAAATTCATAAATAGATGTTGCTTTCTTCCACCAATCTTTTTCTGCTGCCTGTATGGAGCAAAAAGTTTCATAAAGTTAAAGTTCTACAAGTATATTTGCATGTGTTGATTTCTTATTAGAACTGATAACTTGATTGTGGAACATTAAATAAACTCTTTACTTCAAAAGACTTTACAACTTAAGCTGCTGACCATATATGAAGTCATTTGTCTTAGTAGTCATGGTCGTTTCTGGTAAAAGTGTAATGAAAATATGAGTTTGGACAAAAGGGCAAGGAGATTGTGATATAGCTCCACAGTTATAGTGGTGGTATTAAAATTAGTAAAATTAAAAAAAGAAATGTGCCCAAGGACATTAATGCCCCGGTCAAGCTTTATAACTCTAGAACGGAAAATGACTCACAATCTAAATTCGAACTCTGTCTGCATGCTGCCAGAGGTTCTTAGCATTGTGTATGAGTTTCATAAAATTTGGATGAGACAAACTTAAGTTCAAGTGTGGAAATGAAAAAATTTGCAATGTTCCAAGTTATAAAGGGGCATATCACTAATATGGTAAGTGACTAATGGCCCAAATTCGAAATCTGTCTGAGATTTTTTATTCTTAGCATTGTGTATGAGTTTCATAAATTTTGCATGAGGAAAACTTAATTAACACAGCTATAGTAATCTCAAATAATAAAGAGCTCCAGATAAGCTGCATATTTGAGTGATTACACAATAAATACAACCAAAATCCAATCTGTTTGTCAATTTAAGTGTTTTTAAAAAAACCTATTTCATGCAAAGGAGAACCAAATTACATATCAAAACTATGCTTTCTTGACCTTTCTAGCTATTGTATTGTGCGTAATTTACCCTAACTGATAAATTGTCGCATAATTTATCTTTTTTTGCAATTTTGATAAAACAACTTTTGTTTGAAAATTAGAGCACCCAACGAAATAGCTATCTGAGTTCCTTTTGGAATTTCTAAATCGTTTGCCCCTTGCTTGAATTTTGTATCTCTAGTAAATGGCATAACTCTTTTCAAAATATTGATCGGCACTGATTTTCAAACTTGTCGGAAACATTGCTGATATATATAAACCTTTTATATAAATAAATTTGATAAAAATGTGGCAAAAACTGTACATGTGAGAGCCCTTACAATGCAATTTTCCATTTAATTAATATTTACAAGGGGCATATCTCTTTCAAAAATAATTGATCAGCACTGATTTTCTTAATAGTTTGAAATATTGCTGACATAAACCTATGATATATACATGTAAGTTTCATAAAAATCTGGCAAGAATTGTACACACAAGAGTACTAACAATGCAATTTTCCATACAATTAATATTGCCAAGGGGCATAACTCTTTAAAAAATAATTGATCAACAATGATTTTCTAAATTATCTGAGATATTGCTGATATAAATCTTTGAAAAAAATATGGCAAAAATTGTTCATGTGAAAGCGCTTACAATGCAATTTTCCATTTAATCAATAATTACAAGGAGCATATCTCTTTTAAAAACAATTGATTGGCATTGATTTTCTAAATTGTCCAAGACATCAATTGCTGATATATACATTTGATATAAATTTGATAAAATATGGCGAAAATTGTACATGTGAGAATGTTAACAATGCAATTTTGCCTATAATTAATATTACCAAGGGGCATAGCTCTTTTCAAAACAATTGATTGGTACTGATTATCTTAATTGTTTTTGACATTGCTGATATATACCTTTGATATAAATTTGATAAAATCTGGCGAAAACTGTACATGTGAGAACACTTACAATGCAATTTTCCATATATATATAATTAATATTTCTAAGGGGCATAACTTTTTTGAAAATAATTTATAGTCACTGATTTTTCGAACTTGTCTGAGACATTGCTGATATAAGTTATATAAAAATCTGGCAAGAATTGCACACGCGAGAGCGCTAACAAGACTGGATGGACAGGCGCACAGGCGGACCTTTGTATTTTGACGTTGCAGGGGGGACCAAAAGAAATTAGATTAGGGTCAATGTTGTGGTGTAAAACCCAAAACATTCAGGAGCTTGGTGGTGAAAATCACAATTTGGTATATGTCTGGAGGGTGCATTGGAATTGGTGATGCAAATGAAAAATATTTCACAATTGTGTAAACAACTGTGGGTAAAAACCCCAATTTGTAAATTCTTATATGGAGCTCTGAAATATACTATTCCCAGGGTTATGGTATAGGATAAGTTGTTGAAAAATAGTTTGTTTTAATTGTATTGTATTTATCTTCGTATTATGAGTTTTCGTGCTATTACAATTTCCATTGAAAAAGTACGCATAGTCCGAATTCATATGACGTACGAAAACATGATCTGACCATATATTTGTGCTTAAAAAATGTTTTCCCCGAGAAGAAACCCATGTCCTCCCCTTAAAAAAAGATGAATGGTTGTTCCCAGTGTATTACCTCACTGGCTGAAAGTGAGGATCCCATGTCTATAGCTATAGCTCGGAATTTATCGTGAAAGGGTTTATTGCCAATAGCTACTTGTTCTAAAAATAGAATTGGTGCCGCATGTCGAAATTGGGTCACTGTCGCTCATTTAATATTGCATTTGCGTTTCCCCGCGTACTTCAACGTTGGTAATTCTATGTTAAAAAAGACTTACCATGCTTCTAAATAACCTAGATAATCCGCCCTTTGGTCCAGGAAGCGAAAGAATTTTAGATATGTAAAAAGTCATCTGATCTAAATCAATCCAACGTTTGAATAGACTAATAATTGGACCAGTGTTGGAATATAATCCGCAACGTATTTCTTCGTTTTGATGATTACTGAGGGTCTGGTTGGGGTCCTCGATTTTTGTATTCTTTCATTTTTTAGGCCATTTTTCTCTATTCTTTATACTTTTTGCCCACTATTCTCTATTCATTTTATATTTCAGCACCTCATTATTCTCTATTTTTTTATCCATTTTTCTCTATTCTTTATATTTTTTGCCCACTTTTCTCTATTCTCTACTAGAAACAGACCCTTTCGCTCCTTCCGAGCCCTTATTCAAAAACTTAAACTGGATTACAGTTGAACAGGGAATGAAATGTCACAAGTTTGTGATGACATTTAAGTGCATCAAAAATGATGCCCCATCATATCTTACTAGCAAGTTTCATTATGTTTCAGACAGAAATCCATACCCATTGAGAAATGCTGTTCAAGGAAACCTCATACTCCCTAAACCAAAAATAGAATTGTTCAAGAAATCTTTTATGTATTCTGGACCATTCTTGTGGAATAACTTTGCCAATATCGTTAAGAAATATTACAAATGTTAATTCTTTCAAATACAAAATAACAGATAATTTATTGAAATCAACCTGTTGAAAAAAATATTGAATACTGATTATTTCATCATGTTTATTTTTTCATAACATTTTTATCAAGTTGTATTTAACATTATCATCATGCTTGACTTTTATACTAATGTATGCCATGTATATGTTTGCTTTTTTGTTTATGATTTTCTATGATGAGGGCCTCAGGGAAGATTAGTTATATACTGCTAACTGTGTAAACCTCTGTTATTGTTGTTGTTGTTGTTATTCTGTAACCCCCACACCTTCATTACTAGCAAATGCGCGTACGTGGGTAAGTTAAGAATACCACACCTTCATTACTAGCAGATGCGCGTACGTGGGGTAAGTTAAGAATACATATATTGTGTATTTACAAATAGCACAGGTACTTTGTGATAAGATAAAATTTTTTTGCATTCCCCCCGCTTTTAAACAAAATTCGTTACTCTTTTGTATTCTATAATTTCAATTACTTGCGTGTTTTTCTGTGTTAAACTTTCATAAATATACTAGAATTAACATCTGTTTACTATTTACTATCAATTGCCAGTTTACAAGTATCCACAGCGGTCACTGATAATATCTCTACATTTTAGACAGCCCACCAAACACAGAACATTTTAGAAACGTTTTTTTAAGGTTTCAAATAAGTTAGTGTCGAAAAAACGTTTAAGAAATGTTATTAAAATGTTAAATTGAAACGTTTTCTGGAACTATAGTAGAAATGTTTCTGCAAACATTTTTTAAACGTTAAAAAAACATTTTTTCAAAAATGTTTTTGATGAACATAAATAATACATTTTAAAACAACGTTTTTAATTTGGTTTTTTAATAATGTTTCAAAAATGTTTTTTAATAAGTATAGAATAACTTTATAAATCATGTTTCCCATATCACCGCAATATTTTTGTTTTTAATAATTACTTTCAATTTTTAATTTACAAAAAGTCATCTTCGATCTGTCGATATGTGATGATATGCTATGTCAAAAAAAATTCTTGTATTCTAATAACTGGTTTCTTTTCTGTAGAACCGGGAACCAGTTGTAACTTATTAGTTAGTTTCGTATTTTATTTCTATATTTCCATTTATCGTATCTCTAAAGTATTATCATATTCGGAGATAGACATTTTAACTGAGAAAATGTATTATTTGCGACAATAATTTGTATTAAAGCAGAATTCTTCATTAGATAAAATCTGTTCGAAACTTCCGGATACTCTCACCGCCTTTTTTGAATTGGAAAAACAACAACACTAGACATGCTAGAAGAGCAGTTCTACAGAATAGCGTTCAGTCTATGAGGTATGTATAAAATCAATAAACATTCGATGTATTTTGTAGAAATTGAGAGAAATTACTGCATTATTTTCTCCATGACATTCGTATGATTTGCATGAGTCTATTTACATGATTAACAGATTTAACTACTACAGGCATAAATTCACATTCACCACTGCATGATGCCATCACGTGTCAATTTGTCATGCCTCGTGGGCTACTGGTCTGACTTTTACACGAGTTAAATAAAAACAAGCCTCCGAATACAGCATAATTAATCATTTAAACTACCCAGAGCGTAGTCAAATAATAATGACCTTTTTGTACGGCTTTCTTATTTGACAAAAAAAAATGTGGACGCCCTCCAACTTCGTAGCAACAGCAAAAATCAAAAGTATCCTTTCAAGACGTCATATTTTTTTTGGACTACCCATAGCCGTGCTGCCAGTGCTGGGCCTCATTTTACAAAATATCTTATGTCTGACTAAAATTGATTGTAACTTGCCAGTCATGAACAATTCAGTATACCGCAAAATGTAACTGCATTTGATACGTTACACGATAGAAACATATTGATAACACTAAACAGTTAAAAAGTAATCATAATCAACTGTTATAGTAAATAAAAATATTACGCAAGGGCACCTGACGAGGATGAACGGCCTTGGTCGAACTTGACCTGAATGATATCCGAAACACCAGGTGTAATATCATCAATTAAAGAAATTCATATACGACCAGTGTTGATTACCACAGATCATTTACGTTCGGAAAATACTTTCAAATAAATAGATGTGTAAAAGTTTATAATGTAACACCAGAACAATCTACCGAGAAAAGGTCAAATCAGATTTTAACAGTTAAAGATAATATATATTAATTTAAAGTAAATATATATAAGCGAAACATGCTATATATATGAATAAAAAAATCATGCATTAATAGAATAAACCTGTAATTGAAGACAAACATTCAAATGCATATAAAATTGCATATAACGTATACACAGCGATACATGGAAAATCATTATAGAAACTCGATACGGACAAGAAATAAAATATCTTTTAGGCAATAATATTAGTAGGTTTTGCTAAGATTGGTTCATGGACACGATTATTTATAAACAAATATTTGATTTCTCGAAAAATAAATAAATAACAACAGGACTAAATTGTAATTTTGTAGGTCTAGTATTTGGTGTCACAGGGTGGTCACAGCCCTTCAAACTGTATAGGAAGGATGATGAAAAAGTGTGGCACTAATCAGTTATAGGCCAAATACAGTCTGAAGGGGCAAAAGGGAAAAGAGGCATTCACAGGTCACCCTTTGTGCAGGATAATCATGAGTAAGTTGATTAAGAAAATATGTCGAACATTTAAAAGCAAGTGCCATTAATATAGATTGGATTTTTTATCTGACTTTAATCTCAAAAAGAATTCATATGAATTCTCACTTATTATTTTAGATAGAAACAGAGTGCAAAGTTACATAAAGTTATTATATATATATAAAAGTTTAAAGAAGTTAAAAATAATAATGAAATATATCTTTTTAATTCTGTAATACTTTTTCAGAAAGTTGTGCAAGAGTGTTCCCAAAATCCAAGGTTTCCGATATGGAGGGAGTCTTAATTGACTTCCTTAAACAGGCCCCACACAAGCCAGGAGGACCAAAATATAAGGTATTTTTCAACTGAATAAAATATCTTAATATACGTTTAAGTGGAAGGTTTTATTTATTTAAAAGTTTATTTTTGCAATTTGAACATCAATACACAAATTTCTGAGCCACTTATAACAATATACCATTTGCCAACCATGCAGAACTTCTGTTTATTTAGAGACATTAGAATAATACATTGTTATGTTCTTGACGATGGAATTATTGTCTTTATCCTGCAAGTAAAACATTGAGATTTACATTTGTAGCAATTGCTTTTGACATGTAAAATATTATTTATGTTTTTTGCCTATCTTAATAATTACTTGGATTGCAAAAAATAGGATAATTTCCCCTTTATAGATTTAATGAAATAGCTTGATTAAAAGGGAGTACAACAACTAACTGGGGTTAAGAGTTATATGCTAAACAGTGTACTTGGGCGTACTGATCTCATTAACAAATTGCTTTTGATCATTTCAGAAACCTGTAAGAAAAGGACAGATGATTGCGCAAGAAGAATTGGAGTCCGAACAAATAAATATGTTTAAAAGTACATTGATTCTACTGATTTTAGTCCTGTCAATACTGTTTTTTGTTGTTGCAAAGTGATTAAAGATGTTTATAAAACTATATTCCAATTTCTGCAACAATTGAAGCTTTGGTTATAAACTAGATCATTGATTGAAGTTATTATGATAATATGTCGAATTCTCGGTTTAAGAGATATGTTATCTCCTTGTCAATGCAAGAACCTTATTGAATTGACTTTCAAGGTCACAGAACCAAGTTTAAACAGTTAGAGGTTGACAAGCTTTGCTTTGGCATAGTTTTTTTATTAAGAATATCTTCCTTTAGAGCTTTGGTGTAATGGTGAGTGTGGTCGCCTCAAGTGCGGAGGTTGTGGGTTGGAACTTCGGCCCAGCCAAACCAATGACAATAAAATTATTATTTGTTGCTTCTCCCCAAAATGAGTTAGAGCAAAGACTTCTTGGCCCGTAGTCAGAATAATGTGACATGTCATCCTGCAAACTTGCCTTGTGGGCTAGAACCAAAAAATCTGGCACAACATGTTGGTCTATTACAAGACAGGGTATTAATTTCTAATAATCATGTTCTCATCCAGAATATGCATCTGACTTGCCACTGGTCGTTAAACAACCAACCATCCATCCAAGCTTATGGAGATGTTGCTTTTTCTTCAATTAAACACGTGCATTACCAATTAAGAAATGAATGAAATACAAAACACTGCACAATCAATTATATATTTTTAAACCAAAGTAATGGTGGTCGCACTAATGCATCATTGTTACACAAATGTGTTGAAAATGTTTGTTGGAGGTTGACAGAAACGTTTTTCATAAAACCTTATTCAACGTTTTCTGAATGTTCCAAAATAACGTTTCTTCAAAATGTTTTTGAAACATTTATAAGAGTCTACAAATTTTGGTTTTTAAAACGTTTTAAAAAAACATTCTAGAAAC